TTTCTGACCTAAAACTTATGAAAATAGGTCTCTCAGTGAAGATGTCCTGTTGACGTTTATAAATATACTATTGTCGATATGAGCCATGTTGATTTTACAACACAGATATGTTATTTGAATAGTCAAAGACAGAAGTATGTGAATTTCGAAAAGACCTGTTGATTATAGGATTAAGGATACCTTCGGAAAGTTCGTAATGCTCATCGAGGTTTTATCGAAATTCCGTGATGATTGAAAGAACGTAAAGAGGTACATACTCAGGGTTGTTCTTCGGGAATAAGAGCAGGAGTCAAGGTCGACAGGCTGGAACTTTCCTTATTTGAGTATTCGGCCAACAGGTACAGGTAGTCACTCAGTATTCTCACGTCACAATCATGCAAACACGCCCATCCAGAGAAAGTGAACTTTGTAAAAGCGAAGTGCAAGTGCAAAAGCACGACCGTATTTGACACCGATCTCGTAAGATTGTAAAGATTGGCCGGTTGCCATTCGCTAATTTCAAGTTGGCCATCTTGGCACGGTATTCGAGAGTTCTACGAGGTGAGAGATCGAAAGATGGCGTTCTCGCGTTCACTCTCGATAACAACCGAATATCGACTTTTGCTTTCACGTTTTCGATTTACGAGCTGCGCGACACTTTCGGACCAAATGGTAGTAGTTTGGTGAGTGCAATTTGCATTACTTAAAAAAGGCTCAAAGAATCCACTTGCAGCGCCATCTTACTCCTCAGTAATAAAGCACGGGTGAGATTGCTTAAGAAATTCCAAAGATTACGCGGGACGATTTGAAGATCTGTTTAATAGAATTTTGATGTTATGATGCCATTCGATGTACGATAGATCATTGCGTTCGTACGTTTCTCGACACACATACGGGAGAGACTATAAATGATGCTGGAGAAAGTAAAATTCAAATTCACTCTCTATGGGGCTTCTCGCGTTTATCGGACGCGTGTAAATATCCATTACAGGCCAGTGCTAAGTCGCAGAGCACACACCGTTGGAATCCTGATGACCGACCATTGTTTAGACTCGCCCATTTTCACACTGAGGTTTGAAAACATTCTGATTTCTGCCCACTTGTCATTCTAATCGTTTCTATTCTGACTAACGTCTGAAATCATGTCTATTTAATGTCTCTCCTATCGCCGATCTCTTTTACTTTTTCCTATGGTATATGGACGCTTATTCATAAACCATTCGTCAGAAAAGGATGTTCCTAAGGAATGTCATATGCATATACTAATTATTTAAATGAAATATCAACGCGAATCTTGTTTTCAATCTTTCTTGTTCAAACCTTGAGAACAGTGGAGGGACCGGATGAGGAGGAATTCTTTTCACGATGGAATTTTCATTTTTATTTTTCTCCCACAACGGGTGAGGCACTCTCGATGGCGGTTGGCAGCAATGTGGCAAGCCAGGGCGTGCAATGTGTTTTTGAAAGTACAGAAAATATGTCCGGGGGCCATTGAGATTCAACAAGCGAGCTGTCGTACCGTCGTCTGCGAAAGTGCAGCCAAGGTCTTTACTGGTGGATCTCCTTGCTTCTTTATATTTATGTATATTCATAACGATTCACTTGTTTTACTATTCTTCCATTCAAATTTTATATGGTGGATGTTAGAGGAATGTGAATTTCGGAAAAATAATTTTTATTTTAATTATAAGGCTACTAGGGGGAATATGTTTTAGCAGAATTCCTTTCTTTTCCTTGTAACTGACGTATTACTCTCGTTCTCATTAAAATTCTCAGAAGATGATGACCATCGAAAAATTCAATTACACTTCCCGGTACTGTATTTCGATCGTGACCAGACCTTGGGCAGAAAATAAACTACCCGAGGTAATTTAAAGTGTCAGTCTTTTTGTACCGGTGAAAATTATCATTGAAATTACACGAGTTTACGAAGCGTTATACTTACCTTTTTCTCTACCTTCGCTCTTATTATCCATAATTACCATTTATCCAAAAGAGTACTTTGAGTTCACACAAGGACACCAGAAACTGGCTAATGACACGCGCCAATTTGCTCTCGTATCACAGTTCACATATTAATCACGAGTATTTTTAATTTTTATATAAATCCACCTTATTTCGAAAATACTAAAATGTCAGCATTTATCACAAAAAGGATTCTCTTCAATAACCATAAACAAAAGAGTCCGTCCTCTGTTTTTGTACGAGATCCAGCAAAAAATAAAGATAAAGGGAATAAGTCCGGTCGCGTCTAAAGGCGGGAAAGAAAAAAGGACATAAATGAAATTGAACGAAACATAGCAGGATGCCACAACGTCAATTCCACAGCAAGGCCACGGCCTCTGGGTGCCGGGAACGAAATTTCCAACGAAACTACTAGTCGACCATTGTTACCGATGGTCTAATGGAATTACGACTATGTTTCATTAAATTAACTAGAATTGGGACGTCATTCGACCGAAGCGATTGATCTGCCATCTATGCCAGTTCTTGTAACCCAGGGTGATATTGCGCAATGAACGTCGTCATGCTAGAGCACGATGCCAAGTGTATCAAATCGCTTTATATCTCTGTTAGTCGGAACGCTGGTAATACCTAATCGTGGCATAACTCTGTTACACGCGATGGCAATGGCCGAGGAACTGAATTTTTATCCATTTACTAGAGGTGGACGTACCTGCTCGACTTTGTGGAACGACCTTAACGTCTTGTGATACGTGCTTTATGTTATATGCATGGTAGACGTGCCCTCAAATCACATCCGGGTTCCACAAGGCGAGTCTTCATTGGGTACTGCGCTATTTATCATGAAACTGCATTCCTGGTACCATTACAGAAGTTACTTCTTCAATATAGATCTTGAACAATATTCTAGTAGTATAGTTTTTATAATAATATTCAATCCGTACTTATTTTAAATTTATTTCGTTCTGTAGTAAGGACAAGTTGTTTCCTAGTATACTGTTTGATATTCCCCATGGACTTGGAGTAACCGTAATTACTGTGAACTGAAACTGCATGAAAGTCAATGACCAACCGTATTTGGCTATGGATTCGTACACAGACTGTTCTACTGCAACGGATATAGTATGGGCTGTCTTGAATAATAATTAATTCGAGTTAATTCATCGGCAGTGAATTATCCACTAGGCAGTGGGTGCACGAAACGTAAGTCATACATTGATTTGAATTGTATACGTACGTATGTACTACATTAACGTCAGCTGCTATATGATCCTATACAACTGTCATTATGTCAGAAACTGGATGACACAAGACTTTGATGTTATAGCCTTTGTTCGCAAAAGGCGGATAACTTTTCTCATTCGCTTGGGAGAGAAAGCCGTGTAGATTAACCTGTAACTGGCTACAGTTTTGTATTTGTCGCGTTCTAACCTGTGACAGGTATCCTAACGATTTCGTCTGCTGCCTGTAAAACGAGGACAATCAGAACAATCGCCATTTTTCTGTCACGTATGGCGGTTAATTTGAATTTTTGTCAGGGTGAGAAATGGCTTGCGGAGACTTAACGATTCTTTCCTCGAGGTATAAGTTATAAAAAATGAGAAACATAACTAACGAAGGAAAAGAAAGATGAATGAAAAGAAAGGAGTGAGAGACTGAGTCACGTAGTGACTCACGTAGTACACGACAAAGCCACGAAAGTTCGTGGCAAGGGCACCATGGTGAATAAAACTGGTCCTACTGCTCCTGGTCGAATTCCTAAAATAGATTTTGGTCTTCAGGACGAAAATATTCCTGGAGTTACGACGGTCGTGTCCGAATGCGACCCAGAGCATTATTTATGCTGTACAAGGAGTCAAGTAATTTGGGAAAAGGTATCGTTAATGCTACAACTCGCGACAGAGATCGTGCTGAGAATTGGTCATTTCTTACACCCTTTTTCAAGATGAAAGGATTGTTGCCGGACGTTAATCAAGACACAGCATCCTCTTAGAAGGTTTTTTTACCTGAAACTAGTATACAATCTTGTCATGCCTAGTGGAATCGCATATTAGGGGAAGAGCTTGATGAAAATTGACGTTCAGCTAATAAAGCATTTCTTATTATTTGAATTAATTCATTATCCACATGGAATTTTTGTAACACTCGACATTCTACTTGCGTAACAACACGCGGAGGCCTTTAAAGCGGCGTCTTCTAATTCGAAATGCTACCGTCCGGATAGACTAGTTACACTCTTGATTTCTCTAGGCCTTGACACCTGAAAGACTGCCGGCAACTATTGGCCACTGTGACTCACTTTAATACATATTTCTTTTTATTCTTTTCTTTCTCTTTATTTCGATTGTATATGAAAGTCACGAAGCGCAGAAGACACGTTCGATATCTTATTGGTCGCGCCGTGTTTTCTGAGTAAGAGTTAAAAGAAAAACTTTTTACCGATACGATCCTATGAGAATTGACAATTGAATCGTGAAACTGGAGCGAGTCCTTTATCATAAATTATCCTTACGACCAATCCTAGATTTAAAATACTGATATTATATTCCCTGTATTTTTCATTATTAAAAAATAACTTTCTACAATTAAAATACGAAATATTCAATGTATATTTTTTTAAACGTACATACGAATATCCAACCGTTTTCCTTGTTCGCTTCAAAATATTAGACCGATATGCGTTTAAAAGTTATGTCAAACTGTTTGTATTTTCAAAAAAGAAACTGACACCGACTAAGCCGAACGAAGACATCGGGAAGATACTCGGCGAGGGAAAGTAAATGTTATGAGTTAAACCAATAAAGCTCAACCATATCGCGGCATAGTTATTCCATCATTCGGCATCAACTCTCGAGAAGTTCGAACCGAAGGGATTTGAGCGTGAAGCAAGCATCGTCACCACGTAGATTCCCGCTAACTCAGTAGCCGCTTAAAGATCGTCCAATACCAATTTTATGAGGGAACAAGCGTGATCGGGCTATCGGTTTTGTCCAGTTTGGTGGCTGGTGGGGTTGTCTGTGGTACCCGTGGTGGGTGGCGTATAAGTAGAGGCCTGCATTCGCCGCCGTTCTCATACCCTCACCACGTCCTTCGACTACCTCTTACTTTTACTTTTTTATCCTAGCGCAACTTTTCGCCCACCCAGTACAGTTTGGTACGCACAAGACGGCAGGGCGAGTGGTAACAGCGATGAGCGATCAGTGACACGAGTGACATTGTTTCTCCCATAATACATCAAGGTGTTGCGTTTTCCTTCCGTATTGTAAAGTTCGGTCGTTTTTATCGCGCAACAAGAAAAGTGTGCAGTGCAGATATGTGGCTCAAGAGGGCGCTTCTGTGAGTAATAAATACTTGCTATAGTAATAAGTATACCAGATTGGATCATTGTTTTTTTTTTATCGTTATCCTTTTTTATGATCCCTTTTCTCTTCTTTTTTCTTTCTCTTCACTCATTATCATTTTATATTTATTTTTCATCGTCTTTCAATCAGTATAGAGATATCGCGAAGCTCCGAGATATCTCCGTTACTTTCCCCGCTACGACCGGTTATCCAAATTGTTTATCCATCCATATTTCCTGAGGTGGACGTGTAGAAATTGAAAGGTTCAATGAGATAACCAAACCTCGACTCCTGATTATACGGCTTTCTCTTGGATTAATTTCCCTATCGATCTTTTAATTTTTTTCGTTGACATTTTCGCAGCGAGAATCTTATACGAATAATTTCTAGATTTTTCACCCGATCTCATTTTAAAACTCTTACTTGGAGTTGCACTGTTTTATTGTTGTACGTAATTATTGTACGGCGCTTTTTCTTGCCTGTCATGAAAAGAGATTGTACTGTCACAGAAGTACTATTGGTACTCATTGGTAATTTAGGTCTAAATCGATCGTATTATTTATTCAGGATGATTATTATCCATTTTTGAGATAATATAACGATCATTGTGATCCATCAAGGATCTAGTGATTATTGACCATATAGTCTATTCGAAAGTCGGGTACCTGTCGTAGTTGTGCTAATTTAATGACTTGGTATTGAACTGACCGATCTCCACTGGTATACCCAGTTTCAATTAATCAAGGGATCGGCACAATAATTATAAAAAAAAGATTAACGCTCGATTATAAAATTTCGAGGGTTACAATCACGATCAGATTCTGATTTTATAGATCATTTTTAATTAGATTGATCTTGTATGTAAACAATGACAGAAATGGGTGCTCGATGATTATCATTTTTTTCTGGATTTTTTTAACGCTCAGCAAGTTTTATATTTCTATGTATATACAGATCATTGATCAATCGATTTATATTCAAGGTCAGTCAAATTCCGGAGGATGCAAATCAATCCCGTTTCATAGTGAATGTCGAGTTTGACGTAATTCTCGCAGAATATAATAGCATTATGAATAAATAATAATAAACATTTATCATTACAATCGGCAGACACGACTCAATCAAATAATAATGTTATTTCACAAGTAAAATATTCATAATGAAGTAGTTACTTTCACAGCGTGCAAAGAGCATGTAATTTATTATTTGAATCAGTGCAATTCCTCAACTACCACCACCCCTCTTTATAACGCCACTGTTAAATTGCTGCTAAAAAAAAAACACAAAGTGCAAGCCGGCATTGGGCACGTGATACAATTTTCACGCATTTCTCGAAAATTAGAGATTTTCACTATTAGACAATTCGAAATTGAGAGAACTAAAAGAAATTTAAAAGTACGATTTATCGAGTCCTTGATGATCAAACTGAATGATGGCGCATGCTGACACGGCATAGTGGCACGACGATAGAGCGACGCAAAATTGTCGATCGCTTTTTTTTTTCCAAATCTCTGTGCAATGTATATGCGATACCCTTAGAACGTCTTAACACTGTCTGGCTATTGTTAACAAATTTTCAGGATATCAGTGATATTTTGACTCCATCGAAAAAAATGATACAGACAAATCGCGTTACTGCCAATTAATTTTTCGCACAGTTTTGCCAGCCAGACACGTGACACGCCTCTTGTCTATTAATCCATCGTAAATACATATATGTATATATTACTATAGTCCTATTGGCAGTTTTGACTTTCGCAACCAAGACATACATACGTTTTGACATTCGAATGTTTGAAAGTTATTTTGCCTTTGGCAATCCATCCCTCGTCAGCTGGTTTCTCCATGACGACTCCAAAGTTAACTTGAATCTTGACTATATAAACTATATATATATACGTGGTAGCCATTGGCGATTAGGTACATTGGAAATCGAAGTTGTCTATACTACTGTAATTACTCGATGTCGCAGTCGTGTTATTACGTAAATACAGTAAGTCCCTGTGCAATTACACTTAGCCAAGATCATCCAATGAGAAAGATATATATAATTTTTTAAATTCATTTATATTATCCGAGTACAAGATGTGTTTTGATTCAATGTTACTGGGACAAATTGTTTTTAAATTAAATAGACAATTTAAAGAGCAATCTACTTGTCGGGCGAGGAAATAGTAAAAATTATTTGTGGATCAGTCGGAGGTTTTGCGGTAATGTTATGACTTACGTAACTTGAGTTTACCGCGCTGATAGGTATATACCTACGTAGCTACATACGAGACCACTTTCTCCATATGGTTTCACGATAAATTCCATTAGTATGAGTATTTAATATCTAATGCTCCCAACACCCACTGATTTTAGCTATAACTTTCCTTGCTTTATAAATTATATCTATGTGCGTACAGCTGCATAGCACCGATGGCGGACCTTCCACGCGTCGTGAAATTCTCAACGGAACGGAACCGTTCCGCCACAGTCTCTGATAACGATATTATTTATATCGGTACAAGAACGACTTTGCATAACATTGCGTTGTCAGTTCCGCATACGAAAAATATTCTTTACGATATTTCACCCTGTCAATTCAAAGTTTAAAGGTATATTAAAAAAAAGTCAGTATAAATAATTTAAATAAAAAAATTGTCACCGCAACTGAATATAGTTCGCGCATATGACTATAAGTATTTTTTTAACAGGTCTTTAGTCTGCCATTTTATTAAGAGTTGACGAACAGATGCCGAATTTCTAAGGTTCCTTTCCCGGGGCAATGTAGCGTTCTCGAATTCCTCCGGGTCTCGATTAGACAGAAGCAAATGAATAATAAATTGGGCAACCTTGCCTGACGACACCTAGAACGGGAGTGAGGTCGCATTATCCTCGTGTCTCGAGGGTAGACGGCCTCGATTGTAGAGTCGATCGTCATTGAACGGCTGCTGGAATGGTGATAATAAAAAAAAGTCTTCTGCACGTGCGATTATCAGTTGGTAAAAAGAATTTATGTCTGAAGACCTTCCAAATCAAAGAGCAGTACATTTACCACGTTTGGTAAGGGGATCTATCAGTGAAATCCATTTTGATCTAGATCGAATGTTGATCATTAAATAAATTGAGAATTTCCAATTGCACTCACGATCCAATTTAACTTAATATACGAATCTGTATACCCGAAGCCAAATGGCTTTGCAACTGGCAGCCAACTTAGCTTACCAACCAGATGTGAACTTTCACCAGTGCCGTATTTCAGCCACCCATTCCCTCATTTTACATTCCGTCCTGTAGCATCTTTCTAACATTCCTCGACTTTAGCCTTAACGTAGACAACTTGTTATATTTCATAAGAGCGCAGCATCCGCATGCAACCATGTTGCTTACCTATACCAGTTTCAAGAGTGGACAATACAGAATTGATCATCCGAGGTATGAACACCTTATGAAACTTTTCTCTTTTTCTTTCGACCCATTAGAATTTGCTGCGCTGTCGCAGCTGTACTGGGTGAGGAGGACATCATCACCAGAGCCAGACCTGGACAGGAGTTCGTACGGATTCAGTCTTCCATCGGGGAACCTGCTCCTTTCCAGGCCAGAGCCATACCGGTTGAAGGTAATGACATTCTCCATTTGTGGAGAAAGGATGAAGACCTAACATCTACTTAACATTTCGTAGGGTATTACAAGTGCTTGTTGGATTTCAGAATTCGTCACCTCGCACAAGATACCCGAGGGCGTCCCCAAGCCATCGGACGATGACGAGGACGAAGCCGAGAGGGAGAGTATGGCCGAGGCTATTGTGAAGGAGATTAAGAATTTGGAAAAAAAGGAAAGTCCTAAGAAAAAGATCGAGAAGAAAGTAGAGAATGTGAAGATCGTTCAACAGAGTTTGGATCTGCTGAGCGAAGGTTCGTCCAACGAGAAGATCACTAGAAAGAGACAGGCCAACGTGGAACTTGAAAGTTTTGGTAATTCTGGTGTATTGCAAGAAGATGGCCTTAAGAAGGTCGACGCTCCTCGTACTCCAGCCAAAGGTCAAAAGGACTCCGTTATACCTGGCGTTCAAGTTAGGTAATAACTCGTTGCCCGTCTGTTATTATTTCGTAATCATTTTGAACGAGGTTAACTCTGCTATGGACTTCTCTAAACGTGATTAGAATGTGAAGGCTCTCTTACGTTTTTATTACAGCGCTGAGAATCCAACTACCATGGTTCCGGTTTTAACGACAGCTAGAGAACCACGTGGTTTTGATTTCGTACCCGTCAACATCATCCGCGAGGATAGTAAGGATGCGTATACACCTTACTCCGAACGACACTTCGGCGACCTCAGTGATGTTAGTCTGGTACCTGCTGGTACTAATTCTCGTATTCAGGTAAATCCGGGCTCATTTTGTTATCATTGTGTCGGGCGCACGTGAGATTTATATGGAGCTTCGTGTTCCGTAGGTCAAGAAAGGACCCAATGGTAAGGATTATGAGTACGAGTATGTGTACTATTACTATGACGAGGATGACGAAGGTAAAGCAGGTAGTGCCACGAATTCTCATGATGGTCCAGCCAAGACTACTTCGTCTCCCAGGAGAGGAGCGTCGAGTAACAGAAACAAATATAGTACGGTTGAAAGGTCAACCACTGCTGAACCTGCTAGCAATGAAGTAATTCCTAATAAAAATGGAAATAGAGGGCGACAACTTTCCGAAGGAGAAGATGTATCAGAAGAAAGGTTGCCTGCCAATACCAGATTTCCACCGAGGTAAAACTTTCATGTGAACATTCCCTACAGTGTTATGGCCTACATCCTGAGTACTTAACCAACGAGTTTTTCACGCATGTATCTTGTTAAATAGATCCCGATCTAATCACAATACGGGAACCACTGAACCTAGTCGCGCTCGTGGTAACCGACCAAGACCCAGTTTGGACCTCGTCGACTCCAGCAGCTTCCGTACCCATCAGGAAGGTCCTGAATTCCCCCAAAGTCTACCCAAAGGTCCTGTCAGATTTCTGGGAGTAACTCCAAACGAGGACAGTGAGGAGAAACCTGTGACCAGGGGACGTGGAAGACCTCACAAAGTTCAAGAACCAGCTCCTGTAGAAGAGACTATCGAGGAAGTGTCACAGTCTCGCAGAAGACGACCTGTAGCGGAATCCGTACAACCGGAAGTGAGAAATAATCACTTGATTTTTCTTGTAATTTTTGTTTATTGTTTATTCAAATGTATTTCAATATTCTAATTCTTTTCAGATTGAAGTTGAATTAAAGAGAGGGCAACCTTCACGAGCACCCGCAGAGGAGGATGATGACAATGATGACAATAATTCTTCCGAGGTTATTTCAAAGAAAGATGAATCTCAAGAGAAGACCGAACAAACTCTAGAAGATGAGAAAAAGGAAAGTGACTCAAGTGAAGTTACTACCACAGAAATTCCTACGACAGAAAATCCTTCTGCTATGGATAAAGTCGCCCTGGATTTATATGCCTTCCTTCAACAAGGTCAAAGCAATCTCGTAGATTCTTCTGCTGCTGAAGGAGAGTCCGGGGAAAGCACTACTGTTTCTGATGACGATACAACTACTGAAATACCTACTACTACTGAAATACCAACCACAACTACCACTGAACCTACTACAACTACAACAGTAGCTACCACGACAACCACAACTACAGAGCCGTCAACTACTACCACTCAGGTTCCTGCCGGTAGAGGAAAATTCAGAAGACCAGGACTTGGAGGTTCCGTCGGTACTAGAAACCGGTAAGCGAATAAACTGAGAAACAACTTCCAGGTCTTTTAATTATTTCTAGCAGGATTATTGCATTTTTATTAATGTTTTCAGATTTAAATCTAACAGTGTCAGTACCACTACTACAGAAGCTACAGAGCCCACACAGAGAACCCGAGGTCGTTTTGGCAGCAACAGTGGTGGATTCAAAAGACCTAGACCTGGACAGAAACAGCCTGTAGAAGAAGAGATTCAGAAAGATAGTTCTAGTTCCGTTAATGCTGAGAAGCCATCTATCGGTCGTGGTAGATTCCGTGGTTCCAGCTCGAGGAATTCAGTTACTACCACCTCTGCACCTTCCACTGTCTCATCGTCCTCGTCATCCTCTTCCGGAATATCGCGACCTTCCTTCAATAAATTGAATATCAATCGCAGACGTGGTAGGCCCACCACAGCTGCTCCTACGACCAGTCAAGAAACTCAGGAAGCTGAAACAGGTCAGACTGATGCTCACGACGCAAGCACCACTACCAAGCCTAGCATTCGACCTAGACTTCCGGGTGGTGGACTTAGACCAGTCAGACCAGGCTCTAGAGTAAATCTTAGACTGAGACCAGGACAGACCACGACAACCACGGCTGCCCCGGAGGTATCAGAACCGTCTGCAGAAGAACCAACTGGTGAAGGTACCGAAGAAGAGACTCATGAGGTAAAACATTCATAACCAAGGCAAAATCATTAGTTCCATTATCAAGTAGAAAACTCACTCGTCTATTATCTCACTAAAAACTTTTCTCCAAGTTTATGCACTTTCCAATTTTGCCAGATAATTCGTTGCATCCTCACTCTTCTAAAATCCTAACCCACATCACTATTTCCAGTAACATTAAGTCCGAGGACAAGTGATGTCACGCCAAGATCTTAGAGTTACTTTCACCAGGTGGCCTTTCAAAATGCCATTGTGAGCAGCAATTACCTGCATAACAATCAAACATTATTCTTCTCTCGTGAGATTATTTTGAATCTTGTGAACCATCGCCTTCGGAATAATACTTAAGAAAGTCTTTATGAATTTTATCAGTGTTACAAAATTAATTATAAGATATTACATCTATCTCAGGCACCAGCAGAGTCCAGCCCAGCTGCACGTCTCACAACTGCAAATCCTCTGAACAAGCTCCGCTCCAGGAACCGCCTTCAGGTACAGGCAAAGTCAACAACACGTAGTCCCGTATCACTAGCACCAAGAAGATCGCCATTACTACCACGTAGAAAGACAACAGAGGCACCTGTCATAGAAGTTAGTGAAGAAGAAACCTCAGGTGAAGTATCTGAAGAGAGCGAGCCCACGGAAACTTTATTACCGGAAACGAGCACCGCAGCTAGCACGAAGCACGAAGAAACCAGAGGTCTGAGTGGTTTACTGGCGCCGCGACGCAGGATAGCCCCTAGACGTCCTGGACAAATTATATCCCGGGAATAGAGTTTCATAAGCATATACGTATCTTTTTATCCTTCCTCCTCTGAGTCCTTAACGAAATACCGTATCGCGGATCGAGACGTAGAACCAGAAGCGGTGAACAAATCGACAATTTCTTCGTCGAGATCCGTTCTCCAGGAACAAGGAATGGATCACTGAATTCTTCACATCTGTAGATTCACAATCAGATGCTCAAAACCTCTTTGTGTGTATTTTCTACGTTGTACCTCAATCGTATCCTATTTCAGGCTCTTCGTCCCGATCCAAGGTATCATTATTGTACTTGCAATGGTGGACTATCACCGCGATTTACATGTAGAATAAGCCGATCATTGCGGAAATGCACTTCTTAAATCTTGAAAGTGCCATTTTATGTACGTAGCCGAAACGAATACTCGAAGGACTCAAAAATATGTATGCGATCGTCATTTTAGTAGGGGTTGCTTGATCCGGGACGATCATATCAATTTTCGTCGTGAGAATTTTGGCAAAGCCTCAGTAACACGATTGTACATCCGTGATGACGGTTTTTTCTATATTGCATTGAGAATTCATGAGTGCGTTTCTTGTGTACGAATATGCACTTTAACGGATATGCGAAAGAAATTGCTACTATGTAATCGACAGTTTGACTTATCACTGAGGAAAGACTGTTGCGACTTTGAAATATTAAAGAGAAAACTTGGACGAATTCTTGAATCGTGTGATGATAATAATGACGATGACTATTATATATTTAATTCGACTTGACTTGTGTGTGTATCCTTATTTAATTATTAACTTTTGTAATTTTATTCTAATGCTATACTTAAACGGTAGCTGTAATACTACGATTCAATTATAACGTCTTTTTTTAGAATAAATTGAAATCGGCCATCTTGGCATCTCACTGTTACACTATTTTTATATGATACATAATGTTCGGAAAATATTGTAAATATATATCAATTAAACGTGGAGAAAATTATTCTTGAATTCAATTTATTTTTAGAATACGTCGTCAAACCTTTAGGATGTTTTTAAAAATATTAATGGTTCTACCTGCGAGATTTTGCAGTCGCTAAATAAAAAGTACAGGTTTAACGCTTCGTTTAAAATAAACCGTAGGTACTTTCTTATCTCGACTAACGTCATAACTTGTGGCACTGAAGAGAGATAAGTAAGGAGATGGACAGCGCTACGGTTTTAAACCAGAGATGACTAGGGAGATGCACAACGTTACGGTTTTAGGCGATACCAAAATTATGGCGCTAAATCGTAGCGGCGAGTCTGGAAGTAGGATTTTGTGATCATCGCCTCCGTCGATAATGCGGATCACGAACGTGTAGCTTGGCGAGCAGAGACTCTTCGCTACTTACCGCTGGTTCCCGAAACAACACTTATAACAAGGCAGCTCATCGAACATAGCCTAAATATTTATTTTCTTTATAATCCTAAATTCGAGCGTATAGTGTAAACTCGGTTTTAATATGACAAAAGTCAGCAACTCATGCCTGCCTGCACTGAAGTGTACGATGCCACCAGTATACTGAATAGATGTTTTACCGATATTGCGCAATAGAACTATTGTTAAAACCTATCCGAAACTATAGAACTCGTCCAGAACTATTAAAAAAGCCTATTGTTGAAACACATTTAAGCAAATGCGGTGCCAACTACATAACCGTATAGCATCTCAATTTTTTTTAAATCTTTCAATAGGCATTTTCAATAGTTCTCGAGAAGTTCTGTAGTTCCTGACAGGTTTTAACAATAGTTCTGTTGCGCAATATCGGTAAAAGATCTATTAAATATACTGGTATCATCATACGCTTCAGTGCAGGCAGGTATGACTTGCTGGCTTTTGTCATATTAAACTTACCGAGCTTACACTGTGCGTTTGAACTTAGGAAAAAAAATATTTAGGCTATATTCGATGAGCTGCCTCGTTGTAAGTATTGCTCGGCTACGACGGGATCCGCATTATCCACGGAGGCAATGATCACAAAATGCTACTTCCGGACTTGCCGTTGCGATTCAGCGCCATGTTTTTGGTATCCCCTAAAACCGGAGCGTTGTGCATCTCCCTACTCATCTCTGCTAAAACCGTAGCGTTGTGCATCTCCCTACTCATCTCTGCCTAAAACCGTAGCGTCGTGTATCTCCCTACCCATCTCTGGCATGGGCTTTCGCCGTTCACTCCTTTCTAATTATTATATTCAATGGTCAGATCTTTCCCAGTAGTTTTCATGGCGGTTTGGCAAAATACGTCATTTGTCACACAATAAATAATCCTGTTCGTGGATCCGTCGTTATGCTTTGGATATGTCGGATTTGGTGAGTATTTAAATGCTTTGAGATACATTTAACACATTCATTTGACGATTTTAGTTTGTACTGACGCACTCTTGATCGTATACTCCATCATTAACAGTCCAGTGTATATTTCTAAATTACCCATAGAAATGTTTACTGTACTTCGTGACACTCTACTATAACATAAATAATTAGTGATATCTTCATTTTTTTTATATTGATTTTATGATGCTTTGTTTTGTGGAAATCATTCAATTTTGTATTGAGAACATTGCTGCAGTCCTGTCAACACTATTTATTTGTGTGCTGTTCCCAGACAGTATTAATTAATCTTGTCCATTGTGCACATTTAACTTAAATGGACATTTTTATTAGATTATCATAGATGGCGATATGCCTTGTATTTTATTGTATTATAATGTCATATTTCATTCCTCTTAGAACGAGAAAGGATGGGGTGTATTAATAGTCGGGCAGACATCAATGATCTTCACCCAAACATCTTTCAAGTGATGAATGTTGATGACTTGGGCAATCTTATTACCCCTGGACGCTTAGAAATCACAGAATTAGATATAGTACTCTATCAAAGGGGTAAAGCTGCTGTCAAGTGGCCACTGCGGTGTTTACGTCGCTATGGCTATGATGCTGAAATCTTTAGCTTTGAATCAGGAAGACGATGTTCCACTGGACCTGGTATTTATGCCTTCAAGTGTCACAGAGCTGCACAACTCTTCAATCTTGTACAAACAAATATCCAGGTAAGAAACTGCATAATATTTCATATTTCTTCACTTATACAATTTTTATAATAATACATTGCTTGCATATAGGTTTGTAATAGCAGTGGAGACGATACAATATCCAGAGAACTACCAATTGCCTCTCACCCTGGTCCTACGGTAACAACAAGAGTAACAATACCAACCGAGCCTAACTATTTGGACCCAACGCCAGCTAGGAGCAATAGTCGCATGGGCCCCAGATTTAGTCACAGCCAGCAAAATGGAATTGGGAGGCTAGGAAGCGTGGGAAGTAGTAGCGGTCCCATGTCGCCTCAAGGAACAATGGGCTCACCATCGCCACCGCCCATGCTACCGCCGCCACCACCCGTCCCACATCCTCCTCCGTCCTCACTATACGTCAACGAAGAAATTCTGTCGTCAGTTGTCATGGATATGGAGCACAATAATAACAAAAGCCTTCGACGAACTATGCAGAGGTATATTAATTCGACCGATCAACTCGATTTCATTACTTCTAGAAAATGGCACCAAACTAATTTCCTTATTGCTTATTGCAGATCATGCACTGTGAGCAGTACAACATCCAGTAGTGGTTTCATGTCTTCAGAACCTATGACATTGCCATCGAGTCAAGATCTTATTATTAGCCATGGCAGACCACCACCCTTACCAATGGCATCCTACATAAACGTTGACATCAGCAGTGACGCCAGTCCACTTTCGCCATCGCACAGTATTTCCGATTCTACTACTCCATTACGGGAAGAAGCTACCGAAGTAGATGGTTCACAGCACGCTTACATGAATATCAGCCCTGGCCAAGAACATGTGGAATTAGTGACAACAAGAGTACGTCCTCCTCCATTACCACCGCTTCAACCAGACTGGGACGAAGGTTCCAGGCACTGTTATGCGAATTTAGAATCGAGCGAGATAGAAGGTCTAAGGAAACGATTCTCAGGAATCTCAATAGCTGAAAAATCGCCATTGCCGCCATCGACACCTCCAGCTGGTCCTATACGTGAAGTGAACTATGCAGTCTTGGACCTACGCAAAAAGGATATGTCTTTAACTCTGACTGCTGATAGTGTAACGAACACCACGAGTATTCCATCGCCACCAGATTCACCCAACAGACCTCTAAAAGGATACGCCACAATAGACTTTAATAAAACAGCGGCGCTATCTCATTCCGTCAATCCTAATCTTGTGAACGATAGTGAAGGATCCAGGAAGACTAGACATAACTCGACGATCAACGACCTGGCTGCACCGTCTAGGCACAGCTCTTCCATAAGTGAGTGACCCATTTTTTTTTTCGTACATGTTCTTATCCATGGGTTTGACTATACGTTTGTCGTTATCGCGAAATTCGCACAATTTTATTTGAATCAGTTGATTCTGTCACTAAGAGACTTGTACACTTTGCGATGAAGTTTTTCCTTTTTTTTTTTCTTCCTCGCAAGGGTAACGATAAACATAACTAATATGATATTCAGATCGTAGTTCAGTGAGGGATTAAATAAACGCAACAATGCTTGTCAAATTATGATATTTTATGAGAGCAGCTTTATGTTGCTAGTACTTTCTATAAAGGCTGCACAGAGAACAAATAAGGTAGCTAATTAAACGTGATTTTATAATTTTGAGCAAGTATATACATACGTATATGTATATCATTTCATGTCTGTTAATATCATTGTATAATTCATCCGTAATGTATATGCGTCTTTTATTAAGAAGTTACTTTAAAGGTGTATAATCAGGATGACATATGGCCCTAAGAGAAACATCAGCCATGACAAAAATATTAGATTAAACTACGAGCTGATAATCTACCCAGAGAGACGAAGAAATATTTTTCAACTTTTATATGTCCATGGTGAGAGAAGTAAATATTCCTGAAATATCACTTGTAAATCATGGAGTGAGAGAACGAACAATGGAGAGAAAGACAACAAAAAATAGTAGAAAAAAATGACGAAAGAGGAAAAAACTATTTTAATTAATTCTCAATGCACTTCCATATTCATTCAGGCGATTAATGAGAAAACAAAGAACAACAAAGATTAAACAACGAAATACGAACTTCGTCAGTTCTAAAGTACAAGATTGAATAATGTAAAATAATGTTTTTTTACCCCGGATTTCACTTTTATTTTTCTCCCTCTTTCTCTTCTCGTTCTTCAACCCGGGAATAGTCGCGCGATTTTGTTCTCCATTTGAAAAGTATTGACTTGGGATGTCTCAGACACCCCACGCGGCTACTCCCGGTTTAAAGAAATATTTTTTACGACACGCCCAAGCGCGTCATTTATGATACTTTCTTCGTCTATATTGAAAATTGTATATGCAAATGAATTGTACGATGACGATTTTTGCCATTGATCTTATATCGTGGGTACGTGAGAGTAAATTGTACGAAAAAAAAATGTCATCACCGTCGACTCAGTGATATGATACGTAAATGTGATAGGTGTTAAGGCCTATGAATTGATTGTAATGTAAGTATCGTAAGACTCGTACGTGAACGTAAAAAGAAAAAACTTTATTACTACTGAGCTTCTTAGTATGTATGTCTATTACAAAGAAGAAAAAAAGGGAGAGAGAAAGAGAAAGAGATAAATGCTCGTTTAAAAAGCGAAGGCATTGCTGGGGTTAGTTGATAAATTGCGTGGGTGATAAAAGTGACGCCCACAAAATTATTTAGAATCTATAATCGTTAAGGATGCACGTGGGCTGCGAGCCGCGTTGTAAATAAATTCTCACATAACCGCGTTCGAGTCTTGCATGATAACTATGTAACAGACAATTAATAACACTGGAAAACGTTAGATAAATAATAGATATATCAAAAGAATATTAAGTGTACGTATAAAAAGATAGGCCAAAGAAACTAGTATACTCTCGTTCATCTTTTATTTTCTTTTTTTTTTTTTTTCAAGATTTGATCAGCAGGAATAAAAAAGTACGCGAATAGCTGATAAAGCACATACCTAAACGTTGGCTTCGATATCAAATTTCTTTGACGCAATTGGACTGAAGGATTTTATTGTAATGCATGGCCTGTCGTGAAGTAGTTGAAGAAAAGTGTCTATTGACAGACCACCTTTATCAAATGGAGGGTACAATTCTTTTTTAATGTCTTTTTTACACGTCACTTCGGATTACTTTTTTTTTTTTTTTTTTTTTTTTTAGTAGTTAACCAAGCACATACCTAAACGTTGGCTTCGATATCAAATTTCTTTGACGCAATTGGACTGAAGGATTTTATTGTAATGCATGGCCTGTCGTGAAGTAGTTGAAGAAAAGTGTCTATTGACAGACCACCTTTATCAAATGGAGGGTACAATTCTTTTTTAATGTCTTTTTTACACGTCACTTCGGATTACTTTTTTTTTTTTTTTTTTCTTTGAAAGTAGTTAACCTGTCACTAAAGTGACTCTAGGCGTGGTAATATCTTTTTTATTGTACGTACAAGTTGTCTTGTAGGTATATTGTATAATAATGGTACGAGACTCGAGTTCGAGTTTCTTGATTTATGCCGAAGTCTTCGAGTCGTTAAACGTGGAAGCTCTTCGGTTTTCTGTTTTTCTCGCGTGATCCTCGCGAGATTTAATTAAACCGAACACAAATGACCTTATGAAGGGCCTTCGTATTTCATTAATGTACATTGTCGATTATTCCTAACGCAGAGGATAGACTACTCGGATAGTAGCGATATTAGACAAAGTGCGAATTCGATGAAGAGCCCTGATCTCCGTTCGATAGCTTTTCACATTGTTGCAGGAGCATTAAACACAGCCGTGGAAAAGTAGCTCAGCGCCGATTAATTATTTATTATTTCGACCGCGTGTTATGCCAATTGGAAGGGAAACGTATATTTACCACTGTAGCACATAAAGCCACAAAGTATGTAGATTAAGCGTAATAGACTTTAGACTTGCAGCATTTTGACCAACCAAAGAGTTTATTGGTCCTGTTGATTATCATCTCATTAGGAAATTTACTTTTTGTATATTGTTAATTTTTATTATTACGTATAAGTATGATAATGAGATTATTGGTGGATGAAAGGGAGAGAGAGAGAGAAAGTGTGTACTGTTGTAACATAAGCTATACAAATTGTCACGAGATTCGACGAATCGTGGTTGGTGGATGAGGCATGTTAAGCTCATCAATTTAATTATGAGGATGATGACGACAACAATAAGAACGCGTTGGCTCGGCCCATGCAAACCGAATATTTTATAAGAAAGCCTACAAGAGCATCTAAAATACAGCTAGGCGAAGTCTCGTTCCATTTTTGTGAATACTGGATCGTGCCAAAGATAATAGAGAAAAGGAAGGGACGAAAAGAAGAGTGCGAGTATTTGTTTTTATTATTGTAAATTCTAAATTAGCCTAACTGATAGTGTCAAAGCTGCGATTGAACGGTTATAAAATAGACAAGGGTACCTCGTTAGGTTGATAAAAGCAAGTACCAAACAATAAAGAAGCATTGCTCCATTTTTGCAGCTATGATAATGCAACCATATTTGCTATAGGCATGTACATCGAACTGATTTTTTATTGAGATATACATAAACATTATAATATGTATGAAAAAGAAAGAAAAAAAAAGAAAAAAAGAAAACTAGTGCATAGAACCTAACATAGACCTATGTATATTATTAGGCATCGAATATATAAATTTGTGTCTCAACTGCGACAGCATTATGTCCAGATGAGAAAAATGTGGCAATTACGCCGTCTTGAACGGCGAATCGCGAAATCCTTAAAATTTCGCGGCAATCTTGATAACGTAGATACGACGAAATTGGTTCAAAGTGGCGGCTCGCATGTTTACTTTCTCAAAATCCACACGTTTCTTCAAGTATAATCTACACCAGTTGAGACACAGCTTAACGCAAGTAATCTGTACACATACATTTGCAAAGAAACAGGAAAAAAAAAGAAAGAAATTTGCAAAGGCAAGTACGTACTACGATAACCCATAGACTTGCGAACGAGGATGGCGCATTGGCGTACCTTAGGCGAGCATTATTACCCGAGTACAAGGCAACCAAATCCCGATGGCTGTGAAACATCATTTGCCGCGAATAATATATTCTTCTTCAATTGAATTAAGCGCCCTTTCTTAAATACGTTGAGCAACGCTCATCGTGTTTAGGAACGATTTCACACGCAGTGCGTGAAATAATTCATAATAAGATTAAGGATATGATAGAATATTCAGAGACAAACGTCACTTTATTTTTCTATGACGAAGGAACGTTAACGGCATTCGACGAGAGTACCGGATGGGAGTTGAGCGAACGAGATTAATAATTTTAAATAATTAAATAGAAAAAGAGGGGGGGGGAGAGACAGAGAAAGCGAGAGCCGAGCATTCCAATATAACTCGCAAGCAATGTCGCTCGCGCCATTTAAAATAGTCAAAAGTTACTCTGGTTCTTTGCAGGCGCATTGGCGTCGTTGTGTCATCCTCGTTAACAAGTGAGCCTCACAGTACACCTAATGTCAAGTCATATTTTAATAAAAGGTAGCTTAGAATTATTTTATAAATATCTGTACATAGGGAACCAAAGAAACACATGTCATTTCATTGATTTGTGCCTCATCTCAAATCATACATATGAAATATATGAAAATGTTATACAAAACTGTCTTTTTCATTTGAAACGAGTACAAATCATTGTAAAGCGATGCAGGTCTGTATAGCGTGATAACTCTTTATTTTAACGTATATTATACATACATTTAATCCGTATACGCTTTTACTTTAACGCTATTAATAAGACTCGTTATTCCCATTCACAGGCACACGTCGGGTCATCAGTTGAATTTCCAAAGGCAGATCTCTGATTCAAAAGAGTCTCGAACTTTTTTCGAGAAATAATTTTTTTAAGGAAAAAGAAAGATGACCAACAAGAAATGTTTTCCATAAAACAAAAATATTCTCCGTCTGTCGTCGCGGGTGACAGTCTAATTTATAATATCACAATAAGGTTATAAAATCGTAATATTTGCGAAACAGCGTTGTGACAGTGAGAACAAGACAATGAAAACGGGTAAGAGTAACAAATGTAAAACTGTCAAATTTAAAGGAAACGAAGAGAATGCTTCGGTGTTATCAAGCGGCCAGCTGACGACGTCTTGTCAGTTCGTGATCGATCAGTATCGAAATATCAGGATGACGATGATTAAACGTTGTCGTACAATAATGAGCCGTTTGACTAGGATCAGCACCAGCCTTTAGTAAAAGTTTGACAGCGTTAACGAATCCGCTCTCGGCGGCCACTTGGAGCGAGGTCAAGCCTTCGTCATTGACTTTTTCCAATTGCGCAAGAGGGGACGTAACCAATAAAGAAACTATTTGATGAAACCCTCTAGCGGACGCAAGATGCAACGGAGTATTTCCGCCAGCATCCTGTAGACTGGGATCTTCGCCGTGTTCCAGGAGTCTTGCCACCATTTCCAGCTGATTCTTCCTGGCTGCTATGTGCAATGGCGTCTCACCGTAACGAGACGTAATATCCACCGGAGTATGAGGCATTAACAGGAGGGCTGTATTCAGAGCACCGCATTCGAGACACTCGTGCAATGGCGTCTCGCCTCTGTCGTTTTTCAAAGCAGGATCTGCTCCAGCCTCTAGTAACCTTTTAATCAATGCTTCTATTTCCGTTCTGTGATTGCTATCTGTAAAATTATTGTTGATTAACGTAATGAAGTATCTTTCAGGAAAAAATTGACGTTGGTAAGAATACAACGGCAGACATATTTGTATTAGACACTGACAAGGGTTTTGGCGTATCGAAATACGTGGTACGAGTGTCTCTTGGAAACTTGATAAGCGATAAGAATGTGATGCTCTGTGGTTGTCGGCCACGATACATTACATTCTCAATGCAGCGAAACCAGGTAAGCGATATTGTATCCACATGTTAACATACCAAATACTGATGACGATGCGAGGATATGTAAAGCGCTACGTCCTTGATGATCCCTTGCGTTGACTGGTCCTGCTTTTGCCAACAGATCCAGGGTCTTTACTGCTTCTTGGAAATTGTGATGGAGACTTCTGGAACCCTGTGCGTATGCTAGTTGACGTGTGAAAACATGCAAGGCTGTCAGTCCGCCGCCGGCCTCCTTAACTCCAGGTGGACAGCCATGGTTTAATAGTTCTTCTACGAATTTTAAAACGTTCGCCAGGCCGCCATTCAATATGGCACGGTGAAGAGCTGTTTCACCTCGTGGAGAACGTGCTGCTGGATCGCAACCACTTGAGAGCAACGCACTGGAGATTGATCAATAAAAATCATATATTACTTATCAACGATAGGTTTTCTGTTTTGATGGTCGTCATTCTGAGATTCAATGTGGTCGTTTATTTGATCATGAAAAAATTTGTGGATATGCCTTGATAGACGGTATGCCAAGCAAAGTGATGCTTTTGAAAATAAAAGAACTGTTCAATTGAATGAATTGGTGAATTTTTGCAGGACTTATTATACATATGAATCATGCTTTCCATTATTCGTGACGTGGTTCTATTTAAGTCCAAGACAATGATCTGCGGTCTTGCGAAGGATGGGACTTCTGGAATTTTGTTATCATAATCAAACACGGCATTTCCGGATGGTAATTGTGCAAGAAACAACTTGTGGTCAGCTCATTTAAAATACGATCGAAGGGAAACGACGGACGCGTTTTAAACTTCAAAAGCATCGACCCATTCAGATAAGCTTAAGAGGTACTGAAAAGGTCTTTTACCTGAGTACAGGTAGACAGTGATTTGTAGCAGCCACTAGTAACGGTGGATCCCCTGACACGTTCCAATCCGGTTCGTCGAGATTTTTGACGACGCCACGCGCTACGAGCATCGCGACGCTCTTAACATCTCCCGTGCGAACAGCCTCGTGAAAGCTAAGGTCTTCCTCCGGGTCGTAGATTTCTTCCAATTTATCCTCTATCGGTACACGAGTGATCACATAAGACATATTTCTCAGGGTACTATTTACTGCTTCGAAAACATGTTGTTTAGGTACTCCTGAACCTGTTCTACCATTCTCAGTATTTCGCATTACCGATTTCTCGATTTCTTCAATTTGTTCCTTAAGGGTGACGTTTGACGCAAAATTGCATTTGGTGTCGGCTCTCGTCTTTTCATCATCATCGGTGTCTAAGTCAATTTCTGTACAGTTATTTAAGTCCCAGCACTCCTGATAAGATTCTTGTTGAATCTTCCTATCTTTGGGACTATTAACTGTTCCCTGTACTATCTCACAAGTATCCCCAGAGAGATCTCTTGCACTCCGAAAAGATGCCTCGTCGCACGAAGCCACTTCAATGGAATCCGAAGTCTCTGAAACCGGCGTGGAATCATCTCCAGGGAATATCGCACCAACTGTCCCAACAGAAATCTTAAAGCTCTCGGAAACATCCGTATTTCCTAAATCGTCTAAAGAGGATCTAGAAATCTTTCTAAGACTCGCCATGGCCACATGTTCAGCTGTTCCCAGCTCGCTATTAGCGGCCTCGCATTTATTTTCCATCTCTCCACGCGATTCGCAACCAGTCTCATCGCACAGGGAGGCCTCGAACTTCTCGCAGAACTCGGCAAATTCCTTGGTCTCCTCGCAGCAAGCGTTCTGTTGAAGACTCGCCAAATATCGGGACGAAATTCTTTCCTCGTCGACGGACGAGTTGGCAGGCTCCTCCAGACAAATATTTCCACTTTTTCGCATAATCAAAGCACCACCAGGAGTCAACATCGTAGCGATAATCGTCTTTTTCACGACTTCCTCATTCTCGATCGTAACAGGTTCGTCCGTATGAGCAGCCGTCATGACGATTTACGTTAATTGGCCTCTTTAATCGACGACGATCGTTTTTAATTGACCAAGTGAACGACGCCTTTTCTTTAACGATCTCTGCCTCTAAACTGGTTCGCGCACTGAAGTCTCGCGAGTCTCCTGAAAGTACTGAGAAAAATAAATGTTTTCCAATGAATACTTCTATCTATATTTATTTTGGTCTTTCGATACCGATCAAACAGTCACGCACATTGCGGGACACCTGTACGACTACCAAATGACTGTTTCGTGTAAAACGCACGTCTAGCTCTCTTTCTTTCTATAAGGTCGACAAACACTGTCTGGTAACCCTGAAGACACTCACCACGCATAGTAGGCGCGACGAGACTAAAAACTAAAATGCGTCCACGCGGCGATGCACTCTACAGTTTCTCTCTGTCTCTCTTCGCCCCTAGCATCCCGGGCCCGTGAACCCCAACTCGGTAGCCCCACTACCCGATTCCTACCTCCTCAGAATCTACCGCGCATAGGCGTAGAGAGTCAGGAATGTTAGCATTCTTCAACTTGTCTCTCTCAATTCTCCGTCAGAAGATAGACTCACGCAACCCTACTCCTTGTGACTGTTGTTTATCAATCATCGAATCAGCAACTTTATAATTGGACCACTGAGCAAATGTCTTTCTGTATTTCTGTCAATATATATTTCTCATCGAATTTGTTAACTTCACTGAATACAATCAAATAATTATTTCTGGTAAGAATATATATTTCTCTTGAAAGTACCCGGTACATCTCCAATGGACGAGATACGATTCCTTTGCCTCTAGGCTGACCTTCATCCCTGGTTCCTCTCTTTGGACTTCAATTGCCAAATCATTTCGTGTTAGCGAGACACTCGTTAAAACTTAAATTTATTAGTTCTCAGAGGTGAGTCTACTGTTTTTCAATTAAGCACGTCAGTTGCTTCTTATTTGTGATTGGATTGAATTTCTTGTACGTAGTCGCTACGATAACCGGAGGCTACGACACCTCGTGCTACTGCGAGTTATTCGAAAAACAAATATGAAAGCTACATTATATTTATTGTGATAACATACAATAAAATTTCGAATAACATTACGAATTTATAGTCAAGAAACGTTTATTAAGTATTTAACATTGATAGACATTGGTCTATCTGGTAGCTCAAGCGACCCAGATTATTTTGACAAGAATGCACTCTCAAAACAAACATGGAGGAGATACGACCTTATTCTAGTGATCGTACATTAAGTGACTACATACTATCATTTTGTATACGTCAGCAAAGATCAACTTGATATTTCTACACGATGCGTGACACGCACTTTGAAGTCTCATACTCAAAGTCACATCACGTACAGGTTGTTACCATACGTGATGCTTCTTTGATTTATCGGTCTCGTAGAAGCCATTAAATATATGCTAATAAATGTACGATTATTCGAGCGTTATTTTTAATCCATAAGTTATTACTAGTGCCTTTAATTTGTATCCATAATTAGAAAAGCCTATGGTGTAATAATTGATATATCCTTGAGGCTAAATCATTTTTGACGTTTCAACTTAATAATTGGTACAAGGATTCTGATACAGGATAATGAAATGTACTTTATCGTAATAACAGCCTTGCCTTTATATTTTATAAATGAACGTTACAGTAGCACTTTTATAAGCATTAGCCGTTGGTATATAGATTTTCGTTAAATTAAAGGTCATCGGCATACCTGATCTTCTTTTTATCACTTTTTACTTGTTTACTTCCATTATTCTCAAGATATCACACTTTCTTAGGGTAATACAACGAAGGGAATAATCATCATCATGAGAATATCATTATCGATGAGTGCATATACGCGATATTGTGATAGATAAGAAAATATTCAAATTTGTTTTTCCGGTAAGGCTGCTGTTCAGTTAGACCTATGTGTGTATATGTATATGGAATGATGACGTGGTAAGTTATACAATTTTTGATACACTTCGAACGCAGATGACCCTCTGTAGTGTCGTATAAGGCAAGTGGATGGATCAATGAATTGAAAACACAGAAGAAAAATGGTTTTGAAGGTTTACTAGGTTCTGAAGCCACCGATCTGTGTACGTGGGCACGCATAATTTAGCTGAACAGCAGCCTTATGTCAAAAATTGATTTTACGTCAAATCCCATTGTTGTTATTTCTTAAGAATATCAGGGATAACGGAACAGTTTGCACTTTTGAGGATTCAGGTAGTTCTGTTTCGGGTACAGCAACTTTACAAAGTTCTCAAGATATTTTTTCGACAGCCGGATGGTAATGCGTTTAAAATTTATCATTCTTGAAGAGGCCGACCCTAAGAAGTTACGCTTCGGTTCTGTTTGAGACTGCAGTATTAAACGTGCACAGAAAACTTTTTCTAAGCCACATGTGCACATGTGCGTGAGCTTCTTCTCTCGGGTTGCATTAGCCCTTTTTTGTTCATCTAAAATCCTGGCCGATGACCCAAACTGCTTCTTAGTAACTTTTGGGCCAAGGGCATAATAAATAGGATGCGTTTCATTTTGTAATCCTAATGGATATTCGATTTGAAAAGACGAATAAAGAAGAAAAATGGTGACTTTTGTTTTCTACTCGGAGTACCGTGGGAACTTTTTCTCAAACATCTTGATATTGGGATATCTGAGGAGCGAGATGGCGATGATAATAATAACGCATTAATGGACGATAAAGAATGTTCTTGTCAAAAGTACTTTATTGAACGGTTATGAATGTCAACACGTATTATTATGAAACACTTTTACGCCTCGATAAAAATCAAAAGCCTTCGAGTAGCGTTAAATTTGTGAGAAGTACTTTAAAGTGGCACGCCCTTGAAATTGTCTTACATATGAGAATGCAAGAAAAAATATTAAAATTGAAACATAAACATGGTAATCCTTTCGGAACATTCGTCTCAAAGCCTATTTGTCGTCTATGATTGGTATCGCTGCGTTTGTTGGTTGTAATCTTAGGATATCAGTCGTCGCGAGTATCCCCATTAACTTTCCCATTCGGAGTACTTCTAAAAGGAGCATAATAAATAAGTATTATCTATAATTTAGTGAGTATAAATACTTGATTGCTGATTAAAGTAAAATTGCAGAAATACATCGAACAGTGAAACATATGAAGAAATTAATGAAACTTTTAAATCCTCTAACGGGGAATAATTCTCAAAACATTAATTAAGCGCGTGACATTTACCGTTTTTTACCTGCTGCGAGATCTAGAGACAGATCTAGACTTGGATCTGCGTGGACTTCGATCTCTTGATGCTGATCTTCCTTTGCTGCGAGATGTATCGCGTTCTCGATCGCGGCCAGCTCTGCTACGAGATCGGCTGCGTGATGCTGAGCGAGACCTTGTATGCTTGCTTCTGGAACGGGAACGGGATCGGGAGCGAGAGCGTGATCGCGATCGTGAGCGTGACCTAGAGGAAGACCTACAATGAATTTGTCATTAAAATGATGATCAAACAATTAATGCCTAGATAAGTATATATTACGAGAGATTTCTGTGTTACATTGTTATACTGGCTCAAAAACATGCTCCATGCGCAGACGCACTTTGCTCCGCTCATGTATAAAGAAATTGATTGTAATATTTATAAATTGTAACCGATCTTTGTAGATATACTGATACATTAGTCAATATTGCGGAACCCACAAATTGACCTATGCTACTGGCACGTTAATTCATTTGTAAATCTAGATTGAATACGTGTTTCACATAATTTTAAAGATATTCATTAAGGTACATGCATGATCGAAACTTAGACTTTAACAATCATTTGAATCATAGACTTGATCAAGTTCCAATTAAACAAATGACTTTGATATAACAAACTTGAGTAAGGTATATGGTCTTTGGTTCGTTGCCTTTAGTCATTTAGACAATGATATTACTGACCGCTGATTACATCAGGCTTGATTGTAGACATTCAAAAGAAGCAGAGTAGTGAGTGAGCGAGCGCAGAGCGAGCACAGTGAATCGTAAAATGAGGAATCATTATTCGATATATCAGTAATCGGTTAGACGTTGGAGTCGCTGGAGCCCAATGCTTACACACGAAGCACTCTCTTCGATATATTTGATGATTGTTCTGTTTATGTACCATCGTTCGTCGCTGCCTATAGTAGGCAGTGGAGGTACACGCGATGGCAATGCCAGGAAGGGGAGATCGGACGAGCACTTATGCAGATGAAATTGCGCGAGGGTCAGATGGACGCACGAAGAGTGGCTAGACAGGACGGTCAAAGTCGGTATCCCGGTGACCGCTAGGTACTACGCCGACTAGGCACGAACAGTGAGCTGAACGGAGTTGTCTGGAGCTAGCAGAAGTGGCGAAGTGCGCGAACTCTCTGTCTAGGGTGATGTCAGTGGTCAATGGAAGTACCGAAGTGCGCAGGACTAGCCACTCCGTCGACCACTTTTGTCTCTCTCGCTTGTAGAGTGCAGAAGGAAACCCAAAGTAGGTGGGTGCTCTACGCTGTAACTACGCAGTGTGTGTGTCACAAAGTGAACCCAAGGCGAATCTCGCGAGAATCTCAGTAGCAACACATTTCTCATGCGTATGCCTGTTCAGCCGCATCTCCTATAAATAACGGGCAGGATTACATCGGCATCGTCCTCCATTAATTCATCCAATATATTTTTGTTTTCTTAGCTTCCTAGATATCATTCTGACGTGATTCAGATAACCTAAGTAGATTACGGACTTTCTGACACCTTTAGATATTAGTGATTCCCTATAACTTACCATGAGGCAGTGATAGACACAATTGCACTTGGTTGTATTAATAAAATAATGAAGTAGATATAGGTCTATATGTATCGTTGATAAATAAAGCTTAGCACATTACAGTAATTGGACTGTACATAACAGATGATATTGATGAGACATTGCTTAAAATGAACTCAGAACTCAGAAGGAACACTTTGTGGGATCTAATATTAATTTAATTATAGGACGTTAACGTAAGCAAACAAAAATTAATTACTATGATAAATCTTTCACAAGAGATAATCTAGGCCTCTTATTAGCAAAATGTTTGCGATTATTATTATCATTTTTTGTTTGCTTATCCTATAGTGATATTCTTAAACCGAAATGAAGAATCAATTAGATCTTTAATACAATACGCACCTTCTTCTGCGAGAACTTCTATGGCGTGGACAATCTCTTGCATAATGTCCTCGCTCTCCACACTCGTAACAGCGATCTTCAGGATGGAATGGCCTTCCAGTGGCACCACGTCTAGTAGGACCCCTGGCTCTTAATCTTTTCCCATTAGACGGTTCAACCCTTGCTCTTCTACCACAAATAGTACGTCCATCGAGACCCCTGACTGCATCCTCGGCATCTCTTGGATCCTCAAATTCCACAAAAGCAAATCCAGGAGGATTTCTGGCTACCCAAACATTTCTTAGAGGTCCGTAGTAAGAGAAGGCATCTTCTAATTCCTGCTTCGTTGCACTGCTGCCCAAGTCACCAACATAGACCTTGCAGTCTGATGGATACCTCGACATCTGGAAAGAAGATTTATAATTCCAAAATATAACCAAAACAAAGATCTTTTCAGAGCAAGTGTGATAAACATTATTTTAACGCAAAGAATTAATATTCCAATAGTTCCAATAATTCTTGCTTCATATCTTCCATGCTGACTTGCAATACATTTATTCCCAAATGAAGAAAGTCTTAGCTCAATATATTCTCTGAAAATATGACAAACAACATACCTTATTCATTGCCATTTTGGCAGCGGGTTTACCGCACTTAAAACAATCTACAGAAATTCGTCGCAGTCTTGAAAAATACCAATTGTTCAACGCGGCGTCAACTCCCTCCCTGATATCGATCTTGATAATACAAAATGGTCGCTCAAGCCGTCCTTTTAATAATCGACGAAGAAGCGATTCGCATGCAACCGCTTCACAAGCGACGAAGCAACCACAGCGCACCTACCAATGATAGTTGCTATTGTCACAGGCTATCAGCCAATACACGTTCAGTCTTTGAATAGCACAGTGCGCGCCATAGTAATATTATCGTTTCTATCTTTTTTAGCCGTGATAATACAATTAATCGATCATAAAAGGACAACTAAACATTGATAACAATATAATGAGGATTATCTTTATATCTTATCTTGATAACGTGCTTTGTTTGGTTTAATTTGCACTGTCAAAAAATATCAAAAAATTTAATGTATAGGGGACCCTGACGATCAACAATACGGTCCTGATAATTCTACTCCCACTTCTCTAGACATACATTCCATCCACAGGCGGCAACTTCAGGCTACTCTACGCCGGTCAGCAGTTTGTTTTCTTTTTCAGTAGTCTTGCTGAGTGCATGGAGAGAGGTTGTCTTTTTTGCTCCTCGCTCTTCTCAGTTCTTTCAAACGCTCCCTCAAAGTGAACTGTCTCACAGGAGTATCTACATGAGATGTAGATAATCGACGGTCTCATCGCGTTAGCTATCCTCGCGATCAATTTCTTTGATGTTTAAACGTCTACTAAGCATTATTTTTTGTGATGTTTTGTGTCTGAGCAAGTATTGCGGTAGGTCGGGCGCATCGAAGGAAATGACTTCGTTACACTTGGAGGCTACCGACCCAGCGAACATTCTTTCGCTCCTTCAGGATCTTTCAGATCTTCCCTGCAATGACGTGCAGCAAAAGCTCAATAAATATGTGAGTCCTTTAATTCAACTAACTACGTCTTTTATTATAACTTATATAACCTCTATCTTTTTATTGTTTATATCGTCAGATAGCTCAATGATCGCATCATACAGTGTGTCAAATCTATGCGACGATTGAAATGTTATGAAGTATTGTTTATACACTGAGATAATAATTGATGTAAACTTAGTTTTTGTTCTATAGGTATGTTACGCCTTAAATTTTTTTTTTGCTAAAACCTTTCATGCTTTTATCTATTACGTCTCGCAAGACCAAGCGCTACGCATATTCGCAATAATCTCTCATAAGCTTCATTAATCTCTAGTGTCATTTTATCGTTTGAATAAGATCATATTCTCGATTAGAGCCAATGTTACCTCGAATATTGGCTATGCGAATATATTAATACTGTTACGAGAAATTTTACATAGTCCCAATCGCGACGATTTTACAATTAAGTATCAAGTATCAGTAGTCGCGAAATGATTGAAATATTTACAATTTCATGTAATCGATTGAGTAAACGTGATTTATTTACATTTTTCTTTTATTTACAGTTCCAACTGGCGACTGGAGCGAAGGTATCGTTCCTGGCTCCAATTTTAGTAGAGTCTGAAGAGATGGTAATCCATGTTGTTGGAGAGAAGATTCTTGATCGTGAGCTAAGGTTCCCAGTAAGCCAATCCAATGTAATATACAATATCATAGGTATTCTGGATTTATTTGTTTGTTTTTCTGTCACCCTGTGTTTGCAACACTTCCTCAAATTCCTTGGCTTTTACTGACAATTTGTCACACAAGGCAATGGTGCTGCTTACTTTTCACTTCAGGGACTATGATCATAACAAATTACCTATGCATACATTTCAAGTTCATTCTGTTACACCTTTCACAAAACATTGCTAAATGCTCTCATACAATCTTTATGGCCAGAAGAGTCCATAAGTTGATTTATTAGAGCATCAGAAAGCTTTGTCACTCTGAATATCAATTTGTCAAAAAAAGAAACTAGGTCAACCTTTACTACTGGTTAGGACTACAAAACGTACATTAATCCAGGGTGGACCACGTAGTGTCACAGGTTGTTTGGCATGTATATCAGATAACAGAAACAAGACAAACATTGCCTCGTTAGCTGTTCCCGTCCTCTCCTCTCATAAAACTCTCAGCACTTTCAAACCTCATGGGTCAACATTTGTGGTTGAACATTTACCATGATTTATAATGTCAAGTGTTTGCGTCACGTAGTACGCTAGTCCCTGATAATTCGCCGGCTTAAAGTTAACTTTGAACCTTAAAATAAATCGAGGGCATGCAAATTTGTTGTTCTGACGTAACAATTTATTGCAAAATCAGTATCAGCGGGAGGTAGTGATTTTTATGATACATTGAAAAAGAGCCGCTTTCTCAAAATAACTATCTCACTTTTAATCTCACTAGTATAAATTCTTTGACGTACATACAATCAAATAGAGGGAAATCAGTGCCGCGTGACTTCCCACCGAATGTTTATACTCTTGGATGATATAATAGCGTAAATCTTTTCAAGAACTATATCTTTTGCCCAATGTTTCTCCAATCCCGCGAAATTCAAATAAACGTTCAGTGTGCTTCGTATCACTTCGTTTTCTCAATTATCACAAAATCTTGAAATCAACACTACCAGATGAACATACTGAAGATCCGTTCGTATTGTTTTGAAAAATTTCAAAATTTGACACCGGATCTTATCGCAATAACTGATCGCCTGATAAACGACTACGCGGCTGCAGCTTGCCGTATATAGTAGTAACGTAATACGGCATGTGTAGTGTGACGTCATAGCATGACAGATTGAAGCTGTCCCACACGTGGATTAAGATAAGTGCAGTTTGTCTGAGGACTATATGGTAAAAGCTGGGATTAATTGTCAAGTAGGAAAGTTCGTTTCTGTGTATAGAGAACAGGTCAGATTCCATGTATCGAATTACTATCCCCCTGAATTACATATACGTATATGGCTCCGTGTATATATATATATATATATATATATTGTCCATAAAAGTGAAATAAAAAAGATCCGTTTTATGTAACACATCAAAGTAACGCCGAACTTATTGATTTTGCCTACAACTGTTCTCTCTTTTGATTAGATAACCCCATGTAACCCGAATGGGATAGATACTCCAAATTAGTATAATTAACTAATTGCAATTAAACAGACGCCCTGGGGCTACCATTTAGCCAATTAAACGGCATTGGAAATTACGAGGACGATACCGGCATTAAATGTTGGCATCCTGCTACGACTTTTAGTCATGCAACCAATATCGTTATAATGGGCTTTTGTATCGAATACCTGATATCAATATAGTTAATTATAACACTGAAATAGGTATCGCACGGTTCACCTGACGTTCGTCCTCCGCTGTTCAATATATAATACGCAAATAGCATATTTTTCGTGATGATAATTTTTGATCTCGAATTATATACAGATTTACACAAGCGAATTTACTTCGTCTCACTGACGGTTACGTCAATATTCGTATACGAATCTGACGAATAAATGTTATCATTTCGTCGTATTATACATCCAGCGAAATTTATCCGGTAGCTGTATCTTCGTAGTGTAATATTTATTTGCATAATTGAACGAAAATTCTCTTCTGAATTGATACGATCACGAGATTGTTGTTCCTTGCGCTAGGACACGTGGATAGCCTGATCGTATACGAGCTTCGGTAACTCATTGTCATATAGTAAAAGTCAATAAAGGGCATACAGTACAGCTAATCAGTGGATTTAATGAATTTTTTTTTTTAAATCTGTTAATCGCTGCAATATATTTCGAAGTACAAAAGACCAATAACAATTAGGTCCTTATTTTGGTTAGACCCGGATGCGCCTATCGCGGTAGCCTTGAACGATACTGCGATTACGCAAATATCGTTATACGCCCATTAAAACGTTGGTGTACCACCTATACTGAAAGATTATTACGTAATTGTTTCTTGCCTATGCGCGTAGATTATTATACCTGGTAGCAGTATCATCAATCAATATTTTGTAACCCGGTCGTAAACTGTTGCTAATATCTATCGATAAAAAGATATCGTCTCGTATTATGGGTTCCACGTGTTAAATCATGATGTAAGATAAGAACGAAGATAGCGAAGAAAACGAAGAATATTTTTCTATACGGGATACGTGTCTCTGCGTTAATAATCGATCGACGATAACCATAACGTAATAGAAATAAACTGCTATTCCTTATACTACGCTGATAAGTTTCCTAGGTTCTTATTGCTCTGCCGATAACAATTATTTTCAATGGGAAAGATATTTGACCTTTCCGCCACACTCCGGTCGGATAGCTCGATGTTTTTGTAATCAAGTATCACCAGTGCAATTATACGTATCCGTATCCAGTCTTCATATAGCAGACTATTAACTTTTAGGAAAAGTGCCGACCTCGTCTTCCGCATACAAATCGTAAGCTTGCAGCACGCGTACGATCACGCTCCAGTTATACACGGAAAAGACGTGTCTTTAATTTTTCAAGCAGTTCGATCGGTAGACGCTTCGTGCATTTGCTTTATTTTGAGCGAGACCCAACCTACCTTCTTCGAAGGCGGCAGTATGACTTGGAAAAGTTTTAACAATGTTTTAGGTGGTGCCACTTGGTATGGCGTAATGGTCGGTAACGTAGATAAGTTTGTCACGAAAGTAGTATCCGACTTAACGACATCTAACGTTGGACTGCTTGACGCGACGCATAACTTGACTTTATCGTCGAGTTCCACATTGTTGATGTTGCGTACGGAATTATAGCGTTCGAATTGAAATGTCCTTTTCTTCGAGGAGACGCGGTCTGAATGGCTACTGCGACGGAAGAGTCTGGCGGACTCGTACGTGAGATATTATTTACGTCCGAGATGAATGACTCTGAAAGGAATTTTTTTGACGACCTTGGTGTCTCGCGTGGGGTATGATATTTTGGCGTTTAATGGATATTTGCAAATTTTTATGCCAATTTGAAAATTGTACGTGAGAGTCGGTGAGATGAATGCGGAAGTGTCGTGTTTTCTCTATTTTTTTTGCTAATCGTAAGCTCCTTGGCGACACGTAATCTGCAGGCTCCACACCTGCAAATCTGCATTACAGAAGCCGTATAAGTATCTGGAACTGATATCGTATTCAGGTTCGGGGTTTGTTTTAGTAGAAATACTTGTTACATTCTATTCTGAAGTAGGTTCGATATTTTCAATGTAAAGTCAATACATTATATTTCAAAGAATCAAAGTAGAGGTCTCTAAATATTTTGTTTTCACGTTTGCGTGTTTATAATGACGTTTTCGATGATTGCAAATGGCTACTTTATTTCTCTTTATTTTAATGCTTTCTTCTGTTTGTAACTTCAAATCCTCCGTTATGGGTTGTGTAGTCCGGAACGATTTTTTATGCAATTTAGCATAATGTACGAGCGAGCTTTGATCTTTACAAAGACAGAATGTCGTGTTTGATTTTAACTTTTTTCTTTCGACTTCAAATTTTTTTATAAATTCTAATGACGTGATCAATCTCGCAAGCGACTGTCACTCATTGTATTCGCGAAGCTTTGATCGTTAATCTCTAATCAGTACTAATTTAAATCAAACGCTTGACAGGCTTTATCGACTTCCCTGTTATTTAACTCTACATTTCTTCAGTGCCAAACAATGTATTTTTATACGTGATATAAAATTCCGGTCAAGTAATGTTATTAGTGATAAGACCATCACTTATCACACTTGATTTAATAATCATTGTGTAATTAGATTTGCTATATAGCATATATATAAACATATACACACAAATACGTCATCCAACAATGAAATCATATCAGGTCATTACCAGAACATGTTAAGCCAAATTCGTAGTATCGCAGGCACGATTATTATGTACAGCTTTGATAAGAAAATTGAATAAAAAAAATGCAAGATATAAAAATTACTGCGTTTCAAATTTTAGGTCACGTCCAAGAAATAAAAAGGGTTGATCCAGCGATATTATCTAATCGCGATCTATTGACTATATCGAAGAACTCGGTCTGCAGTTTTAATTGCTACACTGTGTAATCCGTCAAGTATCGTTCTCAATAACAAATGCATACAATAGCATCACACAGCGACTCGACTCCATTCAAATTTCGACAACGATCTGTGTCTCCGTGGTATTGCAGAAAATAAAAAATAAAAATGACACGTATAAAATTTGATATTTTTTATCGGCTCGATCACCGCCAACGTGTTCTCAATGTCCTCGATGTTTTTGAGTACGATTTTTATTTTTTATTTCTCCTTTGTGACATTTCTCACTCATTAATAGTATATTCTGCAGCTAGTGCGTAAAGTGAACATTTTTTCACTGTCTGTTTTTCACTCGCGTGATCGCCACAAGAATCGTCATCGTCTCCGCCGGCGACTCGTTTGCGATGATCACGCGAGTGAAAAACAGTCAGGCACGAGTTGCATACGCTATTTTTTGCACGGCGTGAGTAAAGTTCATGTGTAAAGTTCGATTTTCAGCGCGTAAACTGTACTTCTCACGTTACACACAGTATGAAAAAAGTACACTTTACGCACTGAAAAACGAACTTTACACATGAACTTTATTCACGGCCGTGCAAAAAATCTCTTACGGTACCTTTTTGACATGTGCACCCCTTCCACTTTTAATCGTATCTTTTTCATAACGATGGCTTACGTGATCATTGTCGCGTGTATGACTCACCGCAAGACGTAGAAGGACTTTCATCTTACTTCCTCTTCAATTACCGAGTTGAGTAATCACTGTGGTCGCTTTACCCGCCGGAAGTTGTCAATGTACGAGAAGCTTTTCTGGTATTTGGAGACAAGTACGAATAGTCGATCCATTAAATATTACAGGTGCTGAATCACGTGTTACATCGTACAGTCAAGCAGCGCAAGTCACTGACTGCAAACGCCATGGATTTTGATCAGGAACTACTGGCTCATCTTCACTCAGTAATAAATCCAATGCCGGATTTATTTTTGACCATTCCGGTTCAACATCCCATTAAACAGCACATCGCTCTAGTTGTTTGCTTGGTCGACTATGCCAACGAGGACAATGCCGAATTTATATGCACGCAGATCGTCCAAGAGTGCTTCAGGTAAAATTGCCATTGCCTTTGACGTAGGACGAGAGAGCGGCTTGGATGATGTATTATGGTGCGTTTTATGATGCGCAATATATTGATATGCACTCCATGAATTTACGATAAGCGATTCGGCGACTATGCAAATTAAGTCCGACGATCTTGGTCAGGAGGAAAGCTACGCTTCGTCCTTGCCCCTCTCCTATTTGTCAGTTTTTAATGTCTGCTTCGAGCGCCAGGGCGCGTCGCTTTTATGTACTTCAATAAGTAGTCGAGTAGATGCTGTTTGTTATGATAACCAGCCATTTCATAAATGGCAGATTAGATCGGTGAACGTCGAGGCTAATGTTGCATAATATATTGTAGTTTTCACCTTGTTAACCTATTGTTGATTTGAAATATTCAGTTTATTTGTTGTTGAGAAATTTCTCTTTGTTGATTTTTCATAATTTTGCATACATTTGAAATTTCTACTCGAGCCGAGCGCCCTGGCGGGAGATGGTAGAACTTCAATGTACGTTAGTTAATTTATACTAGTTGATTCTTTGATATGTCGGACAAAAATTTGATATCCGTCGGAAAAGGGGCGAGACTATCATTGAAATCTTTTTGCAGTTACATACTGGGTGGGATTAATGTTACAGGTACTGCCTTGGTCTTTTATTAAGCACATTACGATGTCAAGAGGAAACACGGTTGAAGATTCAATGCCAAGATCTACTTGCTGTTTCGCGAAAGCTTTTCACTCGTTTGGGTATATATTTTTATAAAGCTTTCTCTTTATTGTTATTTTAAGTGTCACGCGTCGAATTTATTGGCTCTCTTTAATCCAGGAGACCTGTCCGATCTCTTGCGTGAAATTATGGCAGAAGCTCGAAAGTTAACGCACGCCGAACGTTGTTCCTTATTCTTACTGGATCCGGAACAAGAGGACTTGGTAGCCAAGGTTTTCGATGGAGTTTCCACTAGAGACGTGAGTCAAGTTTTGAATCATTATTTTTTATAATAAATTGTTTCTTTGTTAAATCGCTGAACACGACTCGTGTAAATTTTTATTTACAGTCTGTGAAGGAAATGAGAATTGCTCGTGGACAAGGTATCGCAGGACATGTCGCAACTTCCGGAAAATTGCTTAACATCCGAAACGCATACGACCATCCACTTTTTTATCGTGGTATAGACGAAGTGACTGGTTTCAAAACGAAGAACATCCTTTGTTTTCCAATTCGCGACGAGAACGGAATAATTGGTTGGTATTCTTGTACTTTATCATTAACAGAAGTGAATTGGATTACGAATGTTTGTTTTTGTTATCGTTAAGGCGTTGCTCAACTCTGTAATAAAATGAATGGATTGTACTTTGACGTATGCGACGAGGAAGTGGCGACTGCTTTTAGCATCTATTGCGGCATTTCCATAATGCACAGCATCGTCTATAAGAAGATACAAGACGCGCAAGCTAGAAATAAACTTAGCAATGAACTCATGATGTACCACATGAAGGTAAATACTGATTATTTGCTATAATGCACATTACCGTGTAACACTGAAATGCTCATTTCATTTTGCAATACTGACCTGTCGATGAGCACAGCAGGTAATATCATATAAATACGTCACGATACGTCACGTTATCGAAGTATTGTTTTGAGCATGATGAGAATAGATCGCATCAAGTCCTTCTAATCATCTGAAAGTTCTTATCAAAATATCGTTTGGATTTATTTGTCACTGATTATTTTAGGTGGAGGCGGAAGCTGTTCAAACTTTATTAAACTGTAGAGACGATCACAATATTAAGGACTTTGATCAGTTTCACTTCAGTCCACGGAATGTACCTTACCGACATATGCCTTGTTATATACTTAAGATGTTTGACGAATTAGGATTTATTAGATATTATCGAATCAAAAGAACGACTCTCGCTAGGTAACAACTTTTTGGGTGATAAATTTAAAATTGAAAATTGAATATTTTTATATCACATCTAATGATTTCTTTTAATGGTCCTTTCTTTCAGATTTATCCTCTTCGTCAAGAAAGGTTACAGGGACGCTCCGTATCACAATTGGATTCACGCGTTCTCCGTGGCGCACTTTGGATACCTTATGATTAAAAACTTTAATCTTGTCAAAGACGGCTACATGACGCAATTGCACGCTCTTGTTTTCCTCGTTTCCTGTCTCTGTCACGATATTGATCACAGGGGAACAAATAATTCCTTTCAAACAAAATGCGGCACTGTTCTCGCCAGTCTCTACAGCTCTGAAGGTTCTGTAATGGAGGTGAATTTCAATAACAGCTTTATATTCATAACTTTGCATATCTTAACATGTGACATGATAGCGAAAGTTTCACTGATCTCTATCTTGCAGAGGCACCATCTGGCACAATCAATGTGTATCCTGAACACAGATGGCTGCAACATTTTCGAGGGTCTCACTAGCGAGGAGTACAGCGAAGCTTTGGATATATTGAGGAATAATATATTATCCACGGATTTGGCGTCTCATTTTCGCGCTGCGGAAAATCAACGTGAGATGATCGATCAAGGTTATGATAAAAACGACCCGAAGCACCAGAAGCTTCTACATGCAATGTTGATGACTTGTTGCGATCTTAGTGATCAGACGAAACACTGGAGAATCACAAAAAAAACTGCCGTACGAATCTCATTTACATAACTCATAACAGATTATACAAAAATGTGTTTTCTTATTTTAGTATGTAGAACAAGGCTCTTTTATTTTCTGATAGGAACAAATATACGACGAGTTCTTCTCTCAAGGTGACTTGGAAAAAAGTATGGGTACAGCTCCCATTGAAATGATGGACAGAGAGAGAGCATCCATTCCTGATCTCCAAGTGCAATTTATAACGAATCTTGTCTTACCTTTGTTTTCGTAAGTGTCTATCTTCTTGAGCTTCAAAATTTGTCCTTTACCGTTATCATGAACTGACTACTATGTTGTATGTTGAATTTTTCAGAAATTTAGCTGCTTTGTTTCCTGCCGCACAGATCCTTGTTGACGTGATAATGAAAAATCGTGAAATATGGAAAATGGCTAAGAATGTATTTCAAACGTACAGCGAAACAGGAGTAAAGTGCATGGACATCTTGCTTGACCCAAATCTCGAAGACGAAATACTCAACGGTTTTAATCAACAAGAAAATGTTCATCAGGTTGAGAATGGTGATGAATAAGGAAAGAATGCAAAAATTGAAAGCCGTCATGCTCCATGAATTGCGTATACCGAATTTTGAATTTATCAGATGGCCATGTACGCATCTAACGTAAGTAGATTTTCGATAGAAAATTGACAACCGTTACAATGCGTCATGGATAAAATAAACAAGAAACTTTTAATAACGGGATATCTAATCGAAGAAACGTGTATATATTATTCGGGCTCAATGACTTGAGTTTCATAATATTTTTACTGAATAGTTCATAAGCTGGACAAAGTAAGACAAATGTAAGTATTAATCTTTGCCATCTGATCAAACTGATATTTACATACAATCTGTTTTATAATGCAAATAAACAGACATGTCTTGAACTGCGTTTCGAAAGGCATGTTTTAAAAAAGAGCGCAGGCGTTCTGTAAGTCGAGCTATTCATCAATCATACGAAATATTTGAACAATCACTGATCGAGTTGCACATTCTCGAGGACGTTGCCATGCGTAATTAGAATTTCACGAATTTTAATAAATACGTATAGGAACCTGAAAGTAGCTATAGAATGTTTGTGTACCTTACCATTAAAGGCACTCTCTTGTATTTTATTTCAATATATAGAACCTTATATTTCTAGGACGTAGACATTCGACTAATCATTCCGTTACAAAATCGAAAGTATATTCTGTTCAACCTTCCCGTTTTGAAATTTGCTCATACATCATGCAGAAATAAAATACTCTCCTTGGTATGCATTTCTGGCGAATGAATGAAACGGAAATGAGAATCGATATACATTATAAATAGATGATGCAAATTAGCGTTGAATATAACGAAATATTAGTTATACAAATATAGATGTAATGAAAGAAGAAAAATTAGAAAATCATCGAGATGAGACCTCTAGATAAGGTTAGAATTTCGTGTCAGTATTTTAGAGCCAAATTGAACGTGACGATATGTTCCTAACGGGATACTAGTAATAAATAACTATTTGTACAAAATATTTACGTACAAGCAACTGTACCGTGGTTACACCTGCGTAAAAACTAAAGCAATGCCCAATAATGAAATTAGGATACAAAATTGCCAAAAATTGAATTAACATGCACTGAACGACGTTACACAGCGGAGAGAAAAGGAAAACAAATATTTAAACATGTTCAGTCTTCTTTAATCTGGGAAAAATGAATATCTCAATCGTTCCGCCTTCTTCTCTACGTGGTAATTATTTATTCGCGTCAATGAGAGTATTAACTTGTACTGCATTTGCAATAGTTGCTGATTGCTTCGATTTAAAGTGTGCATTAAAGACAGCCTGTTACTAATTTCTTTTCACGTGCAGTCGAAGAGCATGCATGGCATTCTGAAAATTGCAATAGAATCAAACAACATTGAGTCAAAGTTCTATCGCGTAATACTATATTGGCGATAATGAATAGTTAAGGCGTTGCTAGTAATTTTGTATATAGCTCAATAACCCTTAATAATCCGATAGAAATTTATTTTTAGAGTGCTATACTAATATATATGCGTAATTCGTAGAAGTAAGTTATCTGATAAGGCGCCGTAGGTTAACAGTTTAGTAAAAATGACGTTACGTATATTAAAATTAAAACTTGCTTTCGTTTGGTTAAAATCTACTGAAATAGTTAACTATGAATTGCACTAAAATTTTGAGAATCAAGATATATTATTTTTATCTAATTATCTACCTTTAAGAAGAGATTTTTTATTGTTTTGCCATCTGTTAATCGGCTAAACATCACCAACTATTATCTTTTGGTATACGTACTCCACATATAATTATATTAATTATAATACTATGGTTAATTGTCTATTTCGTTGTTTGGAATGATAGTCATTATATTGTGGGTAAAAGATTTGCCTTATAAAAAAAAAGATAGTGAATAAGCGGTGATTCTCTGCTTGAGGTAAGATTTATAAGCGATTAATTAATTTACAACAGTGATTTATACTTCAGAGTGTTTTAACTTTTAAAGGTTTAATTGAATCTGCCCCCCCTCCCCACCACCCAAATAAAAAGAAATGGTATCTGACAACAGTGACCAAGCATATTAATGCTTAGAAATGCAGATTTTAATTAATAACACTTCTAGTCATTTGTATGTTGAATATGAAGAGTGTGATTTTACAGTGTGTATACACGAGAAAAAAGTGTTAAGGTAATAAATATATTTCTTTCCTTAATAAAAGTATTTTTATTGATATCGCTCATTGATTTTAATTATAAAACAATATGCAGTTAAGTTTATAAAGTCTTGTAAAAATATTGTATATGACAATGAAGAAAAAAAATGTTAATATAAAAGTATCATCTAGAAATTTATGGAGATTTATCAGGTATGAGTTGACTTGAATTCATTGGTTCCATTTCCTTCGTGTTTTCCAGTCAATTGCGCTGGCTTTGCCAACTTTTTCTGTAGCATCCCGTCCCTGTGTGTGATTACATTAAAATAGATGTAAGGCTACGTGATTTTAATATTTAATATATTAATAATACTTACAGTGTGTCCGATTTCTCTCGCTTAAGAAATGGTGGTGTTTCAGGCATCTCAATAGGCTCCAGATTGTAAGTTAGTAAATGCGTATATACAGGAATCTAAATATTAACATAGGTAATGTACTATACAAGGATTAAGATAGAATGATAAAAATATCAACAGTTTCGATGGAGCTTACATATGCTAATGAATTGTCAAGAATCGGTGGCACTTCAAAAGTCTTGGAACGCGATGGCAATTTATGATAATGTCCAAGAATCGGTGCCGATAACCTTTTGCCGTACAAAATATGTCGATCGTGTTCAAGAACTTCTCTGGCTAATTCAGTTTTAGCAGACTTTCCTGCGCCTTTGATGTCCATGTTACCACCATGAAATACCTTTCAGCGAAGCATAAATTATAAAAGGATTAAAAGCATAATTATAAAAGGATAATAAATACATAAATTATAAATTATATTAATTATTATAAATACACAGAAATTATAAAAGGATTAAAAGCAATTGACTACAAATATTTCACAAATTACCTTCATGGTAGTGAAACTGGCGATTCTTTTAATGTCCGGCGGAAGTTTGTACTGATTATAATATTTGAAAATTGGAACGTCAGGTAATATTGGAATCCAAGGAGTATACGTTCCAAGTGTAGATATATAGCGTCCACTGAGTGACCACAAACGGACACTATGATCAGAACTTCCACTAATCACGATCCGCGCACTTGGTATAAATTCTAAGGCGTTCACCGACTTTGTGTGGGCTTGTACGGAGGACAATAACATGGGATATTTCTGATCTGCCGCAGCCCTCTTTGCTCTGCCTGGTATTCTGTCTTTCCAAAGAAATGGAAATTCAAGATTTAACAAACCCAGACACACATGGGGCGGATCTGGCAAAGCATAGTTTGTCAGTAACCAAACCTTTATGTAACCAACCGTGTGCCCTGTGAATACAAAGTTTTTCATTTATTTAATCGATACATCGCGGTCGCCATGGATTATTTTATTGCATCGATCTCCTAGTGCGCATGCTCGTTAGGAATATTAACGGATATTCTTAATGGATTAATAGAAACTGCACACCTGTTATTAGATAATCATTCTTTGGATCCGTAGCCAAAGATATCGCATAATCGCCACGAGTGTGAATGGCTGAGAAAGCTACTAAAAATCCAGAACTTGCATGATGGCTCCAAACTTGAATTAAACCGGATTCCAAAGAGACCATTATGCTACCACTTTTCGGTGCCATTGGTCTTGCTGTCAGGAATATCATTGCGTGAATTGCTACTGGTCTTACGATATTCAAAGCCGATGGTTGCTGCTCCGATGAAATCGTTGTCATGGCCGTTGATATATTTAAAATAGATTCATTGCTATATATTGTAGTCGTGTGTTTAAATAAGTTTTGATAATTTTGAAAAATTTTTAGTACTTTTTTTCAGGTAGCTGTGTTCCTATGTTGGCATCCTTAGAGAGTTTGACTGAAAGCCCATCGAGTTTATCTCTCGCTTCTTTCTTGTACACAATTGTATATCTATTAAGGGATAATATGTACATAAGATTTCAAAACGTCATTCAAACTGCATTGATTAATTACGTTTACCTTCCAGGTGGATTGCTAACATGATATCTTCTGTAAGGCTGACCGGTTTCTAGTCTCCATAAAATCATTTCACCGTTATATGTCGAAGTTGCCAATACCTGCGCATAAGATTACGTTTCTGCGGTTTTCCGTTCCCAATTTTGATAACTTATCATCTTTAAACGTTATCACCACGAAAATGCAGTACCTGTGGAAATTTTACGGCAGTACAGAGTATATCATCGGTATGCCTAGTTTCCCATCTTTTCGTGTGAATTCCAGTTTCCGTGTCTGCGAATTCAGTGACATGACGATTCCAACCAGTACACAGTATTCGATTCTTCAACCAAACTATACTGGTTATCTCACTGTACCAAAAGCAAGGTGTAAATATCCCACATCGATTCGAATAATTTTTAAGGAATTAAAAATCTATCATAATGGCTTCTCACCATTGATCCTCTATTGCCATATTTCTTATACAAGTACCAGTATTGAAATTCCACATTTTCAACGTTCCGTCTCTTGCACCGGTAAGTAATAACTGTTCAGAAGTATCAAAGCATGCAGCTGTTATTTCAATGCCAACGTATTGCCCATATAACAATACACTATGAGCATTTGTCACTAAATATAATCGACGACCGCGCCATGGATCCCAAACAATAATACAAGAATCCAGACCTGTCGTTACCACCTATAAAAATATACTTAACACTTATAATTTAATATCTTCACTTCAACATGTGACAACAACAAGTAATAATTCTTACCACTTTAAACAAATGATTATACAGTACACAAGTTACCGGTTTTGTATGCGTATAACCGTCAGAAGTTTCATGATTAATTACTGGGTCACAAACCAGAACTGCAATCAGCATACTGGCAATAATCATTTTATGAGTGATCGCATTGTAAACCACTGACATTGGAGTATGTTCACTCAACTCACTAGGTAGACTGTTGTAAGTCTGCAGATAATATAAAATAAAAAATTATGAGTATACATATTAGATGTGGATAATAAAATATTTGAATATACAAACTTGGATGCAAGATTGGTCAAAGACGTCCCAGACTTTAACGCATCTGTCCTTAGACAGTGAATAAATACGTTTGCCTTTATCTTGCACTATTAGAGCACATATGGCAGCATGATGACCTTGGAATACAGAACTTGCCTTCTTTGGTACAAATGGATTCCAAACTCTGACTATACAGTCTGGACCACCAGTGGCCAGTATATTACTTTCTACAGAATTACAGTTTAGAAACATAAAAGAATTCTTGGCACAACTACTGTTAATAAAAGTGGTACAGTTCAGATATACCGTCACAAAAATTGAAACAGGTTATACCCATTGCAATTTGAAATTTGTATTGCATTCGCAAACCAGTCGTAGGATCGCTGAGTAACAGTGAGCATTCTGAGCATCTGGAGCAGGATATGAAGGCTCTCAGATTGTCGTAGTATGCAACTTGACTCACCCAGTTGCTGTGGATATTTTTGAATTCAGAAAGTTTCATCCCCTTCAATTCACCCTATGCCGTAACGATTATTAAGGTTTGTTATAAATTGTTCCTTTTCTTTTTGTCTAATATGAACATACGTCCGCAACAGCTTCGTAGCGAAGATGCAGCACTTCCTGTTCCGGTACCAACTTGAATGGACCCTTATCCAGGGGACTGAATGACATTACTCTGACAGATCCACTCATGTCGCCCAAAATAATATAAGAATTCTCTTTGATGTCGACGCTGAAGTAATAACTCATACACGTAACTGCATGCTCAAAACTGGATATCTGATGGCAGACACAAGTGATCAGATATTTTGTGAAAATAATACTTATTAAATATCATGTAACGTCTACCATTAACCTCAGATCGAATTTCTTAGCTACGGTATCATAAAATCTTAAATCGCGCTCCGTTGAACTCGTGCAGACTATCTGTATATCCGGCATTGCGATCATATCCGTTATAGCTGTAGGTCGTATCTTTAACTGTGCTGGAATTATCATTTCTGTTATAGTGTATTTTATTGTAGAAATATATATTGGTAGCTACTAACGATTCATCGATTGGACACTGCGTTCGTATTCAAGATCCAGCGACCAGTAATTTATGGCACCATCACGACTTGCTGTCAAATAACAACCGCGAAGAAAGCTTGAGCTTCTGTCCTTTATTATTTAATTCACATCATGAGAAATATATATATATATATATATTGACATTTTGTAACACACCGGAAGAACTTCGGGACAAAATGTTATCCTACAGACGGGACAGCGATGTCGAGTTCTCAATGTTTCTGGTAAACCAATCAAAGGAAGCTTCAGCATTTGTCGTTGAAGAGCTACGTCCTTTTCTTGAAATTCTAACAGCAGATGAGATATAAATTCATCCCAGGTGACAGAGCCGTCTCTTTTTAAATTAACCTAAAAATAAAATGTAATGAGGACAATTTCTTAAGTTTCATATACCTGTTTTCTTGAGCTTTCCTAACCTTCATAAAGAGAACATGAAATTCTTCGTCGGTCATCGATATATTTAATATATTTTTGAATGCATCTTGTAACTGCATTTCGTTCATTGCTTCCTTTTCCGCGACCTGTGTAGATTAGATATAATCAGTGACATATTTTTTTTATATCCTTCAAATGCATACGAGAAAAGCTTCATGCAAACGCATCAGGGATTCTTGTGTACATTGTTCCTCGACGTTTTTTCGATTTAAAAATTCTTCGTATTTTTCACGGATCCTGATTCGAGGAATTTCCCGAAAAAATGCAAATTAAAATAACTATGTTAATGTATAATGTAATATTTACAGATTTTATTAACTTTAATTCATCTTCTACCAAGTATGCCTTTGCCATTTTATGTAATCGGGTGAAACGTTAATTTTTAGTATCCCTTTTCCCTCCCTTCTGTCAAAAATTGAGGGATTATTTCGATCCACTATTAGATCGATTGTTTTATCGAAAAGTCTCGAAATTTTTAACATAATCACGTATCTGTAATTAACATGTGATAAATATATATGTGTTATACTATTTTCGATTGTAAAATTTCTGAAGTTGATAATCAGACTGGGAGCGCGCGATTTGATTGTAGTATTATAAAAATAATTTATTCGCTTTGAATTTATTCATGCCGCCTAATTTACGTTTCTTTGACCGTTTGAATTCCAGGAGTCATTGAAAAAATATTGTCAAAAAATGCCAAACAGCGCGATAGTGCTTTCTTAAGCCATAGCGTTCAAATTTACTGAGATTTTTCAAAATAAAATCTAAACAGCGCTTTCACGGTGCTTGGGTCTCAAACGATTAAAGATACATTTCTTACAGTAGAATGAAATCGATTATGTCGATAAGGCAGAATATTAAAAAGAAATCCTGTCGATACGTTTGCTGAATAATTTACTTTTGTTTGTTATTACCCGTTGTAATGTAATAAGAAAGAATGATTCATATTCTACAGAATACCAATAAAGATTATTTTAATCTGGATTAAATAAAACCAACGAAACTCGCTCGTGGAATTCTAGGGCAACTACTAGAAAATAATCAATATACACAGCAGCAGGTGTAACAGGTAAAAGCCTTTGGCTTGAATTCAGTCATAGCTGGTGATAGCAAACTTATGGTCGCCGTTCGACGTCACACGTAGTTAATACCAGCAAGGACAATGGAATTATTCCAAGCGCTCAGTTTATTCGGTAGACGAAAATACGAAGAATGTACGTCGATATGCACTGATCTATTAAAGAAAAATCCATTGGATCAGGTACTGAGCACACGAAAGTAGTTTCTTGAAAATTACCGAACACTTTTCTCTCTGATTTTAATTGCAAAAGAGTTTTGAATATCCACTCAATTTTGTTGACCTTCTACAGGCTGTATGGGTTTTAAAAATGCGTGCACTCACAATGCAAGTATATGTGGACGATATAGAGGGTGAGGAAGAAGGGATTGCCGAGAGTCTGTTAGATACTTATACTATAGCCTCAATGCCCAGGCCAGGAACATCCCTTAAAAATCCTGGCACGTCATTCACAGGACAAGGCTTGCGTCCGAAAACACAATCAGGTTTGTTACGTCAGAAAACGTAGGTAATTTTATAATTCTTGATCTTAAATTTAAAGGCAGACCAGTCACTGGAGTAATTCGACCATTGACACAGTCTGCAGTCTCTCAGACTTTTGAACAGGCTTTAAAAACCCCAAGAAGTGCTACAAGTGCAAGACCAATCACAGCGAGTACCGGGCGAAACGTTAGGTGCTAATTGTAATTAACTGAATTGACTTTTTTATATGCTCCTAAAATTAATGAAAATGTGTATTTGTTTAGATTGGGTACAGCTTCAATGTTGACGGAACCAGACGGTCCTTTTATTCAACTGTCGAGACTGAACATAACGAAATATGCTAGTCAACCTGGTATAGCCAAACCGTTATTTGAATATATATATTATCACGAACAAGATGTGAGATATGTAAGTATACAGCTGAATATAATAATTCGTAAAGAATCACATGCTAATGAGTAATTTCAACTGTTTAGGCTTTAGATTTGGCTGTGCAAGCGACTCAAGTTTGTCAATTCAAAGATTGGTGGTGGAAAGTACAGTTGGGAAAGTGTTATTATACTTTGGGCCTTGTCAGAGACGCTGAACAACAATTTAAATCAGCTTTGAAGGAATGCAAAACAATCGAAACGGTACTGAGACTGATAAGAGTATATGTCAGACTAGATCAGCCATTGGCTGCACTGGAAACATGCAAAAAGGGTCTGGAATATTTTTCCAATGATGTAAATGTCTTTACGTAATAATTGACTCTTTAATTACTAATACGATATTCGCGTACAATAAATAGTAATTAATGTCATAACTACGTTTCGTTACAGGTGACTATACTTACAGAAATGGCACGAGTATTCGAAGGTCTAAATAATATGCCAATGTCGGTAAAATATTATAAAATGATAGTTCAAGAAGATGCGTCTCATACAGAAGGAATTGCCAGTATTGGTATGCATCATTTTTACAATGACCAACCGGAATTAGCATTGCGTTATTACAGGTACGTATGCAGTAATAATATTTATTTATTATTTCAATACCTCTGTTATTAAATACTGTTGAATATTTGATACTTTTAGGAGAATTTTGCAAATGGGTGTGTATAATGCTGAAGTTTTTAATAATCTCGGTCTGTGCTGCTTCTACTCTCAGCAATATGATCATACTGTTTCCTGTTTCGAGAGAGCAATCAGTCTTGCAACAGATGAAAATATTGCAGACGTGTGGTACAATATTTCTCACATTGCTATTGTAAGTCTCATTTATAAGCGGATTGATTTTAACGGATTATCAAAGGTACTTTTTATGATAAGCTTATGAGTATAAAATTTTACAGTGCTTAGGTGACTTGGAAATGGCAGATCAATGCTTGAGACTTGCTATTGCAGCGGATAATAGGTATGCGCTGGCATATAATAATCTTGGAGTATTGGAAATCAAAAGTAACAATGTCACTGCAGCTCGTGCGTACTTTCATGCAGCTGCTAGTATCGCTGATTATTCATATGAACCTCATTTCAATAGCGCACATCTAGCGTACGAGGTAAGGATAGACGTTTATTGAAGAATAAAGCAAGACCTTAGATTCTTGTGTCTGACCTTTTGGTCTTATAAAAAAGAATACTCTACGTAACTTTTAGGTAGGTGATTTGCAAACCAGTTACATCGCTGTACAGAAAGCCTTAAGTGCCTATCCTGATCATGGTGACAGTAAGGAATTGTTAAAGAAGTTGCAAAGACACTTTTCCCATATATAAATATCAAGAGCTATTTACACAATATGTTGTATTTTGATTTTCTTTAATTTCTTATATTAACACTATACATTATTAATATTATGTACTATGTACACTAATATAAAATTATAATAGATTTAAGAAATTTAATTTCCCTTGTACTTATATGTTGCAATGTGAGTTTCTTATGGCCAGTAGAGTCACATAAATTGTAATTAACATCATTAGCATGGACCTTAATAAACTACTCTTGGCGAAAGTGAGTAAATATCTTATACTAGTGAAATTTCAGATAGTACGTAATATGAGTTACCTACTTTGTATAGTTTTTAGATTTTTCAAAAGTCAGGCAATGTAAAGTATTATGTTAATGATATACCGTGTATCAAACGTAAAATACAACATACAACGTACTGTCTGTCAGGATGGATGTGCCATTTGATTTACCAATAGTATTACGATTTCCTGTACGTTTAACAAATTTTACCACACAATGCGTTCCAGGTATTTTCTTGATGTTTTTTTACAAAATGCTAAAGTTTGCACACATATAAAATTAATTTCATATTAAGGAATTATGTATTATTTCATATATATTATTGAATTTATATAGTCATATGATCGACCCGTTAATTTTTTAATATAATGGAAGGTAGGATTATTATTTTATCGTACTAGAACATTGTAATTGACAACTGGAATGATAGTAACAATTCTTTAGGATTGTTTTTGGAAACATAAATAAAGAAAGAAAAGAAGATACTCGAAGGAATACTATGCAGATTTAAGTACAGGCAACTAGTTTTATGTAAGATTTTAACTCAAATAAAAAAAAATTACGTGAAACGAATATTAATTGTAGATAAACTAAATTGTCAGGTTTATATCGATTAGATTTTATAGGAACGATTGATTTTGCCCTAAATAATATGCACAAGATTGAAATCCATAGTTAAACAAAATGGAAACAATATTTACAATTTTGGCGAACTGAATAAAATTGAAGGATACTGATCCAAATTCCAAATATGGATATTATTCTTCTATCCAATTTCCTGCTAATTCCATTCTCACGTTTTTATTAGGTTTGTGCACAAATGTAATACAGTCTTGTAAAACTTGGATCACTGGCATGATATAATTTATGTCGAGTGGGATATGATTAGCCATGAAATGATAAAGTAAAAGAGGAAGATGGGATAAACTGCTAATGCCTTCCTTCCAACTGGCTGACTGTCTCCAAGAAATGCCATGGAGGCTAAAACAAAGTTATTCAAGAATGATAGACTCTAACAATAAAATATTTGCTTCTAGGGCGGTCATAAATTTTGAAAAGTATTAATATATAGCTCTTAACGTCAATGCACTAAATATATTTTGACTAGAGAATAAAATACGCTAATTTTAACTAGTTCTATCGTTTAATATAACACTTTTATGATACTCACCATATGTTGCCCAAATAAATCCAATTACTGTGATAATGAATCTTAAGATGAAAAGGAATGTGGTCTGCTGTACCATTAAAATAATTCGACAAAGAATTAATGCAATAGTTGTTGGTAGCAGACAGTATCCTAATACACACACACTTTGAAAGAAGGAACTGAAAGAAAAAACAAATATTTCTTTAGTCCAATTTACTAATGTAATAAAGGATATACTTACATGTTACCACCAAGCAGCTTAGAATTTAATGTAACAATCATAGAACCAATCCAGACTATAACAAAAACTTCAGCAAATTCTGGTCCACCATCATTAAAATTATCTGCAGTGTCCGAAGATCCTTGTAAGATCCTAAATATTATAGTTCTCTGTCAATGTATTTTATAATGCATTATTTTTTAAGAATAATTAAGGTTTATAATGATCGCTTACATTGCCATAAATGTGCATAATACCAAAGGTCCCCAAAGATCCCCTGTAAATTTAAAATGTGTCATATATCAATCTGCATATTTTAAACTATTCATATATATATCATATACTCTGTTTCATACATTCTTTTAGTAGGCTCTTTTTCTCCTTGGGGTACAATACATGATAGAATTTCTTGCCTACTGCTCGTAGATCCCTGAGCTACATCATAAAAGCAAGGTTACTCTAAAGTAAGTTTCTATAAGCAAATAAAATTAAGAAACTTAATGTTGACTAACAATCGTGTCTCTAATTGGTTCATCTAACGTATTAAATTCTGGCTCGCCAAGGTTTGCCTTTTGTTTGGTTCCTACTGTCAATTCTCCTTCAACATTCTGAGGATCCACCGCATACATTGCGTCATCATACATCTACAACATAGCGAATGAAGAAATACAATTATTACTGTTCTTATGAAGAGCTTATATACTTATGATAATTAAAATGCATTTAATGAATCACACAAAAGCAAAATAGAAAAGTTTCATATATAATATTTAAAAATATATGTAAGAGGATTGCCAAAAAAAACTATTATGTGTTTAGACATTTGTCGTTTAATTTCTAATTAAGAGCATATTCATACAACCCCACTTGTCAATATGAACATCAAGCGCTTCTCAAAATTATAAGCGACGAAGAAATCTTCAATATTGTCATATCCGCAAAAGTAGTATTAAATGCCATACAAACTCCGTCTCCTATTTTGCATTCATTGTACATAACTAAAGAAATAGTATCTTTAAATTAATTTACGCACGTCAAGTTTCGTATCCTCCATCGTGGCCATGTTTACTGCCGATGTGTAAAATTCGATTTGTTAACAGTACCACCAAAACTGAAAATGAAAAGTCTCTATAAAACACTATCAGTGCAACTAATAACGTTCATAAAAAAATCTTAGCCACTTTCAGTAGAAAAAAAATGCAGAGGTGAACCAAGTACATTCGCATGATGAATCGACGTACTGACATTTCTACATTTCTCCTTATATCATACAGTATAAAGCGCCATCTTTTTTTTTTTAATACATCAATATCTAGTTTGGAGCACTCCGACTCTGCCACACGAGACACCTCTTCTCTAGTAATTTTCAAGATGGCTACATTCAAAACGAAGACACGTCGTGAAGATCATGTTTAATCATTCATTGGTAAATTTTCTTTTCGAGGTCAATGCTTGATAATCTAGAAATCTAATTATCTATGAACGAACTACTATATTAATACAGTAAAAGTTTTTAAAATTCATACTAATATGCTAAGATGGAAGCTATTTATTTGTACTGTTCTCGTGTCAATGTTCGTACATACTGCGCATGCGCAAAAGTCCATTGTCGAACCAGAGATCGAACCAATCAACGACGCGGAATCCAGGGACCAGAATGCTGTACAAAATGATCTGAACGAAGAACTGTGTATCCTTTTTATTATTTGATATTTCTATGTGTAATTGGATACAATATCATTAAAATTTATATGCCCGTATACAATCATTTTTTGTTAGGTTTACCTTGTGTATAATTCCTTAACACAACGATGATGGATTAGTTAAAAAATTATTTGCCAAACGACGTATAGATCATATCGAAGCCGTAAAGGGAATTCAGAAAATGGAAAATTATGAGCGTCAATATAAAATGATATCAATTTTAGCTGAAAAGGTTTTCTATGTTATTGAATCAAGCAGAGCTCTAGTGGAAATGGCTGAATTCACACCTGAAACAAATCGGTTTCCCGGCGACGCGAATATACGAGACGGTAAATATTTAAATGGAAAAGTACCTTTATTATATTTATACGTAGATTGCATATTAATCAGAAACTTAATGTACATTTATCTCTCATTTAGCATTATCCAGTATCATGGAAAATACAGCATTATTCGGTGACATAATATTACACATGCCTGACATAACTCGCAGAGTTCTGAAGAGTCAGGAAAAATGGAATAGCATATATACATGGTCATTAAATTTTGTTAATCGCATGAAACATCTTTTGGATAATTCTACCATCACTATGATTCATCTTGTCGGACAAGAGCTCAATATCACGGCCAGAGAACCTGGTTACTTTAATCCATTCTGGCCGAATAATCAAGAAAAGTCTGTGGAAAATGAGGAATCACTAAAAAGGAAGAAAACTGTTAAGAAGGATAAAAAGAAGAGGGGACCACAAATGATCAAAATAGAATTGTAAACTCAATCACACTCTCCATGCATTTTATGCGAAGTTCGTACGGAGTCTCAGTCAATGCTCAAGGTTTCGTAATCATGACTGGACTAGAATACGAATGGATGTACCTCATGTCAATAGGAAATCAATTACCTTTAAGCCGTTCATCGCTGCAGATATCTATGTACCGTTGTACATAATGAAACGAGATTCAGCCTGGTCGACTTTTGTTATACTTTAAAGTCTAAATAAGAAAGTAATGAATTGATCTTGTGTAATAATGTGTAACGAAGGCTAAGGATAAAAAGCTCTACTTCCTCGTTCTTACACATTGAATTTATAACTATGTAACTAGCTGCTGAACACTGTCCTTTAAAATAATAAAAACCTGAAGCAATCGAAACATTTCGTTCTAAAGTAATGTATAATATGCATCGCTAAGAAAAACAAATATTGTCATTGTGGCTGTCAGATCTTGAAACATGTCTGGTGAATATTACACTCGAACAACAAGCTGAATCTGGGCATGGGAGAGGCCGACAAGCTTTTTGTCTATGCATACTGAAAGGTGATTACAGTCTCCTGGATTAGCGATGAGCGTTGAAAATCAGAAGGAAGTGGATGAAAAAAAAGACCAAAGTGGTCGCTTGTTACGCGATGCTCACGTGTACGTAGCGGCTGGTTTCTCTTTTAGCGCTAAGCTATAAGATTCCTAGACTGGCAAGATGGCACAGTAAGGTAATCCATAATCGTTATCTGAATTTCGAACTCTCAACAATAAATCTTGTCACTCTCTAACAAATTTGACCAACAGAAACTACTTCGATATTGTGACACCAGAAAAATGTATATTCAACGTCCCAGATCAGAGTTCATTGTAGAAACTCAGTCGTGCAAATTTTATAATTCAGAATAAAATATTAAGCAGACTAAAATGGAGGGGTTTATGAAACAGGACAATAGGAAATTCTGAATGTCAAAGGATATTCAGGACATTTCAAATGCCTTCACTTATACAACTCGAAGATCGCTAAACGTGGACCAACAAGAAAAATCACATGTGGAATTTCGAAGCAGAGAACATCAATGGATGCCAGGCAATTATTGTGTGATGGGAGAAATTTCATGGGCACACGCCTGCCTGCATGGGGGATCGCTAAGACTTGGTTTCAGGATCTGGTGAAACCGTCTTGTCGGTCCATCGGATCTTCATGATTCTACAAAGCGAAGAGACGTACATATAGACACATATGTCTGCCATTCTACTCACTGTTACACTCGCCTGCTTGGGCCGATAAAGTGTAACTTTTCTCAGACCTCGAGACGGTGGTAGAAAGTCGTCAGCCAATCGGCTGAATAGCCGGTGGTAACCTCGAGTGACTACTTCGTGAAGGAAGACTCTGGCGAGGTTGCTCCTACTGCGAACTGTGCAGTGTCGCGAGAGCTGGTGAACCCGTTAGAAGTGTATGATTACGCTTCATCAGAAATTCAAAAACACGTATATAAAAGTAGACTCTAGTGAAGAGACAATATAACGGTAACGTTTACCCATATGAGAGAAAGGATTTTGCAAGAAATTTTTTTTAACGGGAGATTATGAGGTTTCAAGGAACGGTGTTCTTTTGCACCGTCTTAATAGTAGCTACAGGTAAGAATACTATTTTTTTTTATTAAGTTTTTTATGGCAAATAATTATGGAGCAGCGTATTCATTTTTTATCAGAAATAAGAGACTGTAATAGACAGAAGAGCTTTAATGGTAACTACTAGACTGACAATTATTAACAAAATGTATAACTTGGTTTATTACGATCATTTCTCATAAAATTATGAAATTCTAGCGACTTGCGCAACTGATACTATAAATTGAGTGACTGTGGAAATTGTATGTTTCTTATGGTACATTGTAAAAGCATGGGAAATTTTAAAGTCCCTTTATCATGGTAAAAAGAGTTTAGACAGTGTCACGAGCAGAATAAAAAGAACAATAAATGACAGAATATAAGGAATTTAAACCGGTCTTTTCCTCGCAGAATTGCTCTAAGTATCTACCAAAAAATAAACTGTACTTCATTTCGACTTATGTATACTCGTGACTCCATTCGCCTCCATATGGTGCTTATATGTAGGCATACACAATACGTGCATATACGAATGCATACAAGTATATAAATAGTTAATATGAATGTTGCCTCTGGGTATTTTGCTGCATACATCATTGCCACATGTACTACCTTCACTTTCCATTTTACCTCGAAATGCATGAAACTTCACACGTTCCAAAAATGACACTCTCGTAGTTGTGTTAGAAAATAATTATTTTAATTTTTATAAACTATCAAATCGTCACCATACACTCCTTATAAAGTAAAAATAATTCACGATGTCTCCACTTGTACATTCTGACTTGTTTTACATGGAAATGCGTTTTTCATTGATCAGAACACGATCAAAGGATACGATACTCACACCACACGATTATAAGGTCACTCAGAGAAGTTTTCTTAAAATACCACTTTCTCCTTCTTGCTTACAGTATACATATATATTGTATATATATTTATATACTTAACATGGTCCAAGCCGGTTTCGGACAGTCACCACAATGTCCATCTTCATCTTTATCGTGGTTCGAACACGTTCCTTTTCGTTTTGTCGATCAACATTGCCTGATACAACACTGTTCACCTCTTTCACAATCGCACAGAATGAACTTTCCCGTGACATACCTGAACTATACTCGGCACAAGACAATTATTATTCGCAATATCATGTTCAATGGTGTCAAATAGACTGAGAGATTTGAATAAAGAAAAAAATAAAAAGAATCGAGTCAATAAAATCGATGCAATAGATACGTATAGCGATGATCACTTGCTGAAAGAATCCAACATTTATATTATAATATTAATGTCATTTATAATATTAATGTCACGTTTACAGTTTATTAAAATGTAAACTTTCAATTGTGCAATATTTACATTCATCCTATATATTTATGCTACCTTCTCAGTCTACTCATTCATGTCTTGTCTTTCAACAGTATACAAATCGCATACGGAACATTTCGGCGAGTAGATCGAAGATGTTGGAAAGCAAGAAATGTAAATTTCGTGATGTTCGATAAAGGCAAACGTGAATGTAAAATTAACTTGGAGGAATCCAAATAAGATAATAAAAGAGTGCATATATACGTGCCACAAGTTTTCAGTGAGAAAAAGATGTCGAAAATTCGTAAAGTTTAGGATAACCCAGTTCAACCTGTACGAAGTCTTTTAATAGTCCTGACCTTGAAGATATCAAGGTTATTCCAGAGCAATCTCTAAGTTTAATCACTTGCCCTGAAACCGGCTGGATTTCCACTTAGTATTTAAGAGAATCATCCTTTTTTCTAGTGTGAATAATAGTAATATGATACTGCGAGCCGTTCCATGCAAAAATAATTGGCTGATTTTACGTGGACTTGAGTGTCGTGAGATAAATAGTAGAGAACAGAGTACTAGGAGTTTCACTATATTTCTTAGATGTAATATCGTCTGCCGTCATTCGTTGCTGGATTTATGTCAGCGATGTGAACGTAAACGTCAATCGTATGGACTGCGCCTTAAGGCATCCACTTCCACACACATAACTTGGCTATTGGAATGTCTATAACGACATTTCTCGCTTTCTCAAGCCTCTCTTGTGAGCCTCCTCGGAATTTCTCTCGCCCATTTTCTAATCGCGTTTACCAGTTTCCGTATGCACAGATACAAATTCTTTGTTCAATCAATTCATTCAATCCCATTCGATCAGACATCGGTAAGGACTAAATATACATACTAGATACTTATGCACTGGTAATCCTTGTATAGTTAATGAGTAAACGGACCGTTTAAGTTTCACAAGGTGATGCATTATTATAACTGTTTTAATACACATTGTACATGTTTATCAAAATCGTCAGCTTCTTTTTAATGTAAGCTGAAGTAAATTGAAGAGTACAATAGTTATTTTAAATAAATAAATCGTACCGCACATGGTCCACAGTAGGAAGTCATTGTGATTAAAAATTTATAATGGTGAATATCCTGCGAATTCTTCAACGAGACTCTTTTCTCTTTGATTGTAATGAATAAGGATCCACTGTAAAAGGTAACTTGGCGTGGCTCAATTTCTTATTCTCACGCATTTATATTTAATAATGGTAACGGAGGACTTTGCTATTGATAGTAAAAGTAGAACGTACTCGAGAGACAACACGCCGTTGCAAAATCTTCGTCTGGAAGAATATGTATTTCTAATAGATCCTTAACCTTGACATTTTAACGACTGTAACTCTCAAGTCGTTTATTTACTTTTATCTTAGGATGATCCTGATTGTCATATATTCAATTTTTGTAGATTAAAATTAAAGATGTATCCCGCTAAAATATAAAAGAGAAAAGGGAAACAAATTGTGATACGCTAATTCAAATTTACCAAGTAAAAACTTTCTGTTAACATTTGCTTAAGTTACACAAATTATATTTTACCGTTAGGTTTCTCAGCAAGCATTTATCCCAGACTTTGGATTTCGAAAGCTTTCATCATTCGCGCTTGCGCACGAGTTAGGGAAAATCTTGAAAAATATTCTTTCTTCTCATTTCAGTACACTGTCAAAAGAATAAAAAGGAGGAAGACAAGAAGGATGAAGAATTCCATTGTCCTGAAGGCCAAGGCAATGGGAATTTTGCAGATCCAGCGACATGCAGAAGGTTTTACCAGGTATTAATTTTTTTTTGACTCGGTGTCCTTTCTTTGTGCAAACTCTTAGCGAAATATTCACAATAGTTTGGCTGATCTTGTCTGCTCGAGAATAATTGTGGCAAGTCACGTTTCTTATATGATGATTTAATTGTAAGTTCACTTTGAATAAATCAAATATTATTTGTCAGTCTCACCTAACTCTCTCCCTTTCTTCTTAACCATTGTCAGAGCGTGACCGTCACTTATGTAAGTTGTTTGACTTTGCTTTTTAACCAATGAAAAAGTTTTTCAAGAAAATCTCGAATAGGTAATTTAAGAAAACTAGAAATATTAAAAAAATGGATTACTAGACATAAATTTAAAGATTTACATGATTCTTTTTATTTAGCTAAATCAATTGATTGTACATTGACATATGGAGTATTTATAATTTTTGATAATTTTCAGTGCGTCGACGGATATCCATATTTAAATAGGTGTCCATCTGGCTTACATTTTGACGACATCAGTAAATTCTGTACGTTTAAGAACGAAGCGCGCTGCGGTCCCATTGCAACGAGTGAGTAAAATTTTCACAATTGCACCATACCTTTGTGTGAATCGCAACGAAAGTTCTTGCGAATATTCGGAAAGGCTCTTTTCATGTGATCGAGTGAAATAAAATGGCTTAGGCACATTTTCACAAAGTTCTTGTATAATAGAATTAACTTCTTGTCTCTTGCAGCGAGAGAAAGCTGATTGTCGTTTTATTATATCAAGAGAGACTAACCATTCGCTATAAGTTTTATGGTTCCATTTCTGGTTCCTACAAAATTTCATTTAATATTTATTACATTGCAGCACCAGCGCCGGTAACAGAACCACCCACTGATTTAGCTGAAAGATGCGACCCAGCAAATTGTGAGCTGCCTTACTGTTTCTGTTCCCGTGACGGTACAATAATTCCTGGCGGTCTCGATCCAGAAGATGTAAATAATTTTTTAAATTCAATATTCATGGTCTTGTGATCGATTAAACGGTAACTAATGTACCTTAATTTCAGACACCACAAATGATCTTAATGACCTTCGACGGTGCTATCAATCATAATAATTTCGATCATTACCAAAAGATATTTGCGAAGGATCGTCTTAATCCTAATAATTGTCCCCTGAAGGGTACATTCTTCATTTCTCATGAATACTGCAACTACAACATGGTGCAAAGTTTCGCTCATGATGGTCATGAAATTGCTACTGAAACTATATCGTGAGTACGAGAAAATGTAATAAATCATAATTACAATATTGACCTCAACATTTTGTAGATTACAAAAAGGACTTGAGGACAAGGGGTACGAAGAGTGGGTGGGTGAGATGATCGGTATGCGAGAAATTCTTAAGCATTTCAGTAATATCTCACGCAACGAGGTAGTAGGAATGCGTGCTCCTTATTTGAAACCTGGTCGTAATACCCAGTACAAGGTTTTAGAAGATTTTGGTTACATATATGATAGTAGTATCGGGATCTCGCCATTAAAGACACCAATATGGCCATACACTTTAGATTATAAAATACCTCATGAGTGCAAGGCAGGTACTTGCCCCACCAAATCATTCCCAGGTATGGATTATTGAAATTTGAATGAGGATAACGTCGGAATAAAATTTCAATTGTAACTATTATTTTATCAGGTGTATGGGAGCTGCCATTGAATGCTCACTATGTTGAAAGTTATGAAGGTGGACACTGCCCCTACTTAGATCAATGCGTTCTGCATAATCATGATCCGGAAGAAGTTTTTGAGTGGTTGCAGGAAGACTTTAATCGCTACTACGAGCAAAATCGTGCACCGTATATGATGCCGTTCCATACTAATTGGTTCCAAATAAAAGAACTTGAGCGTGGCTTAGCGAAATTTCTTGATTGGGCAGTAACATTGTACGTATATATTTTATCACGGATGACAAAGGATAGTGGAACTCATATCATGATTTAACATTCTTCTTAATTATATTGGGAAATTTACATATCCTTAGACCCGATGTGTACTTCGTTACTGCAACGCAAGCTCTGACTTGGATGACCGACCCCAAGCCGTTAAAAGCACTACATAATTTCGAAGGTTGGGCATGTAACAAACGAGACAATCTACCTGGACCATCGTGTAATAATGCTAACAAATGTGCTCTTGATTTTAAACCGGCAGAATCTAACTTCACCACAACTAGGTAAGCCAAACTTTCAACAAGCTTAAATATTCGGAAATTAAAATCTTGAAATACACAATGAATATAATATATATTATATTTATGAGTCATGTGACTGAAGTCTTTAATATTATTTTTAGATATTTGGAAACATGCAGAGAGTGTCCCAATAGATATCCTTGGTTAGGAGATGCCAAGGGTTCTGGATTATACAATGATAATTACAATCCGGAAAAAAAGTAGATTATTCCTTAATGAAAGTAATAGACATAATCTTATAATGAACAGTTAAAGACGTTTAGATCGTTTTTATGAAAACTATTGTGTGCCAGAAAAAAGTGAGCGAAATTTTATTCGCTGTTGTTTGTATTCTGAAAATATTCTACAAAGCATCGAAAAAAGATATAATTGTGTGTGTTCACATGTATCTTAATTGCTTCATTTGAAAGAAGATATTTGTGTTTATCAGTAGGATCCTCATCTCACATTTCATATCAGAAATATTTTGGTTAACGATGGTGCGAGTCTTGTGCAGTATTTTTCGAATGTGTTGAAAATGTATTGCTAGATTTTCATTGCTCAAACTTGTGTGTTTAACGAAATAAAAAGGAATGAAAACAAATATTTTGTCAATTCTATTTGTGTTATTATTTTCTCTTTTACAACACTTTTCAAAAGCTAGATCTGCTAAGTCATTTTGATGGTAACACCCCAGGCTGTTTTATCTACACCATAGTTTTATCAGCTTTAAAAAATTGGAAGGTACTTTCATTCTATACATAAATACCTTACACAATAATGCATTTTCATACCTGTTATTTATAAGAAGTGTTATGACTTAGACATTTCTACACTGATATTACAGATAGTAACTAACAAAGAATATCACGGATCTAACGAATTGGTCCCCAAGGCATAAAAACATCAGCAAATCTTTTACGTTCTGAAAAAATATATGCACAAAACTATTCGATATGCTATTATCTAGATTAATATCAAGAAAATATTAATCATTATAAGTAGAAACAGATACCTGGTTCAGGGAAGCGTTCTGGATGTCTTCTGATATAGTCTATCATAATAGCGTCCCTTTTTCCACTCCAATCATTAACTAAAAGTTTAATTCCATATCCTATAGATGCACCAATTATAGTACATGCAATATGTCTTTGGAAACCTAAAACATCAATGGAGTATTTCACATCCCGGTTCACATTTATTATTTAAAAGTATTATTTGTAACAAATAATTTCCCCTTACAATATAAAAATACAAACCCTGTGTTAATAAAACTAGTTCAATAATCATATGAACAATGTGCATTAGGTGAGTGTGGTACTTGTAATTATATTTTGTTACTAACCACTAATATTACTAAATGGGTCAATGAAATATTCATTGACTTTATTATCTAATACAATACAATTATTTTCATGAAAAAATACTTTTCAATAATATACAAAAATATTTGCTTTATAGTAGTAACGATAGCGCAACAGATTTTCTTATATTCAAATATAGTTCATATCACTTACCAGCATGAAGTGGTCTACTGCCGAAATAATTGGCAGTAAGTGGACCGCAAACCCCTATTATGCCACCGCATAATACTTCACCATATTGCCTTAAAACAGATGGTTGCCAAGTAGATTGTTCTTGCATCAGTTTGATAGCCCAATGTTCATCCTCATGCTCTGAACTCATTCTGATCACGTTCGGTTGTCCAGCTATAACACAGAAAATACTTTAACATATTATGTTGTCTTTTGTTCACATTGATCTTCAAATACAGAAGTCAAGTTTTGAGCTAATAAGCACACGTAACACTATATTCATGAGAAAACTTAAATTGTTGCTGAACATATACCTCTATATAAAAAAAAAACCTATAATTATTCTTCTACCGACAACTTTTGTCAAATTAGAATATTATAGAAAGAAGTTAAAAAGTATGAATTTATTTAGGGACTGTATAATATGAATATTTTCGTTTACGGATAACGATATAAGATGATCAAAATTTTATCGTAAAGACGTACATCCAAAGGTATCCCATAAGAATGCAGGAGCTCATGATTGAAGTTATGTCATTATACCTCAAGTATAAAACGACTGGTAACGAGTACAGTGAAATCTACTCATTTTAAAAACGAACAGGTTACCTTATCCTCACGATTTCAATTATTATTCAGCAAATGGCCAATCGTAAAAATAACAGCAGAGAATTACAAATATCAGAACCTACTAAAATTTTATAGGCCCAAAAACCCACAAAGTTCTTTGAAGTATACAGAAAGTCGTCAGTGTGGTAACAACTCTGAAAAATCAGGGTACGTCCCAATATTCACTGCGAGCATGGTTGTGTCTCACTCTATTACATGAAGGTAAACAGGGACACAATGATAGTCGTGTTACTGTCAGTGAATTTGGGAACGATTGGAGTTATATACTATATATAGCGGTATTTTTAAATATGAACTTCAGAAACATGTGACGAATAGTATAAAACAAAATTACATTGAGAAGATTAGGATCAATATAACAGACGAAATAATAATAAAGTCAGAATACTTCACATGGATTGGTGACTGTATTAACATCATATCACTATACATTCGTATGCCATTATAGTTTGAAACATAGGTCATTATATATTTTATATCGAGATCTCCAAAGTCAAATGTAGTTCAGTTCTATCTATTAGGAATTGTGAATATTCGAAACACTAAAATATATAACATGTAGGTGTTACAATGAATCCTAATAATATTCGAATACGTGATACATACTGTATTCACCTACGTGCAATAGTAATTATGTACTTTCATTTCAATTACTGATTTCGATAAACTTAAGAACAACTTTTCTTAAATATTTTCAATACACTTTAATGTCTTTGACGAATAGAGTAAATAGTTATTCAATAATCAGGTATTAACATTGACGTTATTAAAAAAAAAAGAATTTATAAATTCATCTGTAGAAAAATATAAGGCGATACTCATAAGCGAAACCATGCTACTGATAGTATCACTTTTCTTTAGTTTGACGTGGAAAATATTTATGTATTAGCCACGCTTGAATGTAAATGTTACTTACTATTACATTGCCGTCACAATCGAAATATCATCTTTATATGCGATGATAATCATTTATCACATACAATATACAGTGTAAATTAAAGTTGACTTTTTAACTGTATAATTCCCATGACTAAATTTCACAATGTGAGAATCTAGCAATATTTTTTCAAGACCCTAGCTAATATCTCTAGCTGATTGTGTTATTATTGAAGAGTTTTGGAAAATATATGACTATACAGCTTATAGTTAGGGCAAATTAACAATACACTACTAGATGTAACTTTGGCAATCTACTTATCTAGTGGAAGGTACTACAGGAAGCAATATTTATAAAAAAATGCATTCCAACAATTCACTACGTACCATGAAGTCAAGCTATATGAAATGAAAAATCGCAAAATTATACAGAATAATTCAAATATTCTTGAAAGTTATTACATAAAATTGTTATACTGTTTGTGTTGTTTTCAATATCAACCGACAAGTTTCCAAAATGCTATAAACAAAAAATAATCTTTGCATTGCCAGTTTACATATTTGAATTGTTATAAATTACATTGTCCGCTGTTACACGTAAGCTACAATGTTACTGTTTAAAGATTATTAGTTACAAATACAATGCAACATTGATTCGAATTAAGTATCGAGAAGAGAATTCGTTGACCCAATATAATAAGATTGAGATAGTACAGTATATTCTGTCATTATTGTAGCTAAAAGCTACATATCATGTTAAACATTGGCTAAACTTCGACTTTCGTCAGTAAATACATTATTTTCCTGATTTGTATACCTAAACACGCACTTCCCTTTTATTCTTCTGTTCAAGAGCTCTGGATTTTCGTAAATAGGATTGTACCCCGTAAATTGCAATTTACAATGTGTAACTACGGAGCTAATTTTATTACTTCGTACTGTCAGCCCCACTTAGGACGTCATCTTCTGGAGTACTACGTAGACCACTCGACGACCATATGATGACAGCTGATCTATTTATTAATTGTAGAACATCAGGTATAAATGAATAAAATGGAACTTGCAGGTGATGATATTAACATTCAGTTGGATATTTAATTCTACAAACCTCATGCAGCTTTGTGGCATTGCGTTAGCCTGATACCATAGAAATATTGCCAAGACTATACTCCAAGTTCGCAAAGCTCCTAGGATAGTAGCCAACGTTCCATATGCAAGCCAAAATGAGTATGCCATACTTATTTGCATTGTGATTAGAATTAAAAATGGTATATGTCGCCAAAGTATTCTCAGGAATGATATCGGTTTCCTTGCCGGTTTTTCAATTATTTGTAATCTGCAAATTGAATATGACTACACTACTTCGAGAAAGAAATTTTAGGATTTTTTAATATTTTAAGATTCTTACCGCTGGTCAACCCTGTGTGCTAAGATAAGTACAAGAGGTAGATGGAACGAAAATAATTGAAAAAATCCATAAGCATATGTAAGCGATCCTGGTAAATATGAGTTTCCAACAAATATTCCCCAGGCAAATATCATTCCTGTATGATTGTCAATAATTTCGCCGATAACCCATGGGCCTTGAAAATAAATTACATCAAATTGTATATTAAAAAATTCCATATTATTAATGACTTACCAATTGTTAAGTACAGCGCGTAAAGTATTACAGGGAAGAAAAGACGGTCTATAGAAGACAATATCCATAACTTTCTCACCCACCAATGGATTATACTTATTGGTATTCTCGGACGCCGAATGTGTTTGCCTATAAATTCAGAAGAAATATAAATAATAGTTTACGAGATGCTTGAAAAATGATGTGATTCCGTAAGTATATAACATCATCCCATTTACCCTCACAAAGCTTGTGAAGAATTCGGAAAACGCATAGTGGCACGATCAATAGTAAAAGCATACTCCCAAAAAAGAACTGGAACTGAAATTAATGCAGGAGCTTTAGACTTATTAAAAATCTTATGATTTATAATTTCAACTTTAAAAGTTGCACGGTAATTGTGGCTGGTACTAATATTCCGGTACTCACTATATGACTAGCATTTGACATTAGTATCAATCTAGGTAAAACACGAAATGATAATCTTGTACCATCCAGAGAAAATGGTTGGGATGTCACTAACTCCCTGTCATCCTCATCCACAACATGAACCTGAAATAACGATAATAGTCAATAAACTTTCGTACATTATCTTTATTCCAAATCATATAGTGACACTTATAATTGACTGAACTGTAATATGATGTATTCCATTCAAGTAGTTGAGTGGATTCCATTTGGCGGTATAAAGCGGTCCTTTTATATAATTGCAATTAAGCCATTCTTCATCATTTATCTGAACTTTAACACTTTTTATTGGAGCTATCGAAAATGCCACTACTCTGTAAAAATATAACTTTTTTTATCCACAAATATTGAATAATGTTGCAACTTGTGGGATCATGAGCTTGATAAATTTCCTTTGATTTGGTAAAGCTTGAAAGCAGTGATTACCTGATGTGCGTAGAATCAGTGATTGACTGCAAGTTCTCTTTTCGCGGCATCGCGTATAACGAGTGTTTTGGGTTGGTGATTAAGACCACTGGCCAGTCTCGGTGCTTTATGTCAGTGAACGAAAACTGACCGTGGTCTATTACTGCAAGCCGATACCTGACAATAAGCGTGGATAAGAATAGCGTCTACCTTAATCGCAAGAAGCTTAATGATAACAGAGGATTTCTCATGCAAACCAGTAATATTAAAACAGCCAGTATCACCGTACGAATTATAAACTCTGTAGTCAATAGAAACATTGAAAATTGAACCCATGCTGGAGGTTCAACATTTCATTGCTCTGTTTTGCATAAAATTTTGCACTGTGCCCTTATTCGTTCTATGTGCATTCGTATAATAAATAAGCTACATGGAGGTCATTTGAGAAGTCAATATTTCACTGGTAGTTAAAGCATAATAAATGAAAAGACGAGCTTTCAATTCTAGAATTTTCATCATAATCAAGAGTTGTTCATGTAAGAAAACCGCACGCGTTGGTAATTTCCTTATATGCATACTTATATCTTACATTCTGTTCTCTTTCCAGTCGGCTAACTCGAGTTCCAAAAAACCCGCTTGTTGTAAGGTATACATATTCGGTACTGCACCACCCAGCATGTGATAATGCCCGCAAAGATATACCATACTTTCTCTGTACCTGCCTAATTGGATATACTGTATAATAAGGTGAATACTAAAATTCACTATAATGATATATATATATATAAAACATGAAATACCCATGATACTCCTAACTCCACCATCACATTGTGCTAGAATGCAGGAAGTAGGATAATGTCCAAACCAAATAATGTAATCATTATTTCTTCCTTTTGATTCGCGTACCAATTCATGTAGCGTTTCAGTTTCTTTGCCGTCTAAGACACCCACAAAATTGAAGGGTCTCCTTGGTCCAGGTTCCAGACATGCATCCATTCCAATAAAAGAATATTTTTCAGAGCCTACTGTAATTTCATGCATATAGGAACGTGAATGCCGTTTTCCTTGAATCGAATAATTTACATAATAATTTTCCTTAGATTGAAGATTGGGAACGTTGAAATTATCTGAAAATTTAAAAGTACAGTTCCTCCTTCACCTCTCATAGGCAAATCAAATGATCTTACCATGATTGCCTCTAATATCCAACCATATAGTTTTTTGTGAAATATTTACGTCATCGAGTACTTTTTTATACTGTATCCATTCTTCCTTTACTTGCCTTGACCCCATTCTATCCCTTTCTATTGCATCAGTCAAATCACCTATTTGTTTCATGTATATAAAAATATACAGAATTAACAGGAGGGAATGCTTTATATTAATAATATATTCATTGAGAACTCAGCAGTCACTTATAAGTAGGAAAATTTACCAGATGCAATAACAACAGAAGGCTTAATAGCACCAACTGTAATGTCACAAAACTCTTTCAGTTCGGTTATTCTAGATGGTTCTCGAAATATGCTTATGTGTAAATCCGATATCTGAAACGATCAGTAATTCTCTTAAGTAAAGCATATAGATTGGTTTGTTTTACATACTATAAGTAATGTAACAATTACTACAAAAGATGTAATTCATACAGAGAAATGAAGATATAAAAAAGCTATAGAAGAATTTTTTTTAATACGTGATATAAAGAAATAAACAGAAGTTGTAGATGATAATCCAAACGCACAGCTGAGACGAACCTGTAAAAACCACATAAGATAGTCAAATGACTCTCCGATCTCATATTTTTTTGGTTGAGCCCATCGGGGCTCTGAATTATCCAGCCCTTCATAAAGTTGTGATTCGCTAATAGCATGGGAGTCAACATTGATAAGATTTGTCACATTTGCCACAAATACTGAAAGCATCAGTATGGAGATCAGGAAGACCACAGTAGATTTAGATATTCTCATTTTCAAGTGAGCTTAAATCATAATCGTCAGAAGTCAATGCACCAATAACTTTTTCTTTTCTAACAGTACTGGGCACGTTTATGTTTCTTTGGCTTATACGACGACACCTGACCGGTTGGCAACGAGTGGAACCAGTTAAGTATTGCTTGCTTGCTTTTAAAGTGGTGATACTCTGTGGGTTAGGTGCCACTTTCCTCCAGATCAGTTACGATTTACGGCCATGAATAGCGTCCATACGAAAGATTGCCGTCACAATAAAACAGAAAGTAAATACGTTCCTGGCAGTGTCTAACTAATTTGATTGCCCATAAAAATCTCGGAGAAAAAGATAACCCACTCTGCGCATGGCAAAAGCCATCTTAGCAGTGACTGTATATCTGTTTCTGTAAACTGTGCTGTAAATGTACACGATGCAATGAAGAAAGTTGGGATATTTAGAAAAAAAATGTCAGTGAAGGTCTTGAAGTTTCATATGTGAACTGCAATTTACTAAATTGAAGTGAAGGAGTATGCGAAATACAATCTATTGGCTTCATATCGATTCACACTTTATTGTTTAAAGGTGAGCATATTGTTTACATTAGTGTTTAATTTATTAGCATGAGAGGCTGAAGTTTGCTCTTGTACCTGCATAAAATCAATTGTGGAACATTATAATATGCATTACTACTATTTATCTATATTTCAAAATCGTTTTAGATGTCCTTTCTTTCAAAGTGTTTTAATTGATAAACGCAACATTAATTCAATGAGATGTATGTACAATTCACGCAGGCGCGCAAGGTCTAATATTTCTAAAAAAATTTGCGTCTGTTTATGCTAGTTTTACATCGCTGGCATGCAGGGTGTCGCTTCGCTCGTGTTTCGGTGTTGCACTTGTAGTAAGGACTTTTAAAACACGGGTTATTTCCGCTCCGATTTTGTGGTCGATTCGTAGATGGTCATAGAGCTTGAAGTGCTCGCCTATAAAAGGTGAGTGGCAAAAGAATAATTAACCAGCGACTGAGCCATATCTGCTATGGCTATTTACAGGCTGAGGATGAACGGTAAAACAGTAAAGGAATTTAGAAGTGACATTCCACGTGAATGACATAGGTGGACGTGATATGAATGTTTGCTTGATAATTTGCTTAATATCATCGAGTAGTTATCAGGACTTAACACGTTTATGCAAGGACGTTTCGAACTGATCATTGGGAACAGCCGGCTTTATTTAAGGTTAACTATGAAATTATTTTTCTGGTTCTTTTATACTAACTTATTCATTATTCAATATTTTTGTGGCTCTTTGCTGCAGTATAGCTCTAAGAACCTATTTGGACATCATATAATGTATCTTCGCATTGTATAACAATGCTATTTTCTTTCGTGATCATCTCCAAGTATTTTAGTCTGATATAGATGTTATGAGCAACATGAGAAAGCTAATTATGTCATAATATTGACATGATTTCTTTATTTAATAATCGTTTGAATGCTGTTATAAGTTTATATGATATTCTTTATACTTATTTTATTTCAGATGGCATCAAATTCTTTAGAAGAAAAGATTAATAAGATTAGGCAACAGAATGAAGAAATTAGGAGACGACATGAGGTATTGTTTTTAATAGAATATTGTTTATTACCATTCTATTGAAATGAAAAGTATTATTTAAGTATATTTCCTTGAAAGGAAGTGGAAGCTGATAAGAAAAATGCTGCAAAGTTGAATGCATTGGTCAAAATGGTACCTTCAACAGATTGGCCAGAACGAAAAGAGCCCCCAGAATTTTCTAACCCTCTACCTAGAACTAATCAAAAGCCAAAACCAACTAATAGAGAACATGAGCATCCTCTACAATATCATGCAGCAGGTGGAAATAGCAAAAAAGTACATATTTTTGCTGAAGTATGTATTATATTCATGGAAGCTAACACATGTATCAGCCTTTTTATAGAAGAATTTCTCATTGGTTTTATCTATATGTTTCAGGGTGATGGACCTCCACCTGATCCTAAATATAATTTCCTGGCTGACTCTGAACGAGAAGAGCATGCTATGGAAGAACCCAGAGATAATGAAAGAAATAGAGGACGTAACAAGCCATCACGCGGAAGTTTTCGGAAAAGAGGAAGCGGTGGCAGAGATGTGCACATCAAAGTATGTGAACAATTTAGAGTTCAAAATATATCCATTCCACCATATGTAGAATTTTATAAAAATATTTTCTAATTTTATCTAGGACTTCCGAGGGCATCAAACAGTACAGAGACCAGATACTTTGCCTGAATATGAAGCATGGCGAGCTGAACGTAATCGCATTGACGAGGCTCGTATCAGTAGACAACGCACTGCTGAGGGTAGTTGGCGTCGTGAATGGGATATTGATAAAGTAAGTTCCATGTTATTAAAGTTTTAGAGTGTAAGAATAAACGATAAACCATAAATAATAGAAAGATAAAATATATAAAAATATTGTAGGTAAACATAGAAGACGAATCACTACCAAGAGAATCTCGAACTACGTTAGGTGACATTATTCGAAAAGATCACAAAGATCTTGATAAGCGTCACCATTCAGATAGTCAGTAAATCATTTTATAGAAACGTTTGAAATTGCTGTATGCACATCAGAGGAATATCATTAGATTGATAATAATTTTATTTTTAGGTTCCGAATATACAAATCGCGGTCGTGGAGGCAATCATCATTTTATGCGTGGTACTTCAAGAGGTTCGCATAATAATCGTGGCTATCATCACTCCAATTCTTATGAACAGTATCATTGTTCAACATTAACATCGGGACCAGCACCACTATCGCCAACTAATTCTGATGAGAGAACTGTTACTGCTACTGATAAAAGTATTAAGATTACATTGAATCAAGGATCCAACGCATCGAAAGGGCCTGTCATGAGCGTGAAAGGTATATCGTACTGCTACGTAATGTTATTAATTATATATTATTAAGCTAATCACTTCAGTGGTGTGTTTGACAGTGAGCTCTCCAAGTATAGCCGGAACCGGAAGAGTTGGTCCTCGTCAAAAGACTCGAGTTATGTACAGCAGTCAGTCAGAAAATGAAATTGTAACTAATGAACTCGAAACTTTTCCACGACAAAAATCCTTTGATGACAAATCCAGGGGTGTTCATTTCAATCCCAACGCATCGCAAAGTTCCACTTCAAAAAGTCCTCACCCACAAAGGAAAAAAGATAGTGGCTCAAAGTCACCATTCCCACAAAGAAAAGAATTTAAACATGATGATGCCACAATAGGGTCGAGACCCCAAAAACGTGGCGAAAATGAGTCTAAATCACCTTACCTTCAGAGGAAAGAATTTAAAGATTTTCCGAAATCGCCGCATTCCCAGAGAAGGTCTATTAATTCTAGCAACGATTCCCCAAAATCACCATATCCTCAGAAGCGAACTGTTGACAAGTCAAAGGATCTAAATAATTCGGAATCACAGCGACCTCATCGTCGTGTTGAGAAATCGAAAAGTTTTAATCGAAACTCATCTAGGACAGAACAGAGTCATGAGAATACTGTTAAAATAAAGAACGACTTAACGGATATTGAAAATTCTGCAAACTTTGGAGATTCTAGTTCGACCATCAGTACCATACAAGTTGAAGAACATGGTGATGAAGTTAAGAGTTATGCGGGTAATATCGATGATACCAAGGAAGAAGTTTCGAACACTGAAGTAAAACTTTTAAAAAAGAATAATGAAGTGACAACAGAGATTGTTGAGACAATTGAGAAAGAGGACGTTGAGATATTCGAAGACTCGATTGGACACGACGACTCAGGCTTTGTCGAAGCATTAGCTAACGATTATACTCAAATTGCATTAGATGATGAGAAAGAGAAAGTGAATGATGAAGGGGAAACAAAGACTATATTAGATAATTCTACCAAAGAGATTACCGATGGCACTAAGGACGCAATCTGTGATAATACCGATCTCAATGCTGCTGACACAAAGTCAGACACAGTTGACAAGGCCTTGGTACAAGGTAATGTACCTGTTGAAATATCAGAGCATCAAGCAGATACACCAGATTTGGTACAGCTGCCATCGACTGATGAGTTCTCCAAGAGTCCTATTGAAAAATTAACGACCACAAATGATTCGAAGGAACTTCAAGGTGTAGAAACACCACCGGAAGTTTTAACGAAACCAGAAATTGTTACAGAAGAAAATACCGCCAAGAATAAAGAGCTAATAATCAGTGCCCCAATACTGAGCGAAGAAGTCAATAAAGAAGCGGAACAACCTGCAAACAACAATGGTGAGGAGAAGGATGCTGTCAAGGTGAATGATACTATTAATAATTTGATAGAATCCGATCAGAAAGAAGTTCTCGAAGATAATAATACTTCAAATAATGATGATAAATCTGCAAAAGCTCTCGTGAAGAAAGAAGCGGAGACAGAAATCATTGGATCACAAGAGTGATTTGAAAGATCATCCCCTTGGTTCGGTTGTAACATCAAATACTTTTTATTATGAATCAATACCTAAAGCTCGTTTTTAGGTATAATGATATTCGTTTGGTGGTTAAGGATTAGTTATCAGTATCGTTGGTAGTGAAACTAGAAAGTTGTCAACTAATTCATACACGTGTGTGAACAAGGCAGCATTCTTCATTTGTTAGACAAATGTATAGTTCAGATGGAACGATATGATATTATTTTTGTTTATAATCAGTTATACATATACATAAACGATATAAATCTTTCTTACAGAAATATAAAAAGCATAATAAATGCTAGTACATAGAAAATTTAGCATACGTCGAATTGATGTGATTATGGCCTCTCTCATTGTAGGTAATACTATTGTTACTTGTTGAATCAAATAACTGGACGAAAAAGTTCTTAAGGCTGTACAAGTGCTATGTTGTATGTGACATGTACGATAAGTTAGAAATCATAGAAATGCTGATATTTCTTAAGGTTGGTGAATCATTTTGGAGGAAGAGTACTTTTTCAAATACTACAAACTGTTGTGAATAAACAATTGTTATTATTATAAATTCAGTATAGACCAGTAAAAAATCAATATGTGCAGACAATTCATTAGGGGTATCTGCTGCTGTTATTAGCAATTATATCGTATTGGCTCCAATTTTAAATTTGTCCAACAATTTCCTCGGTCTCTCGTACTAAACTCTATTCGTAGATAATGACTCAGTCAAGATTGCCACTCGTCCACGACGTAATGAAAATTAATTATAGAGAATTATAGCATTTATTAGCAGGTATAGAGTGTAAAATGTACAGTACGTCTATTTAATAGGCAGCCTGCCAAGGGGTTCATGATCGCATTCAATGCACTCTGTGTTTTCCAATCGCTAATCGTGTTGGTAACACGTAAATCATGTGATAAACAAAAAAAATGGTAGTATAAGAAATACTATGGTGTAGCAAAGTTTGCTATTAATTTCAAATCATGTTTTACTGATTCAACTTTTCCTAATGCTCACTTTAGAAAGAGAAAAAAATGCTGGAATTTCACTGTTTCCAATAACGCGTTGCATAACTCGTGACATAACAATTGAGGCTAAATATTTTCATGGAAATAATTTAATCGGTTATATGGTAATATTCTTGATTCATTTCTTACTCGTAGTAATTTATAGCCATAACTTATTAAAAATAATATAATAGTTTGAGAATCAAGTATAGCACGTCATAACCGAGAGCGCATTTATAGTTTAACAAAATTTTATTTTTTTTCTTTATTTCAGTAAATTTGAATGAGGTGTTTTTTTTTTGTTTTTATCATGTCATCAGAAAACCGTCTATATTCTCGAACGGAAAAAAGGAGTGTTTGGTGTATTAATATTTATTATAGAAGAATAACTAATTGTCATTTTCTTGTATGACTATATATATAACAGAAATTATCTATCGGATTGCTAGTGATATCTCATCATTTTTATTTAATTTTATTTTGAATGATTAAAAGGCATTGGTGGCTTACGACAAAAAGTGAATGGTAAATAATGCTGCCAATAACTTACAATGCCATTAATTTTTGACTATAAACTATTAGAGAGTTCGTTTTACTTTTGAATAATGAAAGCGCACATATTTTGGTTATTATGGTGGCACAGTTAATTACTTCCGTCAATGAATATAACTGATTTAGCACTGAATTAATGGCTGTCTGCCGGTTATACAATTTTATATGTATTATATACAAGAATGATATTTATTTTGAACATTTTAATAATATTTTTATATCCGACATTTGGCACTCGAAAAGTAATCACGCAAGACTATAATGTGGATGAGTATCGAAGACGGAATGAAATGCAAAAAAATATATAACCAAAAACAATTTTATTCCTATGACATTGATGCAACAATAGTTATATCGTTACAAGTTTTTATAGTTTATATGTATATCAATTTTATTATTTAATTTACTATTTTCCTTTATTGTTATTTAAGTTTAATATTTATAATCGGCGCTGGCAACTTCTCAAGTGGCGCCTCTAATTTTGCAGCTACAATTAAATACTTTTACAGCGAGGAATTTAGCGAGTGGCTGCCGATGACAGCGGGAATTCTATATTTTTGTATTAAAAAAAAAATATCAAGTAGCAAGTCTTAATGTCGTGCTGCTTTTTATTCTTGTCAGTAGTAGGCGTTTTTTATGGCGTACTATTTATCTATGTCTCGTTGTCTTTATCATCTTCGTTTCCTATTACGCCTACACTTTCATTGGCATCGGCTCCACTTTTCGAAAATTCCTCGACGCTATTTATTTTTGACGTTGCCGCCAGCATCGGCGCCGAGTATCCCAGAACCTCCATCGACCGTGTTATCATCAGCCATAGCTTTACGTTTTTAAGATTGTTCTAACGCAATGGAAACAAAAAATGAAAAAAAAAATTGTTAATAAATCTGTACTGCTTGCTAAGTGCATACGTATTCTCCCTTCGTCTCTAATATTAGAAATATTTCCAGAATTTGAAGAGTTACCATCCTCATTGGGTTTACCTTGACAGCCTGTCTGTAGCACTGTTGAAATTCGTCATGACGTTGTAAAGACATATTCAAAAGGCACAAGTAACCCCAGATATCACAATTACGACTGTCTAGTTTATTGGCTTCCATCAAAGCCATTTCAGATTTTTCGAATTGAGTCGACTGTTTTTAGGATATAATTACAAGTTTACACATTTCAAGGATAATTATTTACAGCATTAAAATTTTACTTACATAATAGTAAGTTACTCCTGCACCGAGCCAGGATTGTGGCGTAGGTAAAAATTTTGAAGAATTTAAGAAATACTTTATAGCATCAGTATTTTGCTCAGTGTCTAAACAATATTGTCCCATTCTACATAAATTATAAATACAATGATACTCAGAGCTCTCGTTGCATTGATATTATTCTGTGTTTACCTCAAATGCACTAAATGCATATCATCTGGGCTGTCAAAAATCATGTTTACAAATTCATAAGAGTACATGGCGTCCTCAAGATTTCCTTCTTTATAATGGCAATGGCCCATTAAGCTACCAATGGAATAATCCTGCATTTTCAAAAGAGTATGACATTTCAGTAGTTGCTTATAATATTGTTGGATTTAATTATAATAGTTAATTTACCAACCATACCGTGCTGACATTGAGCTTCTTTCAGATGCGACAAAGCATCATCGTATCTACCTAATAGATAATGATGAACTGCCATGTAATATAAAAATGGCGTCGATCTACCAGAGATAGCTAGCTCTTGTGCCAGTGCTATACCGGCGAACTGAAACGAAGATTATACCATTGCCTGTAATATGCTTTAGTAAATTAAAGATTCGACCTACATCGTAAAGGTTCATTTTTAGCAACAAGACTGCAGTTATGATGTATATCTGATCCTTTGGACAGTGAATCATCGACCATGCAAGAGGTTCTAGAGTTAAATATTTTACATTCACCGTGTCCCGGTCCTTGTCGTTTAGACATTTTTCTGCCACCTGAATGGTCAGGTCTACGCCTAAAATATAATTACGTAATATTATCCATAGTTTTATGCACCAAGTAATATTATGATATCATAACTACCAGGATAGTATTCTGTGCGAATATAAAACAGATGTAGGATCATCCAGCCTTCTGTAAACCTGGGATACAAGGAAGTGACGGATTTCAAAAATATTTCCGCTTCCCGATTTTCACCCTCTGTCCAAAGTAGTATTCCGTAAAGTAACAGACTGATAAGTAATAAAGGACAAGTGTTGCGTTATGTGTTTAAATTGATGCGATAAAATTTCTAAAGAAATCGAAACGCACGCAATTTTGTGTCGTTTGTCGAGAACAATCGCTTCACGACAACATTCGATCGCACGATTATGATCTTTGATCTTTATCAGGTAAGTTGCGTACATTATCCATGTATCAGGATTGGTTTTCTCATTGGCAATTGCCTAAAAAAAGGATTGATTAGCCAATTTCCAGCTAAATGTTTAATTATTTTAATTGTTCACTGTTCTGTGATATCGTTTTGCGTCATCTATATGATTTAATTCATCAGCTTCCTCAGCATAGTAACAGTAGTTTATCAAATTGGTAGATTCCAAATGTTGCTTATTGATAACGTGACCTTCTACTTCTTTATTTATCGCCAAGTGCATTTGCTCTGTCAAATATATATAGGCCGTTGCAATGAAATCCTATAGAAACAAAAAGGCATGTAAAAGTTATGCAACAAATAAGTTCTAACGTTGCTCTAACGCACTTGACCCTCTTTGGAATGCAATATGTGCATTTTTGACTTGAATTTTTGATCTAACAAAAAGATCATTTTCTTTTTCAATGTACTTTGAATGGCAACGTACAAACCTGTCTCGTAAAGATATCGTATAAATCGCGATAATTCGTCCTGGAAAGTAGCACAGTTAGTTAAATAAATATAGTTGAATAATTATAAAATTTACCGATCCGAAAACCTTAAGTGATTCAGGTTGAGTACTTTTGCTTTTTTCAGAAAATATTTTAGAACTTGAAGAATTTTCAATTTCAGTTTCATTACACGATTCCATTACTGAGCCATCCACTTGATTTTGGCTGGTATTATTTTTTTCAATAAAATCCTATAAAAATATATATGTAATCAATCTCTAATTGTATTTTTTTTACAATCTACTTTATAAAATGTGATTTACTCTATAACCCTCCGTAATGGTGTCTACTAATTTTCTGATGCTATTCAAATATTGTTCTTCTGCCAACTGAATTGTGTAAGGATAAGGATCGTGCACTTTAGTTGTCGTTATCATCTCTTCCAAACTACCGAAAATAAGTTACCGTGAATTTAGGAATTTCAAACGTATCATGATTTATTAAATATGTCGTTTTGATAGTCACGCGTTCGTAAAATCAATCTTAGCACGACACTGTATAAGGGGAGTGTATAGTTCCAGTTCAATCAGAACAACAACAGGATCACCAGCTTCTGTGGTTAAAGGAACACTTGGCGTCTCTGCTTCTTGTGTGACTGACAAAGCCTAAGAAAGTATTGATAGGTTAGTTAAAATTTAATGGACATTACGAATATCTCATTGTTGAATATATTAACCGCAGACATCGGTCTCTCTTTAATATTTCCTTTCTCTTTCTTATCTTTCTCTTTTGGCTCCTTTCCAGCGTTTAACCCAAAAATATCTCTTTCTATCCCAGTTTTCTTCAACATGCTAGACGGATTGTATGTGTACAGCTGTGTGACTACACGAGTCCTCGTTCCTGAATTATTGATTATTTATCAATGTATTCACTCGTCATATCGTTAATTAATTAATTACTTCCTGGATAAAGTAACTCGGTCACGTCGATGTAACATTGATAAAGTTGTGGTTGAGACGTGTCTTTGCTTTTTGATTGGCTCCCTCCAAAATGCTTTGGCGTCATCATAAATACAAATGGCCAATATTTGTATCTTAATAAAAAATATTATTACTAAATATAAAAAGGCCAACAGACTTATTAGTCAATCCCGTTCTTATTACTTGTTAATATGTTCCTGCATCAATCGATTTCCTATGTGTAAAATGATATGGCGACTCATATAATTCCATTCGATTCTTGGTGCATGTTCCTCCATCTTTTTCTAATAATTTTAAGATTATCAATTGTATTTTCGTAGCTTGCAGATCACGCCAGTTTTTACGTCAGTATCATTACCTTCAGGTCAAAGACAGTCTTGAACTCGTTCTTTGTACCTTTAGCGTCACAATTAAGTTTTTGTTTAGAATTTTTTGCTCGATTCTCCAGGAAATGCAATTCCTGCCAACGTTTATTTCTTTCAAAATCACAAACTTTTGTCCACCTTCCGTCTTTAAATATTATGTCATCCGGTACCTATATACAAACATTGGAGTTTTCTATGTTAAAATATAAATGGTCCACGCTTACCTCGCTGTCGATATACGCAATTGTACCACCTATGAACTCATAATCATCAGTAAAACTGGGTAATGGATTATAAATGCTTTCCAAGGTAATAGTAAGAAAATTCGCTTGCATGTCTTGAGGAAAAAAATCAATTTCTTTATCGTGTTTCATGGTGACAATCAACATGGGAAGATTTGGCCATGAAACAGCAGCACCGCTGTAAGACATCTTTGGAATTTCCATTATTAACTTTTCCGTTACACATTTTTCACCTGATAAAAAAAATAGTCAAGTTCAAGAATCGACAATTGCGGTATCAATTCTTGAACGGCATTCATTAATCTACCCAATAATAAAGGCATCACATCCAAACTACATATTCCAGTGAGTTTTGTCTCATTTGTAGGCTGAGAATTTTTAGCAGCAGATTTGTTCCTTGTTTTTTTCTTGGAGACATTCTGCTCCGAAATGGGACTATGAATTTCTGCATTCTCATTAAATCTCTCCGTTACTTTTACTAGAATATTATATTAGATGTAATTTTTAATATATCAAAAGATACAAATATCATGTCAATCGACTTACTGAGAATCGGAGCGGATAACACTGCATCTATACTACTTCGCTTATTGACAGTTATTGGAAATTGTACAGTATAATTGATATCGTACGCAGCTGGAGGATCTGGAGAATTTGGTAAAATATCTATGGCATCACTTTCTCCCAGTATAAGATCCTTGTGTTGAATGGAAACAGTCAAGAGCATGTTATGCTTTCGTATCTGTTAAGTAAGGAATTAATTGACGATTGTCTGAATACAATTTTTGAATTAGAATAAACATATTTGAATATATTAACAATATTTTCTATCGCTTTGATGGTTATTTCAATGCACCGTTCTATTGGGGGAGCTGCAGAAGAAGGTTCTGACGTGGACGTGAGCTCAGTATTGTCTTTCTCCATATTCTTAACATTTATCTCATTACCCTTTCTCTGTATGAACATAACGTGATTAATTTTTACATATTATAATAATAATTTAGTTACCTTCGACATATTGAACAGACAATAACTTTTTTTCACTGTTTTAGCCCAATAATATTGACAGCTCGCTTCATGCATTAGCATCACTTTTGTCTTTCTCGGCGCGAAAGAGGAATCTGCGAAATCAATTATTTCACAGCATGATGAAAGTTAATTGTGACTGTCGGTAACATTAATATAAGTGCAACGATATTTACCAAAATTATATTTATTGTCTCATTTCTTTTTGGGGAATTATTATATAACAATAATTGCTACACTTTCATATAATGCTATATACTTTCAGAACTTATGATTATATGCATAGTACGTATTACGTTACAATTTTTTGCGCATGCACCAACATCCAGAAGCATCCCTCCGACGTTAACTTAACAACGGCTTGTGAGCTTACATTAATTAACATCTCTCCTTTAGAATCAATTGCTCATTAACCACCTGCACCTGCAGTCACCCACAAAATGTTGGTGCAGTCGTTACAGCATAAAAACTATATTTAGAAGATCCGCGTAGCAACGCTTATGTATGTGAAATTCTGCTAGTGATTGGAATCTCATGGCCGGTACACAAAGTCTTTCGTATAACAACATTTTATCGCAAGCTTTTGCCATTTTTGTGATGATTTTGTGCAGTAAGGCTTTATTGCGTTTGTTATTTAATTCAAATTTTTTTTTACTCTAAGTATGAATACTATCGAGCACTCAGAGTATGATATGTACAGTAAATTTACTTTGAATTGACAATGTATAAACTAATAACTTTTCAATACAATAATTCATTCTGCAAGCAGTTGCCTAGTCGCTTTACACACGTAACAGCTATATTAAATTGCTATATGTATACGAGCTGGTGCATGAAAGTTTGAATATTGCATTTAGGAAGGGAAGTATGTCTAGTAAAGATGAATCTTATAAAATGATAAACGTATAAGACTATATCTTATCTTATACACTGGTTAGATTGCATTGCATCTCGTATTGAAAATTAGACCGCATATTTATGTCCCCAGTTGTACGTAGCTCAATATTCCTAATTGGTAATTTTTATTGACGTCGAACTTGACTACGCAAACATTTTGTAAGTAACGCTCTTGCATTCATATCACATTATTTCATCGTGACATTTTTATGGCAATAAAGTATCTAGCTGTCATTACTTTATTATACGTATGAAGCAACTATAAATGTCGCATACGAGGATAGCACGTTGGCATATTATGGCAAAGACTAACAAATCAGAATATGGCAGTGAAAAATTATATTATACCATTATGTGCGAACATGTACTGTCAGTCAGTTATCAGCTGCTAAAAAACGTCAGCTGAAGTATAATCTGATTCCTTTAAAATTCATAGGAAACCTTGATTCAGGGAAATTAAAGTCTGGAAAATATAAAGACTACATAGACTACAGCGTGGGTACAGCCAATTCAGATCTTTTTTTTTTTCATTTTGGTAAACTAACGATTGTGCAGTATCCTAAATGCATTGTAAACGTACTCTGATCATAGATGAGAATTATATCGCCAGCAATATGTATGATAACAGTGTATCTTAAACAAAGCGGTAGAAAATGACTATCTTCAATTACAAAATTACGATATTAGTATCATTAATAGTGTTATATGGGTAATATATTATTGGATATAGTCTATATATATATATCTGTGTATATAAAACTGCCCGCGCATTGCTTATGCAGCTAAGAGCCGTATTATCGAGCTTCAATATTATTTCCCAAAAGTTCGGAATAGACGCAAAATAAGTGCATGCACAAATTACAACAATTATCTTCTATGAATTCGTAGCTTCAGCTTTTTTTTCTTTCTTTCAACACATTCACGTACAGGATCTGAATTTTGATTTAACAATAAGATTATTTAAAAACTCAAAGCTCCATGTTTATCGGATCTAATAAAATCATTATTTATATTATAAGGAATAAAATTACTTCGTGATTTACGCACTATATGATTCAATCGGAATCCTAAGCTCGTTCCTTTACAATAATAAGTTTGAATCAAAATTCAGATCTGACTTCTAAAATTGTATTGATAATTTTAACAAATGGGCAATCGGCATACTTTCTTTAGATATGAACTAGATTTTGACTTGAATATCTTTTCCTTACTTTGACATTGTAAAGATATTTTTACAATGATAAATATTTCAACCAATATCACCATACCGACGTCGCACTCACAGAGTATACTGGTTTCAAACCAGGCAATTTTACTTTCACTAGTTAAAGGCTATTTAATTCTCTGCAGATATTGATGTTCCATGACATTTGGCTCTTGCGGCATAAACATTATATCCATTCATCCTTCAAGTATTCCAATATCACCACGGACCGGTAGCCGACCTTTTGGCTTCCTGTTAAAAAATAAAATGCCCATTATAAACAGAGTAGAATCATCAATTAAATAGAATCTTAAAACAGAATCAGCACAGTTCTTACACGTCCAGAATATTAACCACGTACCTCAGTCTAATCGTTCATTTCCAGTCATTAGTAAAGCATCAAACGATTTACAAATATATTAATTACAAATAATATTGGCAAACCCCCGAAGATACGCGCTTCTTACGAAACTGTACACGCTACTTTAAAACATCAGTAACCAATAGTAAAAAGCGCGTATCTCGTGTGCTAGATACACGTCTTTAATTCATTGCTAATTAATTTAACAAGTATTTTCCTACCGTGAAGGTAGCTAAACTTAATAATATTACAACCAGTCTCTGTTGCCTAATGTCCAATGCAAAACCAATTAAATTTTCAACAATGATAGTTAACGAAATTCTCTTATCATTAGTCGATGCTAAGTTGACTGTAGGTTTTGGATGGATAATATTTACTGGTGGCGGAGGTACAAAGTCGTCGAAGACACCAGTCTCGGCATTAGTAAATACCAACGAAGATGGTATCCATCTTGCTCTGTGCAGCGTGCAACATTTATTACATGATAAACATCTTACATGTCACTCGTGATAAGTATTAGTATCTTTATTTAAAAATTTCCCTTACCTAGTGCAGGGCGAAACGTTTTTCCCTCTTATAGCTTTGTCGCCGATGTCAATAGCTCCTGAGTCTTGGACTTCAAGAGTATAAATGCAACCGGAAAAGCCTTCCTGGTATCTTCCATAAGTCATTGCATAATCAGGCACACCTCCAAGGTATACACTACCACGTGTATTCAATACTTGCTGTAAACCATCGCTGACACCACTTTCAGTGTGTTCCCCATTCAATTCTATACTACCGTCGCTACCCTGACGTTTTAATATAATTCTATGACGTTGGCCATCATCGACTCTTTGAGCCGCCACGCGAATAACCGCTGGTCCAGATCCCAAATTATACTGATACTCTACATATCTGCAATTGATATATTCAGTTATGATGCGGCTCTTGTAATACCGATAGCACAGCATTCATAAGTTATAATATTTACCCATTTACTACAGCTAGAGCAATGTAATCGTCCGGATTAAAATCATCAGGGGTTTGTCCATGCCACATTATCAAACCGTTACTTTTATTCGTTGAAATTTCAAATCCAAATACTTCTCGCTCTTCTTCGTCGGTCATAATGGACTTATCTAACTCTAGCCAGCCATCCCCTTTAAAGGCCACGTCATAAGAAATTTCTGCAGCTGAAACAGCAAAAAATTTGTCAAATATTTCTCTATCAATGATCTCTTGCAGGTATAAAATCAACCATGGCATACCCTTCTCGCAGTCTTGTCCATTGAAGCCAAGTCGACAATCGCATTTGTAAGATCCATGAAGATCAGTACAAGTACCACCGTTTCTACATGGACTCAATACTTCACACTGTTTTAACACGTTTTCACAATTTCTACCGACATATCTATATTCACAAGTACAAGAGTACTCGTATGTACTCGTCACTTGACAAACACCATGCACACAGGGATTAGAAGCACAAGGATTATATTGAGTCGTAGGATATGTTGTAGATTGCTGTGCAGTCGTTGGAGTATAATCCGTCGTTGTCGTTGGATGAAGCATGGAACAGTCTTCGATATTGGCTGAGTCAATTGCTGACTTTAGGAGATGAATATTTTGTGCAGAAATCTCCAGCTATTGGATAGATAAAGAAAGAGTAAAAGATTATATAATGACTAATATAAAATTTAATAATTTTAAGCAATCAATAGACTTACCTTATTGATACAACCATTGAAAGCTCTATCTACCCCTACGTTCTTATTCACCGTTATCTTTGTCCTGTCAATCCCACCGACATACAAGGGTGTATTTAACGTCATCAGTCTTGACGAACCTGGAGATCTTCCCTCCACCTGAGGTTCTTCATTTACTGACAGCTTTCCTTCCTTGAAATCTCGACTGACTATTACATGACTCCAAAGTCCCGGCTGAATGATCTGGTTGGATCTGACCACCGCCATTCCTGAACCGATGTCGAAACGGAATTCCACGTGTCGGTCCTTAATTATCAGCGCAGCAAAGTCGCCGAGGCCATCCTCGCTTTCCGAGCTGTACATCAGGATACCGTCCCCATTGTCGGATGGATTGAAATGTATGGAGAATTTAAGCCTATGATCATTATGGATAATTTTAATTATCTCTTATAATTACAATTAGTATAAATGTACACACAAGTTATATTAATAAATTATATGATAATTCATTATGGAAATGGAATGTGTATGTGCAGTATATGTGTTACATTCACGTTTAATAGCTATTAACCATGCGTTATAAATAATTGTAATGAATGTCCCATATCAGTAGTGATTACTGTGTATTATAGCGTGAAGGTATAGGCATTGTAATTGGAAATGCTATGGTTAATTTAATTAATCGAAATGAATTGCATATACAGTATGAAAAATAATATCTACGATGAAACTCACCTTTTGAAGATTTAATGGATTTTTTTACCACTACGATAATTGAATAGAACAAAGCCATATACAAATTTGGACACACACTCTAACACCATGAACATATGTAAACGTAATTAAAGATCAAGAATTACACACGTATTTACATCGCTGGAGCAAAAGTAATGAAACCGAAAAAAAAATCAAACCACATAACTCTTCACACTTTATTTGCTCATAAAATATTATATTTATATATAATAGCATAGGCTCGCTGACCTATTGAGTATATAGATATTCATTCATATACGAAATATATATTTTTCTGCATATAAGGATTCTTATACATAAGCACAAACATATTATACATATATGTTGACATTTTTTTTCAGTTAACGTTATCATACACTTACAGAGTTGCAATATGATATTCTGATTTTGAAATTTCTAAAGCTTTGTCTGTAGTTACGGTTAAATGCAACTGGTTTGGCAGTGACTTAACGCCTTAGTTTTAAAAGTGAATATGGCTTACAGCCACGCGTTAAATGTATTAATTAAAAAGCTGTACAAAACTCTAATTATTAATTAGTAAGTTGACTGAGGTTCTAATATTATAACAACAGGAGTTTCATTTTAAGGAACTACCTGCTAGATAGACTTGTAAAAAGAGCAATGGAAAACTCAATTTTACAAAAAAAAAATGTTTTAAGGATGTATGCCCAATAGATAAATTTGTAATTTTCTTTACGAACTTAAAATATGTTACAATATTAACGATACTGTATCGATTTTAAAAAAAGGGTACTTTAACGTTCATTTAAGAGAAAAAATTATTGTTTAAAGTCCCATTTCATCTATGCTATTTTCACTGGAAGGACATTAATTTGGAATAAATTTGGGTTTGTATGGGATATAAGTATAGGTTAATGCAGGTTTCGTTAAAAATTGAAAACGTATTATTTTTTTTAACAAAAACTCGGATTCATCTTTCACGAAACACCTTTAACCTTTTCGCAATGTAATCACTTTGAAATGTACTGTTTATACTGAAAGTATGACGGCTCTGTTGCCATACTCTCTTGAAACATAAATCAAATTTTTTGATTTTCTGCTGGGCTGGATGTTAGTCCGAGTCAAATATAGTCAAGTTGGATATAAATGATATTCTAGCTGTATAAATAGTTATAATAGCCGAAAAATTCACAGGTTGATAAGTCTACATAACAGGAAAAAAATTGAAAGTATTCCGGATTTGTTGTGACACACATCCTTAAATTAAATTTCGCATTATCTGCAGAACCGAAGGTCATATAATTTGTTAATTATTGTATTCTTTAAAAATCAATTATTCATATGCCTGTATCATTTGTCAATAGTTTTCGGAAAGTACCTCGTCTCATAATATTATTGTCATAAAATTGAGGTTTCAAAGGAATTACGGTCAAGCTCCATATGACTATCTACGTGCATGGTATTTTTGTGTTAAGCCTAATGTTTTGTGTGGTGCAGGTTGTGGTGGTTTTTAGGATGTGGTCTGGATCTGGCATTTCTAAGCTGTGGCACGTGTGATCGAGAGTGCAATCGCTGTTTTGTATCGGTATATCGCTTTCTGGCCCTGAAAATAATTTTGTAATTAGGATCAAAAATCGCATTAAAATTTTCTTCCTAGAATCCATCAATTCGATTTTTTATCATTTATAAATTGAACGACATAAGAGAAATGCTTGACTATCCTTTTCCTTTCTTTCTTACATATATGTGTATTCAAACTATTCGAAAACAACAATTTAACGTGCAATATAAGCAATTCAAATTACCAATATCATAATATTTCAAAGTAAAGAAAAACATTAATCTCTACTCTCACATTTAAGTAAATTAAAATATTATTTTGATAGATAACTCATAAATGCTTTTCGGATATCTGAAAATTCGTGCACATGCAACAACGCGAATGTAACCAACTTACCGCCTTATGGCTTTTGGTGTCGTATACGCCAGATAAGCATTATTGTCATGGAATGCTGGTTCGTTGACGTTTACGAAGCGTTCACACCGATCACCGCCAGTTCCATAGGGACAGAGACAGGTGAATCCAGTTTCATTGTTATAACATCTTCCTTGGCCGCAAGCACCTAGGTAACAATGACGAACAACATTATTCTCGCTGTACAAATGCAATTAATTTTTAATTAACACTAGATTTACCAGACCAGTCATTTTGACTAGTCGTGCAATTTCAATTCAAAATTCCTACTATATATATCATTTGATTTCAGAAATGATGATATGACTTTTGTAGCTATAAGTAGAGAATACATTTTATAAACTTAATGTTATTTTATATACATTAGTAACAAATATAATTTTTGTTATTGACATTTATACCAGTACCAGTCAAAGTGAATAAATAGATGGTAAATCTAGTGTTAAATAAACCATGTACTACGTTGTATTGTGTTAAAGAATTTTAAAATTACCGGGATAACAAGGCTGTCCAATATGTTCGCAAAGTTTGCCGCTGTATCCAGCACGGCACAAGCAAGTGTATCCTTGTTTTTCTGCAGCTTCCTGACAAATTCCGCCATTGGTGCATGGATTTTCGGCACAAGTTTCGCATGTCGTCACGCCGACCGTAGCCGAGGCGTCGCCAATCAGATCAACCGGTGAGTCGCCAATAACCAGTCGGCTAATACACCCGACAAAGCCACTGTTCGCACCAGCTTGTTTACTAATTGCACTATAGTCAGGAACACCCCCGACATAGAGAGGTTCCATGAGATCCAATCCCAACTTTCTGCCAGTTGCCCATTCCTTGTAGGGACCCTCCCCGTCGACGTACATAGTACCTTCTTTGCGATCACGTTGTAATTTAATAGTATGCCATTGGCCAAGGGTTATAGGCTTGTCAGCGCGAATACGAGCTCGTCCAGAGCCAAGATAGAATCTACCAAGAGATAAAGATATTGCTTATACATACGTTTAAAAATGTATACGTTAACGATAGATTAGATTAAAATACTTTTGTTAATACCTGAATTCAGGATATCCATTGACAAGAGAAAGGATTAGGAAGTCTCCTTTTCCATCACCCTTTTCGTCATTGTAAAGAATGATACCGTCGTCATTTTCAGGCTTGAATGATACCTCGATGTTAAATTTAAGATATGCATCAGGTAGTGGACGCAAGGCTATGTAACTCTTAGGTGCTTGATTGAAATTTGGTACTACACCAGTTACAATGAGTACAGTAGGGACCTCGATGCTAGTTTGGCCACTAGTAGCTGTACAGATGTACGTTCCAGCATCTTCGGCTTTCACGTTAAGGAGCCTCAATGTGTTCTAATAAATAAAAATTAATACAATACATGTATTTTGGTAAATCAACTTTGCAAACGACTATTTCACGTACTGCCAACATTTCCTTTTCACGTGGTAAATTATCACCAAGTTTATTCCATTTGAAGGTAACTGGTTCCTCGAGATTAACTCTGCAGTACATTTCCACATCAGATCCATAACGGGCAGACTTTGTTTCGATTGCTGGTGCATCATTATTTCCGCCTAAATAATTCAGGTTGTTTGTCATTAATATTATTAAGATACTTATTTTACATTTTCCAAATGACGAACTAATACTTACGCAGCATATGGTTCGCACGAATAAAATCAATTAATAGGGTAGTATCGTGACTATGGTTTGGATAGGTATATCTTTTCGAAATTTTTTTTTCTTACCTTGAACCACGAGATAATAGTCTTCATGGTATGCACGCTGTGGTGTACTTGCAGTGCATCTGTATAGGCCACTGTCTTGTACGGATACTTCGGAGAGTCTTAAGGTATTTCCATATTCTCGTGCATTAGAAGGCAAAGATAGGCCATCAAGTCTTTTCCAATGATAATGAGGATTTGACGCACCGGAAAGAACGCATCGAACATCGATTGTATCGCCAATATTCACTGGGTCACGTGGTGCGTCGATGGTGATGACAGGTGCAAGAGCAGCTATAATTAATATAATTGATGTAATACATTTCGTAACAGAGTTCGATTTATCTAGAGGTTAAATAAGAATTACTGTTTCCATACATGTTATATATACGAATTGAATTGCTGATAGTTGTATAATTTCATAGCCGAATGGATATGAACAACATGGATATGAAATTTTTAAACCAATTGATATGCTTAGCGATGTACAATTTATAAGTTTTGGAAACTCCATAAATTTGTATTTCAAAGTACAGTGAGTATCATAAACTTTTTGGGTCGTTGTTATTAATTCGCGATATATCATCTAAGAATCTTAAGGATTGAATACTGTTTTTTCTCAGGTTTTTTTATGTATAATTTTGAAAAAATTCTAACTGTTCATTTCAACAAAGAATAAACAATATTGCACGCTTTTTTTTTTGCAAGATGCACTAAAATGCACAATGCACCTAATTGAAGGGGTAAACAAGGAGTGCTTCTACATATAAATAATAATCGGACATAATACAACGAAACTTGTACCAAATACTTTGCATCACTCGTGAAATAATATGATATGTATAGCGACATGGCATTCCAAATGATTCATCTAATTATCATGTACACAGTACATTAGCAATGTTTGGAAAATAGTTCATGCAATTCCGTAAAGAATACAATAATTTGTAGAAAAGTTGTGAAATATAGACGATCCCAATAGTCAAAGCAAATACGGGTATTCAAGCAATTTCATAATTCATAGAATGTAAACTGCCAATTGAACGTTACTTATCGCGATAAGGGTTCGGTATTTGGTCACAAGCGTTTTCATAATAAGTGGATAAACAATTATTACTAAAAACGGACAAACTACGGACGACACACAAGACACAAATCTCAAAACAAACCGCGTCGTCGCTGATGGTTTTGACGAAAATGCCAGTTGCGGCACAAGCGTTCGTCAGTGCCGTCGCTGCATTGTGCATTGCCGTCGCAAGTGTAACCCAACGGAATGCATTCTTGATTGTTGCATTGGAATTCCCTGAGACTGCACTGCGATCGGTACACTGGCATGCAATCCGCAAGCATATTAACTACTAAATCATAACGCGAGCTTTATAAAAAAACCTAGCGTCAGAAGATTTTCGGGGAACCATGATTGCAATGATTCTGTCGTAAATTCTGTTTGTAATAATACAGCCCTGTTTGTTAATATATGGCAAGCAAAATGATTGTTTTCATGTTAGTTTCTTTAGTATAACTAAAATATAAATATAATAAGCATGAATGCTTACTGGGTCATTTTCAAAAATTTAACTGTATTAAATCCATTTACTTCTTCAATTTAAACTTTGATATGAAATTGATACAATATGAAAAATATGAAGTATATGTATGTATAGAATTATGTAATATAAAGTTGTTTCGTTAATATTGCTTTGTCATTAATTTTGTTCAAATCAATCAAACTAGAATGTATGTCTAGTGTTAAAGAAGTAGGGCAGTGCGGAGTCTTAGAAATATATAAAAATATAAGTATTGTTTTGAATATGACCCATGAAGTATGTAACAATGTGAACAAAAGACTTTTATCGATAGGATCGATGAGAATATTCATAAAAAAGAAGGAATTTGCTTGAATCAAAGCAAACTAATAAATCGAATTTGACAAAAAGTATGATTAACATTATGAAAATCCAAATACAAGCGATAAAAGAAAATCACTTCGTTCGGATACTTAACAGATTTACAAAGAAGAAAAAGCTTCGACCTATTCACTCCAAACCTACGTTATGCTATCAGTTTTAAGTCAGAAACATTAAGAGAAAAATCGTAAACTCGATATAATGAATAGCATTAAAGACAAAGAAGCTTATTAATAGTGTACGAATATTTACCAACAACATTTAGGTTTATGTAGTCACTCGAGACCCCACGAGGAGTTTCAATCTCACAGATGTATCTACCGCTGTCTTCCGGTTTGACTTGCGTCAATTCCAAATAATTGTCACCTACGTAGGCATTTGTTGGCAATGCGTGAGCTTCCCTTCTCCAGTGCATGTATGCACTTTCCTCCACTCGACACCGGAGAGTCACAGAACTACCTGCGTGCGTTGTTATGTCTCGTTCAACGGCGTGGACAGCTACGTCATTATATGGATGTTCTGCAAAGTTATTATTTAAGCCATGTTTTATAAATCTAGACAATGCAAAATAAAAATAATCATCAAGATGACTTACCGCTCACCAGCACTTCAGCAACCGCTTCAGCAGTTCCAACAGCGTTCGTTGCTTTGCAAACGTATTTTCCTGCATCAAACAACGTGATGCCGTGGAATTGTAAAACACCACGATGTTGTGAAACAGAATATGGTAATTCTCTGCCTATAGCACTCCATTCGATATTGAGAGGCTCGTCACCAGTGGCGGTACACCTTACAGAAGGATTATCACCAGGTCCTACAGTCTGACTTGTCGGATTTAGTTCAATTCTTGGTGGACCTGGAAGAACGAAAGAGAGATTAGAGAATTTAAGTTATAAACGAGGTTTAATGTATGTTTTTTTTTCACCTTAAATATCTTGACTTACTTATTACTTTCAAGTGAGATTTAGCTTTGAAAAGCACAGCTCCAGCAGGGTTCAGACCAAGACAGAAATATTCTCCAGCTGCTTCTTTAGTTACTACTGGTATACTTAGTACGCCGCCACTTACAATACTTCCTTCAGGCAAAGGACGACGGTCGCTTCTCTTCCAATCCAAATAAATCTGGTTATTATCAGGTCCGGATACTAAGCATCGCATTTCTACTTTACCGCCATTAGGAATGTTGAGATCCTTTTCGGAGACTATAACTCCATTTCCTGGACTACCAGTATTCTAGTGTAAAAGGACAATTATGTAAGGATAACTTTAATAGTCAAATAAATTATGAAATATTAATGTCTTCGGCAATACATACATTATCTCCTCGTGTTGGTCGAATGTCAATCCTGTTATCCTCAATACGAATTTGAATACGTTCATCAACTATGCCTGCAGCGTTCATAGCTCGGCAGGTATAAGAATCCTCATCGTCAGGCGATACTGATAGGATTTCATAGACAGCACTCTGAGGAGAAGACTCAGCTCTGCCATAGACGCCTCTGTAAGAAATTTCAATGATAGAATTTTACAAACATACATGTTTCTGTGCTGCAATGTTACTCACAGTGAGGAGTGTCTATTAGTCTGTTTGATCCATGCTACATTTGGTTGAGGTTGACCGACTGCACTACAAACGAGTTTTACTTTATCACCCAACTTCACTGAGAGTATTCCACCTGATGGCGTAATCGAGATCACAGGTATAGACTGAACTTCGATATGGGCGACAGCAGTTGCTGAACCAGCTTCGTTAGTCGCTGTGCAAACAAAATCTCCCCCGTCACTGGCAGATATGTTAGAAAATCTCAAGACACCACCGGGCAGCTGTTCAATATTATAATTGAAGCGACGTCCATCTTTACGTGACCAGTGAATTTCAGGCACCGGAATTCCTGCAGTTGCACGACATTGTAGGTCAGCTGATCCTCCCAGAAGAACAGTTTGTATCTCCTTCGGGTATAATTCCACAGCCGGTGCTTCTCGTCCTGAATGAGAATCAGAATCATTAAAAAACTAGTTCTACGTATATGAATGTTTTCATTTTTCTTATTTATAAAACTTACGGGAAACTTCAATAATGGCACTGGCCTCATTGCTACCTCTAGCATCGGTCACGCGACATATGTAGACTCCTCTATCTTTAATCTGAGGATTCACAATCCTCAATGTATCTCCGATTTGTTGTGCGTTAGAACCCATTACTCTTTCGCCATGTTTGGTCCATTTCACTTGAAGCCCAGGTGATCCGCTTGCGATACATTTTACTTCAGCGATTGTACCCTGTGATACGGTTTGTCTATCCGGTATGACAGTTACAGATGGTCGTGCTCCCGATGGTTGAATGGAAATTCTAGCGGAGCTACGAGTCTCTATTCCTTGATAATTGACCATTGTACAAATGTAAACACCGGAATCTTGAGGAGTTGGATTTTGCATGGTCAGGACGCCATCACGTTGACTAGCAGATGCCGATAGTGCCAAACCACCCTCTCTTGTCCAGAATACAGTACCCTGTTGTCGTGAAGAGCATACGAGTCGTACAGTATCATCCGTTGTTCCTGACCAGTCATTAGGTGTAATAGTTGGATTAAGAATTGGAGGCTGCGTGGGCGGGCTATTTTCTATAAGATCAATAAGGATTAGTATAACACTACAATTTCATAAGGTTCTTTTACTCGTGCTTTTACCTCTAACGTAAAGAATGGTTGTTCTTTCATTAACTCCAGCTTCGTTCCTAGCGATACACTTGTATTCAGCCGCGTCGTTCTTTGTGGCTGCAGGAAGTTGCCATATGCCATTATAGAATGCAGCTTCAGGATTCATATCTCCAAGTACTCGTACCCATTCGATCTGAGGTGGAGGATTTCCAGTCGCTTTACAACGGAATTCTACTGGTTCTCCTTCCTTGACTTCCATATAATGTGGGTGAATTGTAGCTACTGGTTTCTCTATTTTTGAACCTGTAATTAGTAAACGAAAACATTATGTATCTAACCACCACCATCTATAATAATTATATTGACGTCGATTTAAGGCGTATTATTCGAAAAGTTAAGTACCTGGTACGTCGAGTAATCGTTTTGGGAAGGCTGCGTGCAATGAAAGTATATTTACATAATAATAGAAAAAGAATCTAACGTCACGAATGAATTTTTAAATCACTCAAAGCTCGATTGAATGTTACGATCCAGTAGAGAATTTAAAAGAGAATGTAACTCACCTCCAACTGAAAGTGACACTTTCTTAATTTCCACGTTGAAAGTATCGTTCACTTGACAGATGTATGTTCCACTATCAGAGACCTTTACGTCACGGATAATCAGAAGACCTCGAGTATCGTCCATGCTTCTATCTGCTGGTAGTTGGCCACCTTCTTTGTGCCATTTGATGTAAACAGGTCCGGGCTTCGGATTATCAGAATGTAATAATTAGTATTTATGTACTATGATTATGCAATAAATGGAATGCAATTGGATAATTTAGTTTCTGACTTACATGGTCTACGGATGTTCCAGAACAATGGTATCTCACAGTGTTTCCAGTGTTAACTATCTGGAATTCTGGCTCACGGATCCATACATAGATTTTAGGTGGTGGGGTTTCAGATGGTGGTACTTTCTGTGTTCCTGGACCGGATATCAAAGAAAAAAAATGCATTGTAATGAAGAAGCACTACCAGAAATAAAATTGGACAATGTCCACAAGAACATTTAAATGAAACAAAGAATGTACCATACGCAACGACGATAAATTCTTAAACTAACTGAAGCAAATATAATCGGTTAGTATTTTTTTTTTCATCATTGAAGATTTAAGCCAGATAAAATATTTATGAAATGAGAACCCGTTAGTAATTCTTCCTTCGTAAAATAACATTCTATGCTATAAAAAAGATAAATACACAGTCGGTACTTGTTAATGCTCATACAAATAGAAACAATAAATTTTGTTGCAAATAGTAGTAATGATTTGAACATACATAAATCGATACATAGTGAAAACTGTTCAAGCCATTTTTTTTACAAAAACCCTGTGTTATCTTTCGTAAACTATGGTTAAAAGCAGTGAAATACAGTAAAGAACATACAATTCCCTTATCATTTAAAAAAGATGACAAATCTATGGACATCTACACGTTTGGACACGTAATACCTAATGATTGAGATCACGAGTACAATTATTATATTGCAATGATAAAAACATATATTTTCGGTCTATTTAATGGCTCGGGGACGGACAAATACGAAAGCTTCGATCATATAGTCCGCCAAACCTGGTGCCATCCATGTAACGATAACGGCAAGTTCTTTTCCATGTTGATCCAAGACATGACATTCCAGGTTGCAAGTGTTTTCTCCCATATGAACATCCCAGGTTCGATACGCTCCGTTGTCAGTTTTTACTATAGGACTAAGATCCGTACCCCAGGAAGTAACATTCAGCCCGTTGAAGGATGTTAGTTTAAATTCGATGTACAATTGTTCCGTATGGTAGTAGGTGCAAGTATATTTCACAACGGAATTTGGATCAGCCTGTACCTTGATAGGCATTAGACCTACCATGAGCTCACCTGATTCATGCAAGACATTGTTCGTGCAAAATATATACAAAAAAAAGTTGCTCTGTAAATATACTATTCGAATTTATACATATAAAATATTAATCCATATTGCTGAAAGTTAGATGTTGTGCAATATAATATTAAAATAAGTTTCCATAATGAGATACAACAGTACGAAAAATATATTCGAAGTAAATTAAGATAATTAATTTTGCATCAGAGCAACTTCTAATAAATTTCTCAAATATTACTATTGTATAATTAAATTAGAAAGTGCGAGTTTTACTAACCATTGTCATTACAATATTGTCCTGTGTATCCTTGGCGACAGTTACATTTCACGTGACCTGAACTACTGATCTCGCAGCTCTGTTCATTTCCATTGCATGGGCATGGATTGCAAGTTCCAAGAAGGCTGGTGGACCTGTCGCTGCTATCTCTGTAATAGCCACGAGCGCAGGTCTCACAGGATGTTCCTACATATCCTCTAGGACATACGCAGGCTTCAACCTGTGTTGCCCGAATATTGCTAGCAGGATTGTCCACCGCGGTATCCAGGCTTACGTCACTGATGTAGGTTGCTTTCATGCCTTCGCTATGAGAGGCACGAATGAGAATGGCTTCGAGATTCGCGAGAACAGTCATAAAATCAGCACGAGATACAGTTCTCTGTCCTTCTATGGTGTAACGACGCCATTCAGATTCTCTGAATGGAACGGAGTAGGTCTGGAGTGATGGAAAAGGATCCGTATTATTGACTATTAATTATTTAAGATATCATCATGATGAAAATATACTGTAAACAACACACCAATGGTACACCTGACTGAATACTCCGTGGATTTGTCCAGTATAATGTGATTCCATTGCCAACTAGAATAACATCCTGATCCATGAAACTCTTAGCTCCTGGGTGTGTAGAAATGCGTTGTGTCACGGTCAAATCGCCGCCGTAACTCTTGATCTTGTTTCCAGTGAAATTAGGTGGCAAAGACCAGAATAATCTTTGACTTCGGTCGTCAGGGTATACGTAACCGATTTCGCTCATTGCAATATTTATCTCGAATCCATCGTCAATGACGTCACGCCTGGTCCTGTTGTACAATAAACATTTCACATATTCACGTTCTCTCAATTCATATATCATGCATGATTCTTATTTAATGATACTATAAATAATTAAACACATACGAGTCAGTCAAAGTGAATTTGTGTTGACTGTCATAGATCAACATAGGTATTTTTTGTATGAACAAATTGCTGGAGTAACATTGATTGGTGACACCACTGCAGTAACATTCGATGCATCCCTGTTCGTTTTTAACTGATAATCCGAAGGTTGATGGTCGACAACGATCGCATTTTTCACCTTCAACATTGGATTTACATTGGCATATTCTTTCATCGAGACAACTTTGAAGCCCAGCTATGGAACAATCATCGCAACGGCGCGTAGTTGATCCTTCTGCAATACAGTCTAATGAAGTTTCTTTGCTGACATCTCTAACGTAGCCTTCTGCACAGACGTCACAGTAGTCGCCAGAAGTGTGATCGCCACAGTTCTTAAATCAAACAGGATTTACAAATTATAACATAAATGTGGAAGCTAGTGTGGAAATGAAGTGAATGAAAACCCACCTCGCAGATGCCGCTTTCAGGATCACATTGATTGGAGTGTCCATTGCAATTACAAGGTTCGCAAATTCCAAGGTAAAGACCTTCCATGGCGCGGGTATATCCAACATCGCAATCCTCACAGGACAATCCTCTGTAACCAGCTGGACAACTACATTGTTCTACCTCTACCGCACGGTTCCCGCCGTTGTTGATTTGCTCAGCTGTATCTAGAGATACCATAGAGATGCTGTAAAAGAAATGTTACAACAGTGTTATATAAAGTAATGCTTTAGATTCGCGTGTGAATCATTTGAAAAGATTTCGTAAAATCATCTGCGGGACTTACGCAGCTTCATCAGTATGCGTCGTATATGTTGCCTTGATTCTGATCTCCCGTACGTCTGCAAGCGCCATGAGAAGATGTTCTCTGTCAGCTTGTGTTCCGTCATTGCGTTGCCAGTATTGTTCCAGCAAGGGAACAGTAAAGGACTGTGGAGAATTTGGCTCTGGTGTTCCTCGAGAGTAGTAGAGTAGTTTTATGTCATTGAACTTGAAAAGGATTAATAAAATAATCAGATCAAAATGTTTATCACATCAGCTAGAAACACCCATTGATATTCTTTCATCCACTTACACTAATAAGCTCGACATCGGCTGCATTGTTCCGTGAACTTTGGCCACCTGGTGACGGCACGTATCTCACGGTGTACTTAAGGTTTCCACCATAGGAGGTAATCTGGTTACCCAGGAAAATATTAGGTAGCTGCCAATAATACACATCATTGTTACCACGATCTAAGAATTCATTGTAGACAATTTCACGATTTTCAGTATCGAGACGGATGCCTGATACGATTGGAGGTGAATCCTGAGGAGCCTTTGATTCTATCAGAGTGAAATCATGGATGGAATTGGTGAAGGATACACGAATCTATAGAAAAATAATATATTAATGTAGAAGATACTGTTTTTTTTTTTTTAATTACTGTAATATCTAGTACCATACACGCACCTCATTTCTGTACCAATCAGAAGAGACGCATTTATTTGTAATACCCATACAGAAGCAGCTGATACATCCAAATTGATTTGCCAATGCCAGATTGAACGTGTTAGCCTTGCATTGGTTGCAAGTTGCACCAGTCGTATATTGCTATAAAATAAAATCACATAAATTTATTATTTAATATAAAACTATATGATGATCCATATAATTAAATAATGACTCCAAGTACCAGTTCATCAGAGTGTACTTACATTTCATGAATAGTTAGAAAAAATCCAATGTGAATGGAAGCATTAACGGTACGCAATATGAGTCAAACATGAATCATTATACGGAAAAGTTGTTGAATAAAAAGCCAAGGACAAAGAAAATAATTCAAGTATAATACCTTGCAAAGACATTGACCAGTGACAGGGTCAGCGTAAGCGCTAAGACTGCCGCTAGGATCACATTGTTCATCTATGACGCACATATCGCCGGTAATGAGAGGATTTCCGTGATATCCAATTGCGCATTGTTCACACCTTCGTCCAATGTATCCAGTTGGACAATCACAGGTAGGTTGACCGTCCGAGCCGAGATGACAGGTACGAGCGAATCTATGCAATTATTTATGATATAAAAATTTTTATATGATACACATGTGATTTTTTTTTGTAAACTTACTGATTAGATGGGTTTGTGAGCGGGCAGGGGCAGACCTCGCAGGCAATATTTCTTGATGGATCTCCATAGTATCCTGGTGGGCATGGTGGTTCATCTCGGTAACACTGACCTAGCCAAGGACCACTCTCGCGTCTTAAGAATCCAGGTGCACAATGTTCACAGGAAAGACCAGTGTATCCTATATAATTTAATGGTAATTAATATCATGTAAGGAAATTGGTACCCTCGAGATATAATATCTTTTTTAAGTACCAGTAGGACATTGACACTCTTCGACGTAGGATGCTGTACCCAGTCCGGTATTTCTACTATCAGCAGTATCCATAACAATATTAGTGATACTAACATCCAGCTGTGGCCCGTCGTCATATTGTGCCCTTTATAGAAGAAATCGAAACTAAATAAATTAATACAAAACAGCTTTAAACTAGAATACCTATATAATGCATACTTTATCAAGATGTTATCGACATTTGCCAGGGTCATCATGATCTCCTCTCTTGAGGCCAAGACCTCGTATCTTCCTTGTTTCTTATACCATTCGCCATAGAAGAATCGTACAGTCTCTTCTGTCTCATAATCAGGCTGAATCTTGTTACCGTGATGTACAAGAATATAATTATTTCCACTAAGAATAACAGACGGTGCAGAATTTGTTGGTCCTCTACCACTATAGCGTACAGTATATTTAAGGTATCCACCATAGGATTTTAATTGGCTGCCATAATAATTTTCTGGCAGTGAAAAGTACGGTATGTTGGATAAGCTCAAGTCGTTATTATAAGCAGAGGTTATTACGACGCCGTCACGACCAAGTGGACGCACTTCCATATTTTCATTACTGATTTCTTCAAGAATTCGAATTTCCGGAGCAGTTTGGACATATTCGACTTTATGAGTGTTAAATGGTGGCGGTATTTGGTAGGTGAACAAGTTGGCACTGTGACATTCAGTTGCGACTCCAAAGCAGAAACAGGATATACATTCGTCGACTGACGTGGCTTCTGAATTGAATTTCCCTCTCGGACATACATTCTGAGAAGGTCTGACGGTCACAATGGCGTCAGGAACGGCGAATACGAAACCGCGTATGTTCAGCGCTTCACATGAATATGCACCCTGATCTTCCCGTTGCATGTCATTACAAGTCAGAGTACCTGTACCATTTACAGAGGTAGAGGTACATTTCTTAGGAACATGTCCCCAATTCAATCTCCAGTTCACTTCTGGAGTTGGTACACCAATGGCTATGCAGGTGAGGACCAGTTTGTCACCTGGTTCCAGGACTACCATCGGCGATGGTGGTTTGACAATGTACACCTCAGCTATAAAAGTGAATGACATCAGAAATTTAAGTAACAATCACTAATTATAAATTATATTAACATAAATGCATATCACTAGAAAAACTTAATAATAAATTTCTTCAGTGCTATTATGCCGTATACATACAGCATCCAATTTCATCACTTCCATCCTCACAGTCCCGTTCCTGATCGCAATGGAAACTCTTTGGAATGCACTGGTTACGGCTTGCACACTGGAACTCGTTGTATCGGCATAAAGAACCAGGAGGTAGAGTAGCACAGTTTTCTTCGTCAGTTCCATCTGCACAGTCCTTGTCGCCGTCACAACGCCAGACTTTACTGATGCACTGCATATTGGCACAACGGAATTGATTTGGTTCACAGCCAAGTGGATCTGTAAGGACGTTTCCACATTTTTATGATGATCATAATTGTATTATTTAATTACCTACAGGCTCAATGCGTGCGATACAGAAAGCAACAAATAATTCTATTAATTGACATCACGGAAAATGGACAACAATACTGTAATCGAACTTGGGTTCACTTTTTTACGATGATGACCTTTTCAGGAAAGAGAAAAGAAGAAGAGAAGGAGCAAAGGAGGATGGCATCTGTGCTTTATCCTATCTTTAATACTCACTGCATCTGTACTCATCGGATCCATCAGTACAGTCATATTTGCCGTCGCAGATATTAGATTTGGGAATGCAGTCACCATTACTGCACGTAGCCTCGTTGTATCCACAAACGTGAGGTGGTCGAGTTGCCGGAAGTTCGACTGTCAATAATAAATGATAAAAATAACAGTAAGATGTCGATGATAAATTAAAGAAAACTCACATTTCTCAACTGTTAGGTAGACACTCAATTGACGTCCAGAAGTTGAAGCTGGATATCCTATTGCTTCGCAAATGTACACTCCGCTGTGATTCAGTTGAATGTCTGGAATTTCTAGACGTCCATTATTATCTCGACTTCCGGGTGGCAATGGGAGATTATTTTCTCGGACCCAGTGTACTCTGGCACGAAGAGGCCCTTCGTCACGGCACAGGAACACCACCTCTCGACCTGGTATAAATGCACGATAATTAGAGACATTGTTCATTTACTTTACATCTCTGCCCTCGTATGGTTGCATCATTATTTTTCCTTTTATTGGGTCATAACGGGTGTATTGAGTTTATGCCAAGTTTACTCTCTCATATTTCTCATAGAAAATTCTTTGCGCTACTATAATGTTATAGTGTGGTATTAAAGTGCTGTTAATAAAATTCACAAAAGATCATTTTATAGAAACAATTGTTACTAATTGTATATAGAAATGTGTTTAGTATCCTTTTTTTAATTTCATTTTCCACGACAAACTGGAGAAATTTAATTAAGTTTTGCATAACGATTCGAAGAAGAGAAAGGAAACACAGAGAATAGGAAAGAAGTGAGAATCCGTGCTTGACAAAATATATTAACTTTTTTTTTCAGTAAGAGAAATAATATTAATATAGCAACTTTGGCGCAAGTAAATGAAAAATATTATAATTCTAAGAAACCTGCAGATGCATTTCAATTTAGGTGGGAGTTAAATCAATTATCCACAGTGTGAGTTACAAGAATGCATGAGCAGAGTCTTTAAATACAATAGTAATGAAACTGAAGTAAAGTATAATAATCCTAGTGTTATTACAGTGCATCAATTAACTTTTACTGATCTGTACCAATATGTAAAATAACAAATTTTAAGTAGTACCAGTCATGCACAGAAATCATTCATCATGCTTTGTGATGATGCATATCAAATTTTACAGGTTTCCTCCTGTTAATCTGGTGGCTTAGGGATTTCTATTGATTTATTAATGCAAGTGTATCCTGTGGCCTTTCTAATGCTACGACTGAAATGTAAAATGTATTTAGTCGTTGTTTTATGTGATATAAGTGCAATATGCTTTACTGATAAACTCGATGACCTGCCATCTATATTAGATGCATGAAAGCTGAAACCACTATATCATTTTACACATTGCATTATCATTTGATTAAGATATCGAGTTGGATGCGTGAGTAATACACAACAAGTAGTAGAAAGGAATAATTTTTCAGGTGCCCTGGTATTCGATTTTCCAGATGGAAGTAGGCATAACCGGAAACAATCGTGTACCTTGGTCGTGCATGAAGTTGCACCTTTAAATTATGAAATAATAAATAAATTGAAGATAAACGAAGCAAGAAACAGCTTTCAAACGGTTGACAGATTTCAAATCATACATGAGATTTACTTATTGATTTGCCGTAATTATAATGTAATGACAAATGATTATTATATATTATTAATCGCTCTTTTAACATGAGTCGTGAAGACTGAGTGAGCCCATAGCATGATTTTCAGGCTGCTCCTTTAAAATATTCTTACCTTGCTTCGCTGGATCTGGCCAAGACAAGAAACAAACAATAAACAATTGAATTAATACATTTTCCTTTTATCCATAAAGTATGATCCTGGCTTAAAGTGAACATTAAACGATCGAAAATTATTTTTCCATCGCGTCGACGACGAAATTAATAAATCAATCTTCCAGTTACTGGCAGCTGTTTCAAATATTGAAATATTGTTAAATGCATATTAATCCTACTTAAACTCTATTGTTCACAGTACCGTTATAATAATTTTAACAAGAAAACACTAGCATAGTGAATTTCCATTGTAATAATGCAAATGCAAAATTAACTATTAAGATCATCATAAGATATTGTAGAATGACTTATGCAACAATAGGATGTATGTGAAACAGACTGTACTTACTTTCCTTGATGACTTGTTCACTGGGGTAGGTCTTGAGATTGAGGCCTTGTTCTGCATTATCTATAAATTTTAAGATAACAAGAATTAATATCAAATTGAAAATAATCTACACGAATGAATCATCAAGTTTAGTCTGACATCGTAACTCGTAATTACACTAAAACATTAAACACTAAAAGTTCTTTTGTTATTATTACGTATCAGTCGAACTAACTTTTTCTTTTAGTAAAGTCGCATTACGGTCATGTAAAGCTCATACAGTTAAGCATTAAATTCTAATTGCAGTAAAATACGTATATGGGGCACATTGTCAAAAAAGTGTTTAGTATGATTAAGCTAATGAACCTAATAATAAAACATTATTAGGGTCTAATCCAATTCAAGTAAGCTGTCACTGTACGATCACACTGTTCTTTTCGGTCGTTTAGAAAATCGTACGTCTTAGTAATGTTATAAATCCAATCAACAGAAATCAAAATGATTATAGGCATCCGATCGCACTTGGGAATAAATCAATTCGAGTTAAGGGTGATTGTTGTCTTATCATATCGAGTAGGCCTTTAGTTATGTCGCGGGCATTCCAGAGATCCAAACACGTGTGCGTCACGTGCACTTTTCCCGTTGACTCACGTTCCTTACCGCCGCAATCCAATTCATCTGATGTGTCCTTTGGACAGTCAACCTTCCCGTCACATCTTTGCGAAAGCCGGATGCAAGGACCATTTTCGCATCTCCATTCGTCAGGAGCACAGTACACGTGGTTTCTCTCGGTGGTCACGTAATCGCAGTCCAATTCGTCGCTGTTGTCACGTGGGCAATCGACATGATGATCGCAACGACGATGCAACGGTATGCACGGACCATTTTCACATCTCCATCCGTTCGGGTAACATACCTCCGTGGAATCTTTGGTATTGCGACCAGAGACAATAACATAAGGAAACATACTCGCCCCGATAGTTTGATACCAACGTGATAACGAGTCGATCGTTCGGAGGTTACATTGGTTCGAATCGAAGATTTTCTTTAATAGAAAAAATTATTCTCATTCTATGCCAGCGTAAAACTTACCGCAATTTTGTTCATCAGATCCATCTCTGCACTCAGGAATTCCATTGCAAAGGGCTGAAGAAGGGACGCAGGACTTATCGGAAGTGCAGGTGAAGTATCCTCGTGGACAACGTGGTGGTTTCGGTTCGTATTGTGGCAACGTAGGGGGTGGTGTTGGTCTTGGAGTTATGTCTATTAATTAAAAAGATAATTGTCAACCTGGACCACTGACAGAGATGAGAGTACTCGGATACTGAGACCTACTGCAATTATCTTCGTCGGTACCATCTTCGCAATTGTAGACTCTGTTGCATCTTTGATCTGCTCTGATGCACTCTCCGTTTTGACACTGGAACTCGTCACGGCCGCAGCCTGCGGACAATGCAATGCGCGTGCATATTAAAGTATCAAGACGGCGGACATACAGGATCGATGTAAATAATTTTTATTCCATAAAAAGTGTAGATTAAACACAAAAAGTCAAATTCTAAATATACATAGTATATATACCGAGATCATCACAAAGGTTCTTCAATAGACTAAATGATGATTTAACATTGAATTACGAGATGATAGTATGACGATAATGGCTGTATGATAACGTGGCTATCAGGATGCCACCTACGAGATACAATACTTTGATAAATATACACATGAGGAGGATATTCGATTTTGGGAATAGGTTTACTGCAATAGATACATAGGTATAAAGAATGTACAGGATGTGATTCTTTTTCGACTATATCGTCGGGATAGAAACATTCTGCATGTTATATGCACACGTGATACTGGGATGCACGGTGAGACAGAGAACGTAATTTGAAGCTGACTGTTATCGGAGATAATGAAAATTCAAAATTTTTTCCCAAAAAAATTCAAAGTACCAAGTAATGGACGCATCTCGTGTGCCTTTGAACTTTCTATGGCTCGCCGTGCATATAAATCTATTGATTATGAATAAAGTATTACTGTTATCTACGAACATCTATAAATTATCATTCACGTTAAACCCGACGGCATAACGATATTCCTCGAACGCGCAGCATCACTCTTTTCTTTTGGTTCCTGAAATATTTTATACGCGACTTCCTGGTTCGTAACGGGAATATCAATGCCGTCAATTTATCGTAAATGCTATTAAGATAACATAAATCGTTATAGTCAATATATTTAATATCAAAATTGTGTGGTAGTGTAAAGTGACGTAGGTATAACGTGAAAGAAAAAAAAAAAAAACAAAAAAAAAACATTATCTTGTGACAATGCAAAATCGGATTTAGAAGTGTATAAAAAATTGTGTTTGTTAGGTGTAAATATTCTACGGTCCCATTCGCGATCAGCGTTGAATAGAAAATACAATAAAATGCCGATAAATTAGTCAGCATAATATTATACAACGTCAATTTTATTATGACGTGCGTATAGGTATATGTATATCAGTCGGTCAATAAATTTTCTCTAATTACAATATTGCCAAGTTAATATTTCATACGTTAAGGATCCTTTTTTTAATGGAAGTTTATCGAGTATTTTATTGCATTAAAAATAAGATCCAGCTACAACAGCCGCATCGTGCTGTGTAATTTCAGACGCATCGCGAAGGGACTTTTTTTTTTCTAAAAAAAAAAAAGGGAACTGTCTACCTACGTAAACGAATTTTCTAATCTTTACACCAGGCAGAGATGCACTATCGATCACAAAGACACCTCTGATATATCAAAAGGCTGCCGACTTGACATTTGGCTCCGCGAATGCCGAGTCCAAATTCAATGAAGCCTCTACTTGAACGTCAACAACCTACACATCGTCTATTCGGCTGCTAACACTGACTGACAGGAAACGACGTAGAGCCAAGAGAATCTGGGGATTGGAGTAGGATGTCTTTTCAAATCAAAACAGGACCTGAAGAGAACGATCTGAAATCGAGTTTTTAGAAAAAAATTCAAAATTTATATAGCTACATGACAAAAAACTTTGACATAATGCCAACGACACTGTCCCGGTTTGAGCAAATAATCTTCAAGTACCAAACATGAACTTTCTGGTCCATGCCGATCAAGCAGAATATTATTGATCAGCAGTTCATCAATAATTGGATAATTTAATAAATTATAAAAAAATTTCATTTTCTATACATAATTAACCTACGAGTTAAAACAATGCACGGTACAGATATTACGTAATTTTTTGAAAATAAAATTCATAATCACCGATATACAGAGTCATTGCTCTCCAGTCTTTTTAGATCGGCTGTAGGATTTTCAATGAACAAGGGGACTATATGTACACTGGACTGGCGTAAGGAAGTGTTACAGGATTGGAGGTAAAATGGTGAACGGTACCGCCAGATTGTCGAGGTCTACAAATGGTCTAACCGAAGCAGTACTGTTCGTCGGTAAAGTCACGGCAATCGTAGAAATGGTCGCAGTGATGATCCGCGGGGATGCAAGTGCCGTCGGCACAAACAAAATCACCCGGGGAACAACTCCTCGGCGTGCTCAGATTCGACGACAGCCCAGGATCTGCGCCTGTACCTGGGCTGAACGCACTGTTTTCATCAGGGTTCGCATTGGCTATCACCCCGGTCTCTGGTAGCCCCATTGAAGAGGTTTTATCCAAAGCGTCTACACCTAGAAGTAACCCAATCTGAACCACAGTGTTATGTGTGGGACCTTCGATTACTGTTCGGAAAACAAGTATACGATGAATAAACACTTTCATGCTGTTCAAGATATCACACATGGGAGTTCTTCAATGAGTTTTATCATTCCCGACAGTGGCCAGAACGATAACACGTTCTCACTACGGTAGACGATAACGATCTCTGAAATAACAGGGGTTACGTCAAATGAACTTTCTTCTATCTCAATTGCATATATTAATCCTCAGCCTTATCGGGTAGTCGCAGAAAAAAGTGTTTCTGCTATCAGTGAAGTGACATGTGAGTATATAAAATTTTAATATGAATTCACACGAGTCATTGAAACAAAGTAAAGGAGGTAAGCAGATAAACTGAGTTGGGCTGAATACCGTAATAATTTTTTTCGAATTTGAAAAAAAAAGGCTCAGCAATTTTAATGGTATACAGTATAACACCACTATGGTCAGCTGGTTCTCACAGTATTTCGGGTACTTCCAATAGCTACGTTTCTAATGATCTAGACAGTGATGACTGGGGTAAATTTAGCTTTGAAACAACAAAGATCATGTTTTGTCCTTTATCGAGAAAGCTTTTGAATAAATCTGATATTCGACTTACCGGAAGGACATTCGAGCTCGTCTTTATTATCTGGACAGTCTGCAATTCCGTTGCAGCGACCTGACAACGGTATACATGAACCATCGTCACATGTGAATTCATTCTCAGAACATATCCTATTATTTGCACCTCCTGGTACTACATTAGCTGTAACATATATTATTTTTGAGTGAACGTGTTCTCAAAATGAGATTTTCGAAAATTGGTCACGAGTTACTTACGGCAATCCTTCTCGTCACTGTCGTCCAGACAATCGAATTTGGTGTCACAGAAGAAATCCTTCATGATGCATATCCCATTGTCACATTGCCTTTGGCCTTCGGGGCACTCTGAAAAATTGATGAACTAAAGATATAATGGGAAAACAAGCGAGAGCAGATACCAGGAGAGAAAAAATATCGAAAGTTTTGTACAAAGCAGCGAGGTGCACACTTTCTCAAATATATTTACTCATTAAATTGTATTACTATAATACAACAGTATTAAGTGTAACGATCAGTCGTACTCGTGAAGAAAATACTGTATGCACATTGCCGTTTATCATGCAATAGTTACTCGTACGTATTAACCCTCCTGCGGTTTAACCCGAGTGAACTCGCAGTAAAAGAAACGCGCTCGAATGGTTAACCTCGAGTTAACTCAGGGTAACGTTTTCCTTCATAACTTAATAATCAGGCATCGTATTAACATGAACCAAAGTGGAAATTAAAGCTACAGAACTGTGCTTTCGGGCAATCAATGCAAAGTAATAGCTAAAGTTACATTTAGTAAAATCTCCCTCATCTAAGTATTATACATAATAATGATTTTTGGACACTTACAAAAATATTTTGAATTTCACACAAATACACCTTATGTCTCAGAATTGAATAAATTAGGTCCCCCATTTTGGATGCGCCATATAGAATTGACCTCAAATTTGAAAACAATAAACAATTTTTGAATTATTAATAGAACCGCAGGAAGGTTAAATAATGAGAGCATTTCATGAAAACGTGATTAAATGAAATATTTGTATCATATATATATAAATATATATATAAGAGATGTATACGCATACGGTGTTATATAAATATTATAAAGAGAATACAAAGGCGTAATATTGTACAATATTATATATGTATAATATGTATATATCAGTCAGGCAACCGGTGCTGAAAAAACGACAGTGGGTAAAAGTAGTATTGAAATGCAATCGAAAGTGATAGTATATACAGGTATAGGTATAGAGTATAGAAGAATGGTCCAAAAGACACAACAGCCATAGAGTATAGATATAGAGATGAAAGTTGCACGTGAAGGATATACTCAAGACGAGAGAATATTCACATTCGAAAACTGCGATTATAGTAAATGCTGAAAATTCTAAAATATTTCATGTCCCTCATCAGCATCAGACAAATTAGTACAGTCAAGCCTCAGTCCCTGTCCGCTCGGTCCCTGTCTGAATTCAATCGCTGTCCGGTTCCATGTTACAGTCCCTGTCTTTACGAAAGTGTTGTACAAATACGTCACGAGTATCCCGCGTTTATTTACGCACCCATTTGTCTTGATCTAGCAAACGAATCTAATCTAGAGATGAGTGCTACATGAAATTTTCGTGAACCACTTTTTGCAAATGATCGCGAAAATATAATTTGTCGTGTAGAAGCTGATGGAAAAAAAAAATTCAAAAAATGATCGCTGCTCTTGTTACATTGGTCTCTAGAACCCTGTTTCATTGGTAAAAAGCTAGTCACGTGATCTTCGGACATTTATGTCGGACTCGTCCCGGCGACGGGCAGGGACCGAGGTTTGACTGGTGTCATCGGCCGTCCAGCAGTAAACGTTAGTCGCGCGGCGCCTTGTTATAATCTGCTGAAGCGGTCGATAGGTGGAAACAAGATTAGCAGAATTAGTAACGCCAGTAGAAATCCCATTAGTCACAGATTGCTAATTAGAGTCTTAACTGACCAATGTACGAAAATTATTCCAGGCATTAGCACAGTATACACAGCTCGTTTCCTTTGGCTCGATAACGCGCTGCAATGTATAGGTTATCCATTGAGGAATTGAGAAGTTGGCCGATGACGTCACAAGAAGCGAACGTCGGACGGACAAAACAAGAATTAATCGTTACGATAATAGCCGACAGGTGGCTTAAACGTTTTGACGAAAACCGTGTTTGCAACGTGCTACTTTATTATCTGCTGTTATGCTTTAAATAGAGCTTCAAAAATTTTTTCAAGACTATCTCACCGTTTTCAATGCTTGCGTAATACGAGCCGAAAATAGAAATTTTGATATCGTACCGAAGGTAGAAGCTTGATAGTTTGACTAGAGAATAATTGGTGTCTACGAGCGATAGAGTATTACATACGATTAATATATTTACACACGTATATCATAGGCAGGAATAAAGAGAGAAAATTAAAAGATACAAAATACGTGACACATAGTTTCAAAAGAAAAAAGACATACGGCAATTGATCTCGTCGGAGCCGTCGCGGCATTGCTTCCTGCCGTCGCAATGCATTTTAATGTCTTGAAGGCATAATCCATCATCGCATCGGAAAGTTCCGGGTGGGCATTCGAATACTACAATGCATTTACAATCTCTTATCAGAAACATGCCTCACACGATACGCTACTACGATCTATTATTACATCATTATTATATCGCTACCCTTGCCTGTTTCCAGAGACAGTATAAAAAAGTACAGTACACGTGAGTACGAGTGTAAAGGGATGTATTTCGAATTGCGTGCATTGGG